GATCAGTCGGCAAACGCTCTTCATTACCCAGAGAGTAAGTATAGTAATATCCAGGCTGGGATCCCTGAGCAGTAGTTCAATACCTACATAGCATTGCTGGTTGGCCACCGCTTCATTCTAGATCACATAGTTACTTACTGTTCATAGCATACGAATTTAAGTTATCTTTACGGGATGAAAAATAGTTGGAAGAACCAAAGGTTGTTTATTTTGTCTCGATCGTAGCACACAGCCATCAACCGTAACATCAACAATGATATTCCATCACCTCGCCCCAGCGTAGCGAAGCTATACCCGAACTCGGCGGTAGGAAACCACTGCTCAACTTAGACCATTTATTTGGCCTCGTCGAAGACGTAGGTGAGGTGGCACTTTCCGCAGTACTGGCGGTTGTGCATAGCGGCCATGAAGACACCGGCACCACACTATAAAACATGTTAGCATCTGATGACCGTGATACAAAAAATGCCTTGTGACATGGGTTAAACATACCTCGGGGGCGGGGCACTCGCGGCGGAGACGCTCGATCTTGCCGTCACCGTCAACCTTGTAGTACTTGAGGATGGCGAGCTTGGTCTTCTTGTGCTTGTGCTTGATCTTCTTGGGGGTGGTGTAGACCTTCTTCTTGCGCTTCTTACCACCACCACGCAAGCGGAGGACGAGGTGAAGGGTCGACTCCTTCTGGATGTTGTAGTCCGAAAGAGTGCGGCCATCCTCGAGCTGCTTGCCGGCGAAGATCAGACGCTGCTGGTCAGGGGGGATACCCTCCTTGTCTGTGCGGGGTCAAATGTTAGATTTTTTTTTGTCGCAAAGCTGAGAGCGGTGCATGCGCGCGCTCGGGTGTGCAGATGCGCTTACCCTGGATCTTGGACTTGACATTGTCGATGGTGTCCGAGGACTCAACCTCGAGGGTGATGGTCTTACCCGTAAGGGTCTTGACGAAGATCTGCATCTTGATGAAGGCCTGTGGCTATGTCAGTGGGATGTTCGCAGCAAAGAATAGATTGGTAAACAGATGAAAATACAGAGCAAGCTATACGCAGGCTCATCATATCTTCACCTGCCCATGGGAAAAACCGTACTCACCTCGACAAGTGTGTCTTCCTCAACCTTGCAAGATTGAAGAAATCAGTGTGGGCTGGAGCCGATTAAAATCGTTGTGCGGTCACGTGTGTGGACCGACACCCTGAAATGGATTAGCGCGGAATGAATGCTGACCAACTGTCACATGACAGATTCCTGGATAAATTATAGACCGATGGGAGCACAGAGCCTCACACGTGATTTGAATGCGGTCAGCTAATCATGCCTCAGGTTGCATATCCCGTGTTGGATAGGTCCAATATCACTTTAAAAATGTGACGACATGGGAGCCACAGCCCCATCTATGGAGCCTTCGGGCCATCAGATCGACTGTTTATCTACTTGTTTACCTTAATCTCCCCGGAGACGAACCGAGGAAGGTCGATTTGCCCGTAGTTTTACGTAGGGACCGATGATATTCAAGGCTCCTCGCAGCACTAACAAGCCCTTGCAGAAGAACATGGAGAATAGTTGCAAGCAAGGCCTCGATCTCAGGCAAAGAAAGAGCATAAATCGGCCAAGTGGGCAGGGGTGGGCCCACAGGCGTCAGAGCCTGGTTTCCCAGACGCCGGGTCCTGCGCGTTGCCATGCCAACACCCAATTGTTGATGGGAACCGCGGGTCACATAGATAGATCTCCAGTGCTCCAGACTAAACCTTCACATCTTCGCGTTCTCAAGGTTTCCTACTCAAGTTCAGTTCAGAATATCTGGAGCTGTGTGACCTTTACCTTGAGTGGTCGCTTCTAGACCTCATTCCCATCTTGCTATAGTTCCTTGAGGCTCTAGCAAAACTTCCACTTCGCTTTTCGTTCTTTGCGCGTTCAATAGTTTCAGGTTCACAGACTGACACCTTACCAGGAACAACCGTCAACGGGCTGCACAGCCATGATGTCCGCCGCACCGAACGCGCTGGGAAACGGCCGCCATCGCCGTCAAATTTCCACACCAGCAGCACCATTCGAGGTCGCCGCGCCGGGAATTATGTCCAACATGCAACCTCGTCGCTCACATCGTCGGGGCCAAACGGTAGACTTCAGCTCTTTCAGCCCACAAGTCGCCATGGACCGACAACATATGCCGAAGACGGTTTCGCAGCTACGAGACTATTTTAACGAAAAATCAGGTTACCCATCTCAACAGAGGAACGTACATCAGTATCAATCTTATATCCAACAACCTGAGCAGTCCTATATGCCCTCAGGCATGCCCATGCAGCAGTCATATCAATATCAGACCTCATTCGGCTCTGATTGCCAGGCCTTCAACCAAGAACAATTGCAAGCGATCCACACCAGCACCACCAGCCCTTCACCATCTTCAATCGCTGCTCCTCTCCTTTCTCGTTCAGCTAGCGAGTGCTCTGAAAATACACCATTGAAGGTCGCTCTGCACCGTATGCAGCAAGAACAATTCTCGAACCAGCAACACCAACAGTTCATCGACAATGCCGATTGGGAATTGTTCCCCCAGCGCAATATGCCACTGGCCCAGAACGAGCAGGTGACTGCTTATGCAGGATCCATGCATCCAGTCTCTGTTCAACCAAAGGCTCCTTCCGCAAAGATTCTATCGCAAATTTCTACTGATTGTAGGTGCCATCTCATAGTTGAACCAAACATACGCTAATATTTCCCAGACGCTTCCCCTTTGACCCCCGATTCTACCCCTTTGAAGAGATCCATTGATTATTCTATGTATAGCAATGACCCAACTCCCACCAAGTCCCAAAGCTTTTCATTCCCCCATGTGCCTGCTTCCTGTGAGATGATGCAAAAAACCCAGTCCCTTCAAGGAGTCCCTCGTGTCAACCCCGTGCAAACCAAGCATCAAATGCCCTCGCCTGCCAATTCCCCTACCGGATCCTCGTTCACCGAAGTTGCGGATATGCCATCGCCCCGCTCATATGGAGTGACCCCACAAAGGCCCATGATCTCAGCCCCATCGTCCACCCACAAGACCAAGAAAGAGTCTGTCTCCCCCGCGCCATCTGGCAATCAGCCTGCTGCCTATGACGGAGATCTCGATGCCAGAGTCAAGGCCTCTGTCCAACAGACTGGTGTGTCAACTGATGAGATCGCCAAGTACATTTCAGGACCTGACCCCAAGGACGGCAAGTGGGTTTGTCTGTTCACGGACTGCCTCTGCCGCTTTGGTCGGAAGGAGAATATTAAGTCTCATGTTCAAACCCATCTTGGAGACCGTCAGTTCAAGTGCGACATCTGTGAGAAGCATTTCGTCCGTGGTCATGATCTCAAGCGTCACCTCAAGACACACAGCGGCAACAAGCCTTTCGCATGTGCTTGTGGTGCCAGCTTCGCCCGACAGGATGCTCTCACTCGTCATCGCCAGCGTGATATGTGCGTTGGAGGCTTTACCGGAGTGGTTCCCAAAACCACCAAACGTGGCCGCCCTCCCAAGAGAAAGAGCAGCCGCCCAGATGTCGATGCTCGGCAGATCAAGTCTACTCGTACTCGTCAACGCGTTGCGGAAAAGGCCGCCTCGCTCCCCTCTGTCCAGACTCACCGTACCCTCCAAGAGGCTCCTGTTTTCAATTCGCCAAACTACGCTCCGTCCAGTGCCGTCTCGTCATTCACGCCGCCTACCTCCCCTGGCAACCGATATAACGATATCTCCTCGCCATGTGGAACGTACAACTCTCTTGACGCCAAGCTCGAGGATGACATGCTCCCACTATCACCACCTCAGCTCGCTCATGCGAGATATGAACAAGCCATGGCTCACTACGGATCAAACATAACTTCTGAGCCTTACTCGCAAGAGTCCATCTATAGTGGATCTGCTCTTTCTCCTCGCGAGATGTCTTCTCCCCACACGGCGCCTACCCTGATTGAATCCTCCATCGGCTCAGATATCGATATTTTCATGACACAAGACCCATCTGAGGACCTGCAGAAGGAGTTCGGACACCTTACCAACTCTGGTCTGCCTGGATTTCCTACCTATCATTTCATGGACAGCAGCGACTTTGTCACATCATCTTTCTACCCCGAGAAGAACTTCTCTGGTCTACCGACCTTGGACGATGAGCTGGCAGACCCAATCGACTGCCTATCCAATGAGTTCCTGGTCGACCCTTGAGCGAGATATATCAACACACTACGGCTATACGGTTCCATAAACGACGCAGCTGATTCTTTTCTTCACGGCGAGACTTATGCAACGATACGAGATGACCTTGTACACTTTAATGACACACGACACCAAAATCCGGGCGTTTTCCTTCTTTGCACATTCGGGATTTGAAATGACTTTGCGGGACTTGGGGTGTTCAGGCTCTTGCGTTCTGTTCCCCAATGCCCTTATTGCCCCTTTGTTTTCCCCATTTTTGTTACTTTTCTTTTGTTTTATTTCATGACCATGCCATTCCCTCCTAAGTTTCGCGTCTTTTGGCCTTCGCACATCTCTTCGCGGATGTTTGGTTTATATGGCGGCGTGATTCTATTTGATAGAGCTTATTCCCGGTGTTTTTTTAATTCTTATGTGTTCCTTATTTTATGATGCGATATGTACTTCAGACGTCTTTACTTTCAATGGATCTTTTCTGTACCTACCTGTCAACAAGGTATGACTTACCTGATTGATATTCTTTCTTTCAGTGCAAGGCACACTTGGAGATAGCCTGTACTCTAGTATTTCAGATATCTTATGCATGCAAATGAGCTATGGCTGCAATTTCAATTCCCCTTTCGTAAGCACGTAGACATGCCGGCTTTCTTACAAGGCTCTGGCTGAAGCTTCAGATCTCATCTCTAGTTTCCATACATATATGTCAGATTTCTAATTACGACGCTATCATTCAGACCCTCTTCCCTTGCCTGCCGAAATCTATGGCAAACTCCACTCTATCCCGCGAAAATGAGCACAAACGCCGACTATATCAGAACGAGAAGCACGATCAATAGCTCTTAGGGGCCCAGGTGATCTCAATCTCAATAGACCGCTCTTCCCGCGAAACATACACATTGCTTTGTGTACGCCCTCTTGGTGCCTGGTCAGCGTAGAAGGTAGTCTTGTCCTCGTAGGACAGTTTCCCATTTTTAACCTGCATAATGTGAGAATTTGGAATATAGATTCTGGGCAGATATACGTACGGTGAACTCGCTAGGGGTCTTGATATCTGGCCCACAAGTAAGGGCATCTTCCTCAAACGCACAGGCCCCCTTGCTGGATTTCAACGAGAACGTATCATCTGCAAGAAATGATCATTTCATTAGAATTTGGCCAAGAAGTAATAGATCATATGCTGGGAGTACAGCTACCTACCTGATATCGTCTCGGTCCGGAAGGTGGCACAGGTACCTGACGTAAACCAGGTTCCGTAGCTGATGATGCAACCGTGCTTTTGGTTGCGGTTGAAGACGATCAGGTTACCCTTGCCGGAGAATGGGTCGCTGGGTGCTGTGGGTTCGGAGTGCCCCGTAGTTGTTGTCCGAGTGGGTTCGGGCCGAGAGTGTTTCAGGGGGTACCTGATGCCCTTGGAAGGGCAGTTAGATTTTTGGCCATCTGTTATACAAGTCAACAATCCCATCCATAGTAAACGTTTTTAATCACGTACCTGGGCTTGCAGAAATGAATTTCCCTGTTTGCAGACTTCCTGCGATGTTGAAGTAGTACCAAACCTCATTCAGGGCGCCGCGCTGGCAGCGAACAGTGACAGGGCTTCCATGGGCACGCTCTAGTGCACCTTCAATGTCAGCGAGAGCGTAGGTTTTTGTTGAAGATGGTACAATGCCATTATTGGCCAAGAACTAGATAAGATCAGCACCTTGATTTGAACCTCTTGGTTGCTGCCCAAGGGCGAACTTACTTCATGAGTAGGCAGGTCCTTAAAAACCTCCACTGTCCTGTCAAAGTAATCCACAACCTCTTGCTGCGGCAGATAATTTTCGTAACAACGAGTCTCAAGGGTGCTGACGCAAGTGCCATGCTTGTTCCACTCATGCTGCCAAAGGTTCTGATCATCACCACGGAAGTCCTTCCAGTATTCGCTCATGTATTCCAGCAGATCCCCACGGCCAGAATCGACAATTATCAGCGAAATATTGCTGTATTTGCGTTGGGAGTCACAGAATTGGTCAAAGCCGCCGGCGCAGTGATCAGGCCTAACAGGGGTTAGTTTACCCTCGCCTATACAGTAGTCACGAGCTTACCAAAGTCCATGGATAGTCCAGGAATCCTCAGGCCCCAGAGCAGGGTCCACATCCCAGAACTGCGTCTGCAGCATTTGGCCACCGGGATAGTTGAAACAGCAGGTGTCTTGGCCATGATACTTAGCTTGACAACTGATTTCGGAGACAGGGCAGGATGAAGAGATTCCCGCAGATGGCTTATCTTCTCCTGTCTGCGAGAGCCACAAAGAGCCGAAAGTCTTGAGGATCTTCTGGGGTCCTGGGATCCCCAGGAACTGCTGCGACGATCCCCGCATCATTGATTGACTGGTCGCTAAGTCGAAGTTCAACGAATGTAGTTAGGTGTGTGGTAAAGGTTGAATAAGAAGTCGATGAAGATAAGTTTCAGAGTGAAAGAAGTCCGAATTGCACCGGGGATGGAGCTATCGAAAGCTACAAGGTCGTCGGCGAACTGCTGCAGTCGCCTCAGTGCGGAGAACTGACTAAGCGCGGGGGCAGGTGACCCGGTCATGCGGGCTTTGTTTACCTTTGGGCAACCATATGGAGCTAAACAGTTCAGAGTGAAGTTATATTCAGGAGTGAAGGGGTATCATTATCGGTACATGTATAATATCAAGTCTCACGTTTGATTCTCCTCCATGCGCGCATTCTCTTCTTGCTCACGAATTCTCTCTTTCCATAATCGCATTACTTCAAATCCAACCTCGACAGCGATGAGCAGAATGATGATCCACTCAAGTCGGAGACCGTGGGTCTCACTCAGACGTTCTCGTAGGACACTAGCAATCTCTTGTGCATAGTCCATCTTTTCGTTCAGAAGCTTGATACGGATCCCAACATCTAAAGCTCGGCCAGCTTGTTCATAATAGCCCTCCAAGCCGAGTTCGTGTTCGCTGTCCCAGAAAAGATCTGGTAGAGAGTCTGTGAGTTCCGAGTAGAGATTGAGCTGCGCGCGGACACTCAAAAGCTGCCCGGTCTTGCGGAGAATGAAGTCTCGTGTGAAAGGAAGTCGAGATCCTTTTGATAAAAGAGTCGGGATTGGTCGAGTGGACTCGATATAGTTCGACAAAAGACTCTCAAGAACAGCCAGCTTTGTACTTCGAGCGAGTCCAGACGAAAACGCAACCTTTGTCAGCACCGTATCAATAGATTGGCCGTGACTGTGACGAGGATTCGTCCCCAGTACAATCGTGTCACCCTTGATCAGACTATTTTCGCGGTTTGGGTCCTCTACAAAGTCTAGATCCTCGGTCTCCACATCATGAGCACCCTCTGCCGCAGGTAAGAGAGTTCGTGTTGCCAAAAAAGATGTGAACCCCTCAGGAAGCGACCACGCTACGACTGTACCGGAAGGAAACACAAAGACATCGCCCACTTCGTCGGATGGAAGATCGGTACTGGAGGGATTGGCAACGCGTCGTATAGAGTCGATAGGTATTTGAACATGAACAACTTGGGGGAAGAGCCCCGTCTCTAACGGATCTGGTTCGTATCCTTTTTCTTGTAGAATATCTCTGACTTTGCGAATGTTGAATTGTTCGGCCACAGCGTAAGCAGTCACTGTCTAGAAATGAAGAAAGAATTAGCCAAAGATCTTGGAGGTGACCGAGTTGCTCTTACCTTCTGATTTAGACCCTGCTCTTTGAGAAACGCCTTAGACAAGAATCCATCCTTCGACCTTTGCGCCTCAACTGCTACTCGCCGTAAGGAGGTGGGAGCTGCTGGTAACCTGTTATTCCGCCTTCTCTGCTTTTTTGGGTCCGGCTCAGTGGTGTTATTTGGCTCTTGTTTCAAGTGGGCATTGGACGAGAAGAATTCTTTCCGAGGAAATGCCAACGGTAATTGATTCGACCGCGCAATAAGCCTTGATAACGGCCCACCAGCTGAGCAGATAAAGGGCCTAGCAAGCATGGTGTTGGGAACAATTGCCAGTCTTGGAACAGTTCGTCAATGACATCGTTTTGCAGGGCCGAGGAACCCCGCTTAGTCATGGCAGCTCCCGCCCTGACCTACCCCAGCTCAACTCCAGAACTACAGAACCCAACTTCAGTCCGTCGCATTCTACTTCAAACAGCGTACAAGCTGCAGGTGCTGAGAGGGACTCGCCATGGATGCGCCTGGCGCGACACCGGCGAATGAAAGTGCCGTTCAGAGCACTCCCGAGCACTCCACGTCAACTGCACGAAGCCGATCACCTTCGGACTCAACCCAAAACGCCCAAGACCGCTGCCAATCCGACCATGACCACAGCTCAAATGGCAGCTCGAATGAGGAAGAAAATGAAGAGAATGAGGAAGATGAATCAGATGACGAAGACGAAGAGCCCCGTCTCAAATACGCATATCTCACGAAGCACTTGGGTTCAGTATATCGCAATGGAGATGCGACAAGCTCTTTTCTTGTAGCAGGCGACAAGATGGTGAGAAATCTCAGCTGCAGTAGTGGAAATCGGACAGCTGACAAGCTCTATAGATTGTCGGAACCCACAATGGAAACGTCGTAAGTCAACCACATCTGCGCGCGCTGCTCCACGAGCTGACTTTGTCAAGCATGTTATGTCTTTGCCTCTCTTACAGTCTCTGCGTGTATACCATGCGCACTCAGCGAGTGTCACTTCTATTTCCATCTCGCCATTCCCGCCTCCTCTTCCGAACCTCAAGCAGGACCACTCTAAGCAAACCCAGGATGACCTTCGCCCCCCTACCCGATCATCCACGAACACTGGCAGTATCCGCGGTCAAAAAGGCAAGACGAATAGTACATCCGTACCTAACTTACCGTCGAATTCCATTTACATCGGAACCTCTTCAATCGATGGCAACGTTTGTATCTCGTCCCTAGTTGACCCCAAGGATGTACTATTGCGCAATTTCGGTCGCCCGGTCCAGTCGATCGCATTGTCCCCGGAATACAAAAGTGACAGGGCATTCCTCTCTGGTGGCCGGGCAGGTGAACTGATCCTAACAACCGGCGGTCGAATTGGAGCAAGCTCTAACTCGACAACAATGGGGAGGTGCGGCCGCAACTGCGTCAAGTTGGCTTGGATCGATGGGTCTAGCGTCCAATAGTGGAAAGGACACCATCATACACAGCGGAGAGGGTGCTATTAGCACTATCAGATGGTCCTTATCTGGAAAATTTGTGACCTGGGTCAATGAGGAAGGCATCAAGATTATGCGGTCAAATTTACATCTGGACTCTTCTGAGTCTGAATTTGCCTGGAAACGGATCAGTCATATCGATCGCCCGAACCGCCCAGGATGGGAAGAAATGGCCAGTGTCTGGAAAGCACGCGCAGAATGGATCGACCAGTCTGCTTTAGACAGCCATGACAACCTTGATGTTAACGACAATCCGGCAAGGTCAAATGTACAGTCGGCTGTATCTGTCGATAAAGTAGAAAAGCTTGTCGTCGGATGGGGAGGAACTGTCTGGGTTATTGACGTCCACCCCGATCGAGCAAGCAAAACCTCGAAGGGGGAGAAGTTGGGCTCTGCTGAGGTTGTCACAATGTAAGTTCGGTCCCCAGTGGTCGGCCCATCGATCTATGTCTGACTTTCGAATGCAGACTGCGAACAGATTGTGTTGTATCAGGCATTTCGTTGTACACGCCTCGTCTTCTTGTTATTCTCGCATATTTGGAGACAGAAATTGAGAATGCGAATAGCGGAAGGGGCACTGGAACACGCAATCGAAAACGGGGCTTGGAGCCTGAACTTCGTGTCATTGACATTGAGACTAAAGAAGAAATCAGCGCTGATACACTTTCCGTTAACCGGTTTGAAGGTCTTTCCGCATCTGATTATCATCTCAGCGTTTTGCCTCCGTGGAAGACACCAGAAGGACAAGTCGTTCAGCGTGGTGCCTTAGGCGCACTTGGTTACGGGCTTTTGGATGCTACTATGTACTCTGCACGCCTGTTTGGTTCAGGTACTAGCATCCGCAGTACCACAAGTAGCGGAGACAAGGGCTCTGCTAGAGCTCCTCCATCTTTCATGTCCAAGCACTCGGTCGAGGAGCCTCTGCCGAAAGAGGTGCAGGATGTTTCGGGTGCTCCCGGTGCCAAAATCTTTGTCCACAGTCCATTTGATTGCGTTGTTGCAGTCAGGCGGGACCTCGCAGATCGGCTCTCTTGGCTAGACACTCATGGTCAATACGAGGAAGCTTGGAATCTCGTCGATGAACATCCTGAAGCGGCAGGATCCATACCTGATCTGAGTGAAATTGTTTCAGAAACTGCCGGCAGGTCACAAACTAGTTTGGGCGACTTTTTTGCAGATGACCGATCATCAATCACAACAGCTGGCCGCTCCAAGGTCTCTGCAGCAGAGCAAGAAAAGGCCCGACTTGGAGAGCTTTGGATTCAACAACTTGTTAGCGAAGAGAAGTGGGTGGAAGCTGGGAAGATTTGTGGCAAAGTCATTCGCAATGCTCCACGATGGGAGCACTGGGCGTGGATTTTCATCAAAAGAGGCAAATTGGACGAGATCAATCCGCACATTCCGGTCGATTTAAATCCATCGGTGTCTTCTGCCATATACGAAAATATTCTTAGCCACTACGTGTCTCGTGATCTGTCCAAGTTCAAAGAATTGATTGAAACCTGGCCATCTGATCTATTTGATGCAAATAACATTGCAGCAACCATTGAAGCACAACTGAAATCGGAATCGGTGCGCGGTGAGTCTGAGAACTGGCGAATTCTCACTGATTGTCTCGCCAAATTGTTCTTGGTTGCGGGACATTACCGCGAAGCTTTGCGGTGCTATATTCGATTGCAAGATGGAGACGCAGCAATGTCATTGGTGAGGGAACACCGCTTGCTGGATGCGGTCACGGATGACATTCCAGCTTTCATCATGATTCGCGTTTCCAAGGAGCAAATGAAGTCAGCCACCAAGGCCGAATTAGAAGAATTAACATCCGAACCGACACGTCTCCTTGTTAGTGAAGCATACACGGGCATCGTTATTCCGGATACCGTCGTTTCACAATTGATTGCCGCAGACCGGTACCTGTTCCTATATTTCTACCTTCGCGCGCTATGGCGAGGCGAGTCACTGCCCCATGAAGCCTCTAAACCCCGAAGAGGGCGAGGGGCTCATGCTCGAGATGCGGCTAGCAAGCTGGCCGCCGACGAAGGCAAAGCACTCATTGACAATTTCGCCGACACGACTGTCGAAGTATTTGCAGATTATGACCGACCTCTGCTGATGGAGTTCCTTCAAACGAGCATTTCTTACTCCTTTGACAAAGCAACCTCAATATGCGAGAACCACAAATTTACGCCTGAGTTGATTTACCTCCTATCGAAGATGGGTCAGACGAAGCGGGCCTTGAACTTGATATTGTCAGACCTGAAGGATGTTTCACAGGCGATTTCATTCGCAAAGTCACAGGGAGACCCCGATCTCTGGGAAGATCTACTTGACTACTCGATGGATAAGCCAAAGTTCATTCACGGTCTTCTTGTTGAGGCGGGTACAGCCATCGACCCGATCAAGCTTGTCCGTCGAATTCCGAGTGGATTGGAGATTGAAGGATTAAGAGAAGGCCTGACTCGCTTGATTCGTGAACACGACCTGCAAGCTAGTATTAGCCAAGGCGCGGCCAGAGTTATGCAAAGTGAAGTTGCTCTTGGGATGGACTCACTGCGCAAAGGCCAGCGCCGTGGCATCAAGTTTGATATCAACGAAGATAGAGAGGAGGACTCCATTTTGACACCGACAGCCAAGACTCAGAGCCAAGATCATTTATCTCAGACTAGTGGTGCCAAAAAGTTTGCAGGCACTGGGCAGGGAAGATGCGGCGGCTGTAACGCCGCCTTCCGAGCAACCGGTATGTTTACTTGCTCACATCAAGCCTACTAGATCGTCGGAACGAATGCTAACGAATTGACTAGAGCGGGAAATTCTTGTTGGCTTCGCCTGTGGCCATGTATTCCATCTTTCCCACTTGCACGCAGGCACGTCACAGCAACAATCCGGCACAAGCAGCGATCAATCCGGAGATCGAACTCCTCGAGCCATGTCTCCAGTCGACGAGCCTATTTCAACCACCGCCTCTCGTACAGTGGGTCCCAAGGTGACCACGGCAAGGATCTTACGAGATAAGATCGGTGACGGTTGCCGGATCTGTGCTTTGACGAGGGAGATTGAATCCCTTGGCGTTGATGGTGAAGTCTGATTTATTTTGGATGGTCTCGATTACCTGTCTAGCCTGTGTATACTTCCTGTGCACATACCCACTCGCATTCTCTGCATTTTCGTTGTTTCCCTGAGATACCCTGGCCTATTTTTAGGTTGCCTGGAGCCAGTGTTGGGGATATTTGCATGCCAATGATCTACTGAGGCCTTTTTTTCATTAGTACCCGTCTATTCCATGAAGATCAATGCTCAACTTATGTATTTGGCTATCCCACCCGGCGCTGGGTTTTCAGTACATATTATAAATTCATTTTTTACATCTCATCGCATTGGTCCTCTTTAAATCTGTGCTGAAGACTATTATAAAAGATTTTGAGGGAGATACTAACGACTAAGCGTACACTGGTCGCTGTGATAACGTTCCAGTGTGCAGTTGTCAATTGAAACCTATAGCAACACAGCCAGTATAAACTCTGGGGCATAGCTTGCAGCACATAGGCTATGTATTGCATCTCGACCTTGATACCTTGTTCTATGATTCCACTGGAGGAAACCCCAACCGTGCTGGCTACGATGTTGCTACCCTGGACCAGTTCAGTCTGGCTCTGCATACATGGCCGTGCCAGTTCATCTTTTGCAGGGCTTTATATATCACATGACATGATCACATTTTGTCACAGCAGGAGTAATGAGGAGGTACAAGCGGATCCCTAAACGCACCCTCAAATCCAGGCTTATTGAAGATTAGATTGCACGAGGCTAAGCACGAGACTGGTGGCCCTTCTCAATCTCCGAGTAGGATTGGAAGTGAGGGCATACACTGACAATGCCTGGCGAGTGAGGCTATAGAATGCACTCCGCCTCTCTCAAACAAGCATCGATTCCACCGATAAGCCCACACATTGCGCGCACGAACTCGGCGACAGATACTACATCAGTTCATGCCAGACCCGGTGCCGATCTGCAGACGATATAACTCCCTCCTTCGAAATGGCCCTAGGCAGGGCAAACCTTTGAGGGGCACTGAGGCCCGTCGTATAATCATCAACTCCATCCTCGCACTTGAGCATTCGGGCGTAGACAGCGAAGGGAATCTGCAAGTTTCCTGGCCCTTCAGCAATAGCCCGGTCAGTTGTCTTTTATTCCCATCTCCGCAAAAGGAAGAGCATCACTGGTTTCAGGTTGTCATGGATACGCGGGACATGTCGAGTTTTGCGGTCTTTCTTTAATTAACAGTGTCTGGAATTCCCGGAGCAGTGGCTCGTTCAATCGTGTTCGGCGCCATGTAAAAGTGGGCAGTTCAGGCCGTTACAGAGCATTCTCTTGACGCGGATTCTGGTTATAAATTAAGAAGGTTGAATGTCTAGATTGTTGCAGGGTGCTAGATTTCTGGTTGGGGAGGCGCATCCGACTGTTACCAAGGCAGTGCAGGAGAGCCAAATGACGATGATAAATGCGACTGTTAGCAAGAACCCTTCGAGTTCTTTGTGGTATCGACTCTGGGAGATACTCCCAGATGCGAAGTCTTTTGACTTCAAAGAACATACTAGACCTAGTATCACAGCAGGACTCTCGGATCCGGTGTTTGTTTATTGATTGGTTGGGTGGACGTTTGTTTACCGTTTGACTACCTGAAGCACTTGGTGAGGAGGCTCTCTGTGTGACAAAAAGGCTAGTTTGGTTGATTTTTTGGTTTACAAGTTACAAGATACCCAATACTATTCATGCGCATGTAGCGAAATGTGAACTTTTGTGAGATTAGACAGCTAAGCTGCGACTATGTAATAAAGTCACTATTAGATATTGCAAAATTAACGGGGATCCCTAATTACATCCCCACAAAAGAAACATGCGCATGCGAACCCATAAAACTGGGGTTGCTTCGTTCTTCAATCGTAACCATAAGAAACATGTTGGGTACCGCCATTGCTGCATCAAAGATGGCTAGGCTTGCCTCCCAGCATGGGATGAAAGATATGTACACTGGTTGCTCACAGAATGACAAAGTGGGCAGCATTAGCGAGCACGACGAAAATGCTCACGGTAAGCAGACGGCCATCCACGAGCCCAGCAGTACTGGCACCGTTGAACACAGGAGTCGAAGGAGTCAGTGTCTCGCTGGAGGGAGGGTGAGGAACAGTGGAGACCGCGATTTGGGTCTCTCCGCTGTGGGAAGCCTCATGAGGGACCTGCTGAGGAACAGTAGCCAGTGTGGTTTGAGGAGCAGCAGGCTTGGTCGTGATGATGGGCTCAGAAACTGACTCAGAAACCTTGACCTGAGGAGGGGACTGGGGGAAAGTGGCCTCGAGAGGAGCAGGTGCGGAAACAGGAACCTCAGTAGTCTCAGGAGTAGGGACAGTGACTGCGATAGGTACCACAGGCACGACAGAGACCGAGATGGCAGTAGTGAGTACCTTAGTGCTGACACACTTGGTAGACTCGGTGCAGGAAATGTCCAGGGTCATAGTGATCTCAGTAACGGCCGGGGCAGGGGGAAGCCCGACAGTCACAGGAGCAGGAACAATGATCACAGCGGGAGCAGTGGGAGCAGTGACCTGAGTTCTAGTGGGGTTAGAGAAAACCAAAGTGCTAGTGGAGTAGACCTCGGTGCTGCGGCACTTCTCGGCGTAACTGCAGGGAACTGTGATTGTGAAAACAACTTCAGTAGTCACCGGGGTAGGAGCAGGAGCCATCTCAGTGTCAGTGGGGCAAGGCTCTGTGACAAAGTCGGTGGCCTCGCCAGTCACAATGGAACCGGAGACAGGAACGCTAGTGACCTTGCTAGTAGCAGGAGCGGTGACATGGGTGCCAGTGGGCTTGGAGATAACCAAAGTGCTAGTGGAGTAGACCTCGGTGCTTCGACACTTCTCAGTGTGACTGCAGGGGACTGTGACGGTGTATACGATCTCAGTGGTCATGAGTGCAGGAGGAGCAGCAGTAGGAGGAACGCCAGTGATCTTGCCAGCAGCAGGAGTCGACTCAGTCTCAGTGGGGCAAGGCTCGGTCAAATGATCGGTGCTCTTGCCAGTCACAGTGAAGGCGACCTCACTGCTGGAACTAGAAGCTGAGATTTTCTCGACGGAGCTAGGGTGGAATGAAGTCATGGGCTTAGCAGTGGTGGTAGAAGAAGTGGCGGAAGCAGGTGCCGAGCTGCTGGACATAGGAGTACCAGGCTGAGTGGTAACCTCAGTGGCAGTGGCAGTAACCTTGGAAGTAGTAGACTCCGAAGACACAACAGAGACCTCAGTAGTGCCGGACACATGAGTGGAGGTGACAGCGGGTACCACAGTGGTGATCACATCTGTGGGAGCAGAGGCAGAAGCAGAGACAGCTACGGAAGTGGTGGGAAGAGTACCAGTCTCAAGCGAAGTGGTAGTGTAAGATGTGGTCACAGTGCTAGTGTGAGAGATGATTGGAGGAGAGCTGACGATGGGCACAACAACAGAGTCCAGGGTGCTAGTGGTTGTGGCCAAGGGGACATGAGGAGTGCAGGATGTCACGGTGGTGGTGATCGTGGCTGTTGTCAAAAGTCAGTTTATTGTGCCATGGGGATGAGGAACCTCCGACAGATCTCTGTCTGAAGGACGTGGGGCATGAACTTACACCAGCCATCATCAGGGTGGACAGCGCGGCCGAACAAGTTAGGAACGGGGGCAGAGACAGAAGTGTCTGTGTGTTCGTCAGTCATTAGCCATTGGGTTCAAGATGGGTCAAGGGTAAAGACAGGAGGGATCATGACTTACTGTCACCGAGGACGTGAGTAGCACCAGTGTGCGGGTTCTGGAGGAGCACCTTCACGATGGAGGTGCAGTCTGTTGAGTGGCAGGTTAGTCACGCGATTCTTGGTGTGATGGAGGGGAAAAAAAGACTTACCCTCACCGAGAGCAGCAGCCATGCCCATGGAGACCATAGACACGACAATCAAGAGGGACATCTTGAAACGCGTCAAAGAAGTCATTTTGGCGTGCAGAGAGGAGTTAACGAGCGTGAGTTGATGCTTTGATGGATTTGGGATGAAAGCCAGGAAAGAATCAAGAAAGGTAAAGCGAGCGTGGTGGGGAGAAGAGGAAGAAAAAGAGGGAGAAAGGAGAAGAAATAGTAAATAAAGAACCGGGGGACAAGAAGGCGAGCGACGCAGGAACGATGGATGCCTCTTTCCTTTTTTGATCACATGTGCCCTCATCTCACAACTAAACATGAAACACCTACGTGGAAGTCACTCCTTCCCCTTGGAGCTTACTTGAAGTACTTGACGAGGATGTATACCTTGTTCCTATACTAATATTCGAACCAAATGACTTCTGGTGCTACTCTCATAGAAACTCAAAATGGGGTACAACGGCATATCGCGACGTACGACCACTGTGAGATAGCCTTTAGCCAGTTGAAGAAATGAGCCGGGCATGTATCCTGCCTCGCTCGAGGCGAGGCTTGCGCTTCAGCAAAGCCATCATGCAATGGTTGAACAGCACCGCTGAAGACTGAGATGTATATTCACTGCCAGAAAGTCCAGTTCAATATCAGATGCCTAAAACTCCATGAGGACTAATTATTTCCACGGAGAGGCTAGGGTGTCACAGACGAGCTTGGTGTGTCATTTCCCAGTCAACAACGGATTGTGCTGCTGATGTGTACAAACCAACATAAGCCATATACTCCGCGAGACCGCTACAAGTTCAGATTGCCCGGAAGATGGGAATTGAGTTCGAATATAAGACATGGTAGCAGGTGATGGCCAGGATATAAACTTTTAAGAAGTTTAGATAAGACACCAGATCAAGTGCAGAAGTGTAGTATCATATTGAGCCTCGATATCTATAAATGGCAGGTCTTGACTACGATTCTATTTCGACTCAGATATCAACCCTGCGGTCTATGCCGAAGGCCAGTTAGGCTACCAGGGTCTCACGGTCTCAAGTAGGGACGGGTGAGGTCAGAACGAGTTAATCAAACATCAGCATGATATTATAGGGTTAAGTCCATTCTTCCATTCTGCACTCCCGGCTAGCCATGTTGGAGGTTAAATTTGGCGCAGATCTATATCAAATACTAGTCTGTAGTATATATTTGCCACCACAGCCCTAAACCGTTTGATTTCACATTCACAAACTAACAATTGCGGAAAAACCCCCATTTTCGATATAAGCTTCGCATGGGAAGATATATGCAATCCAATAAGAACCGCGGACATTAGCAATTTCGAATATAAACAGGATTATTCAAGCACCGCCCACACGGTTCGGTAGGATACCGAAAAATACGAATATACGGAATATTTTGCACAGACTGTATTTCCAAACAAATACCGCGAACAAGCGGTAAGTAACAAAGCTAGACCCAAACGAGAGGCCATCGTGACGGGACGACCCGCGTAGTTGAGGTGGGGATCTACCAGCATCTCCGCTTCCAAGGAACTTCCCTGCATCTGACATCATTGTGGCTTCCAGGTATGCGTGGACTGGGTTTTCGGACACAACGGGCATAATTTTCGAGCACGGTTTTGAGATCTCTGACATTGGGGAAGATGTGGGTTGAAAAGAAATTGTGGTGCGCAAAATAAGATCCACTTAGCAGATGCGCTAGAGGTAAGGGTTTCATCGCAAAGAGCGATCGACAGGAGACCGTTCTGGATTGTGCTTTTGATTCAGAAGACTCGGTGATACAGAGAGGGGCTCCGAAATAACTGGTTCATATCCGACTTGCGTCAAAGCGGCCAAGAGAAACTGGTGATCGGCCAGTTCCGCTTCACAATTACACACAGAAAAGCCAATAGTTTTGACAAATTCAGGAACGGGGGTATGAGAAATCTATTCTCGGATACGAGAGATCCATGGGTGCAATCTCTAAAAAAGGACCCGAGGAGCTGGGACCCAAGATCGGAAATTGGGGGGAAGATCGAAAAGAGAAAGTACACTATGTGCATTCATAGTGGCCCGATTGATTGTCTGAGACGGATGGTTTGTACCATCGAATTTGATAGAACCAACTTCTTATGGAAGGCCGCCCCCGAAATGACGGATTGGCGCAGAAGACCGGGGGAAAAGGCTCCTGGCAGCATCCGTTGGCTGACAGCCGGTCTGAGCGCCCAGCCAATCACCATACATAGATAAAACCGAAACAGCGGTCCATGGGATCTTCATAGACCAACCGCGGTGAATATCCGAATAGCCCTGCCGCTTTTACCTGGTTGCTGGGACCAGCTTCTGGTGTGGGCTCTCAAACTTATTTTTCTCCGAACGTGAGCGTTGCGCAAACCGTAGTTTTTGTCGCCTCTTTCATATCATTCTATGGTTCTCAGGCGATTGCCTTTCTGCCTGCTCGCACGGCCGACCTGATTTGGCGATTCGATCGTCAATCATTCGGGGTTGACGCGTCGACATTGGATGGCAGACAAGCATAAGGTCCTTCTTCAACCATGTTCTGCATGTACGCATGTACGTTTACGATGGAATATGATAAACTAATTGAAAAAGCAAGGTCATCGTATTCTGAGCCTATACTTCAGAGGTTGACTTGTTACCCTGTCCTCTGGTGACTTTCTGTATCAAATAATCCAAAGCCCGTATACATATCCAAAAAGATATGATATGAATAGAATCCGCAGAGCCATAAGGGCAAAGGTTCAAACCGGAAACACCAGTGAGAAGCAAATAGATAGGGCTAAAGTCAAAATGGAAACGGGGTATCAACGACGTATGCTCGGCCCTGGACCATATCGAAATCATCACCAGAACAAACACAAAAGTGTATATTAACAGACCCATGGCCTGTTGACTCATATATCGTCACAGGGTTAGGCAACGCCAAGTTTGCAAATGAAGAAGGGAAGAAGAAATTAAAACCAAAAATAATAGCATAAAGTGACGGGGTATCATTGCTCGGAGACTCGTGTTTTATCTCCGTATTCAACTCCCCGTGAAAAACAAAAGCCAACCCACTGATAAAGGAAATATAAGAATCGCAAAAAAGGCGTAAGTAGAATGCAGAAGCCGAAGCAAGGGTTGATGATGATGCAGAATTAGAACGTCAACTTGATCTCAATGGGAGATCCAGGCGCGTCAACATTGGAGCCCGACATTGTCGATATGTCGACGAGCATGTCTTGCCCCTCGGGAAGCTCCCGAACCACATCATCATCCACCATAATTTGCATGCCTTTTTCGGTGACGTGCTTGATGCTGACGATGCGTACCGGATCGATCTGTTGCTTGCTGGAAATCTGCTTCATGAGGTCCCGGACAGTGCGTTCGGTCAAGTAGATAGCGCGATAATAGTCCTGAAGACCCTCCTCGTTTCCAGAGAAACGAACGTAAAAGCAGGCAATCGGCTTGGGCGGGCGTTCCGAGGGAGGTCGATAAGTTGAGTCGATACCGACAGCCTCGAGGAAACCCCGAGGGGCTTGATCGGCAGATGGGTTCTTTTGGATAGTCATTGGACGCGAGTACGTGTGTGGTGAATTTTCAGAGGGGTTGCTGCTTTCCGGCGAAGGCATCAATGCTTCTGCCGACAATAAATCACCAGTGCCAGTCCGGCTAACAGTCTCAAACTTGACAGAGTCCCCATCACCAGGCAATCGGATCGGGTATAGATCGGGATCATCAAGTTGGTCGCCGCGTAAACCGAACACGCTCACTGAACGAGTTGATGAGAACATCTCCTGCATCACGCTTAGTTTTGATTGGAGGTCGTCTTCCAGAGACGGCTTCTCCGAGTTATCTGAGCTCTGTGACCAAGTACGCTTGTGCTTGGACAATTTCATAGAACGGTCGGTTCCCTTGGCAGTTGCAGTAGCGTTGTTGCCGCGCTTCCGCTTGGCGAAACCACCACCCATTTCGGCCTGGGAAATCTGCTGCTTGAGTTTGTCGATAGTCTTCTTGACATGCGCAATGTCGTTAGACATCTTCCGCTCAGCTCCGTGGTCCCGGAAAAGTTTCACTTTGCAGTAAGAGAGCTCCACGTCGCGTGATACGCCAGACATTTCGCCTGGGGGAACAATTTCAGTCTTTGCGCAAAGTCGGACAGGAATGCCTTTGACGCCTTTAGAGTGACTGAAATCAGTAGAAAGGAAGTTGAATCGCACGGGGATGTTGCAATCCGAGGAACCAGTCATTGGGTTGGCGGTCCATGTGACGCAGAATCCATCGACTGACAATTGCTCAACTTGTACTTGACGGTGCTTGTGAGAATCGCCGCCACCTTGTAAAGGGTCTACATATTCGACAGCCAACAACTTTCCACCACGTTGGTGGGCTTCGCTGGAACCTCGACCTTCCTTCCACAATTGCCAACACGCAGAGGGTCTCGCCCTTTGCTCTTGTTCCTCAAAAGAAATGCGAACATAGGTTCTGTATCGAATGGGGCGAGAGCTGCCAGCTGGTGGGCTCGAATCTGTGACTGACAAATTGTATGCTTGTCCCTTATTAAGATAAGTCACTGGAATTTCTCTCATGTTCTTAACCATCGCGGTTGGTGCGCGAAGAGAGACATTAAAACGGAATCTATAATTTGACAGTTAGCATTACACATTGCAGAAGAGAGATTCAGTGCAATTGACATACTTTTCGCCCTTGGCGTAAGACATGTCGTCTGTTGGACCTGTTGGGGCTGAGTAATCCGTAGAAGCCGTCACGTTAGATGCTGAATCCATGTTCATGTCATTAACAGAGGAATCATCGACTGATTCATCCATAACGTTAAAATTTGAATTATGATGCATGAATGCGCTTGGAGCGTATGACGCCTGTTGCGCATACGGGTTGATTTCCGGCATGCTGGCGAGGAAGTGTGGGTTAAAGGGTTCAAAGCCATTGCCGGGGTGATGATGGGCGCCATGCATGGGGTTGCTAAGAGAGAGCGGCGTGATCATAGGCATTCCGGTTGGTGTATGCAAATCACCGGCCTGGTTGTGGTAGATAGCGCCCATTCCACCGGAGTTTGGCGTAAAAAGACCAGAGTGTTGACCGCCGTAAGGCATCATTGAAAAGGAACCAGGCTCCATCCATGATGGTGTCAAGCCCAATTCTTGCATATTTCGAGGTGTGCGGTCGTTGGTGGGTAATTTTATGTCGTGATCAAATTTCATGTCGTGTTCTGTAGTCCTATTTGCGAAATCCACTGTCAGCTCCGATCCGCACGTTGGGAGATTTCGAGGCTGCGAACCTTGTTGAAGACATCATGGTATCTCCATTCTGGTCAAGGCTTGGTCGTCCAGCCGAGGAACTCTGGCTGTCTCTGCGAGGAACGACATCGGAGAAGGCTTGTTGGAAGCGACTGATGAAGTCGCCATCAGGCTTTTGGTGGTTGTTCCTGGAGCACAAAGAAATGTTGGAATCATGTAATAAAATGTCAGAAATGAAAGATTTAAACCTACCGGTTGCTGAACATTAAGGGCAAATTGTCAAGGTTTCCCTTCGCTAGGCAATGCAAACAAGCGAAATTGGAGAAGTGTCGGATAGGAAAGAAGGAGGCTGCAGAAGTATGTGCAACATCTGATCCGACCTAAAGATATGTTTCAAAGCTGAGGGCCACAATTTGTAGGCTCTCAGTCTTGCCTAGTCATCGGACTAGGACACTCGAGGTGTTGTTGGTCTCCCGCAAGGCGTCCGATGCGGTACCCAAAAAGATCGAGAACTCGAGATTCGGTCAAATTTGTGTATATGAAAATGATCTCGAGCCTCTGAGTGAAGCAACTTGGTTTGCGCAAAACAAAAAAAAAGGTAGACGGGTAGCGAGGTTGTTCGAATGGGGGGTGAAGCGCGGAGGCTAGAGACGGAGGGTCGCGGGTCTAGTCCTCGCCGAGTGTGGTAGAGGAGTGAAATTTAATCAGGTGTCCAAAAAAAGATTGAAAATAGAAGTGGCTAATGACCCTTTCTTATAAAATGGGAGGGGGAGTATATAATTGAAGACGAGGGGTCAAAGAAGGAGGGGAGGTGTATGACGATCGTGTTAAGAATAAAAGGCGAAGGGGAAAAGAAAAGAAGTATCGGTACGGTCCATGGAGCCTCCAATAACGAAAGATCTACGAGATCCAACAAAGCTGTCACTGAGCCACACTTTCAAGGGGGTGGAGGTCGGAAGATTAGAAGAGAAGTCGTCGCCACCTTATGAAGTGACCCGATAAGGACCAGGGGCCACATGGACGAATTCGAAAAAATAGAGAGCTCTTCGGTAGGGGGTACTTCCCGTTTCGATCTTTTTGTGGAATTTTCTTTTCTTTTTTTCAATTCTTCTCAGCATTCTGTATGATTTCTATTTTATATGCATGAAATGATTGGTGTCAGGGGGAAAGAAAAATGGAGCGGAAAAGAAAGGAAAATACTCGAACCACGGAAAAACGGTGCGGACATGAGGGAAAGAGCGAGAACGAAGGTAATTTACGGTGTATTGTCAGGGTCTGTATTATTTCACTACTTACGGGTGGTTCATACAACTACAATTTATTCTATACTTCATTGTAGTAATCTCATTATCCTTCTTTGTTTTTGTGAATTGACCAGAGTTTTCCCGTCTCTAGGCCGTGCCTGCGGCCACGGGCTCTTCTTTCCTCCCCAGATGCCACATTTCTTAATCTTTATGGGGCTCTATATTTGGATCCGAGCTCTCTACAGTCGATGATGTCGAAATGTCACTGCCCGGAGCAGATATAGTCATTACCGCTTTTAGCCGGCTAAACGACCTTGTGACTTTCTACCAATGTAGGTGGAAATGAGACGTGCGTTCAGGGGAGAAAGGCGTTTGGTGGCGCAAGATGGCAGGGATAAATTTTGGCGAATTCGGTTACTACAGTGTATACTACTATATCTACACAAATCAGAACAGTTGGACCAGCTTTTCCTCGTCACAAGATGTCTATAATAGACGTGTATCAAATCACAATGGGATTTCTTATCAAGTTTGATGTTTTTCGACCGAATACCAAACATGGATATATATCGATCGAGTTCGATCGGTGCTGACGACATGTTCATGTATTCATCTGTGGTTATCGACGACCATGGGTGACATGTCGACAGTATTCGCCCGACATTGAACTACTACATCCGGCAACACCACGACCGAAAGTCAAATACCGTGAGCTTCGTTCTCGCAAATTTCATGATCTTTCTCCTCAGCATTGACGAGACCGAGCCGTTGTCCGATCTGTGGCGATTTTGATATCGGGGACAATCGGTTGGATCTCCATCGAAACCAATGGCACCTGCACTTGCGCACAACACATCGTAAGTTAATTCATTGTCCATTGAGTTCCATTGGCTGGGGCCCGAAATTCTTCACATACATGTATGATGGCTAGGGATGATCTCATTGCCCAACGTGCTGGAATCAAACGTGGCTTAAACGTCCCCCAGAATAAAGTTCAGGGGACTGTGGCTCAGTCACTCTTTACGATAGGTTGAAAATATGAGAATTTGCCTCAGTTACGTCGACGACATAGGAGACGAAGTCATCGTTGCCCATTGCACCAAATGTGAGCTCACACTATGGAGGTTGCAGCCAGAGCGTAATATATGGGTGGTATGTAAGTAAGACTTATCCCTTCGATAAAGTACAGCCTCTTACAATACTGCTGAAATCCTCTTCATTGCTGGAAGGACTTCCCGCCAATCACAGGGCGCAATCGGCTGTCGGAGGCTCGGGTGGGGCCAGTCAAAAACGATACATTACCACTGGAACGAACATCCATATTTTCAATGTTTCAACGTTACTGTTCATACTTACTTGTACAGAGTTTGAAGTGCTATATAAAATGTAGATCGCAGCCTCCACAGCGTGTTCTCCATACTTAAATGAGAGCTTGGTCATTTGCTGGAGGTTTCCCCCGGCATTTACTAGTCGTGAAACACGATTATTCGATTAGAAAATTGACATGCCTAACCAATACGGTAAGGAATTTTTATAGAATATCATTCTTTAAACGGAGGGCTTCAAGGAATTTAATATTAAAGATCAGGTACGCGAGTCGGTTGGAGGACATCGCGAGCTCTCAGTTTCAGCTACAGAGGCTAGTTACAGAGACAAGCCAAAGCACAAAATAGTATTCCGTACATTCTTGAGAAGATTACACTGTACCATTACAGCCGGGTTCCGAGGACGTTACATACTCGCAAGTGCAAACAATTCTCGCGCAAAAACCGAGCACTCCACCTACGACATGCCGCTACCTCAACCACTAATCCATGTAACTTTCTTAGTACTTCCCTCCACCTTTCGAAACGGACAAATCAGACACGAGTAAGTACTCCCCCGATTGTGTTACACCCAACAACTAAAGTGATATGGCTTTTTGTGTGCTCCGTATTGTCGCTCTTGCTTGGAAGTCATGACGCGGTGGCTGACTAGCACAACGTTTTCGGGTCGACAAGGGTAAGGCTAGACAATTTAGAAAAGCCGACTTGAATTGAAACGAAGATTTATATCAGAGCATGTGGGAATGCAAACTCTGTATACTATATGAGAGCGCATCTTTCATTGAAGTCCAATCGGAAATATCATCCGGATCGAATGCACAGTCGATAATTGGAAGATCGCGAGAGCGCAGTTTTAGACGGGCCCAATGGGTTTCTTCCGGGGAGCTTTGGCGAGTATACGACCAATAGGATACAATGCTGTGGCACGGCAATCGCTGACAACTCATTCAGCGCACATGTACCATTTGTGGATCATTGAGCTTATGGGGGCCGGGGAGAGAGATGAGAGAGGGGCGTGCGCAACCACTAGTTACAAGCCGAGGATAGCGTGTTGTACAGTACGTAAGCGGCTGATTTTTCCGCCTTAAGGCAACGAAATAAACAATCCACGAATGTACGGACTGTTCTTTGGAGATCGACGAGAGCCAACCCTTGTGGCTTGCAATTTGATGGGTTGTATAGCCAGTCATAGTAACAGATGACCTTGCCACACCTTGCCACTTCGGAGTCGGGCATCCGACTCTTTCAGTGTCGACCGCCACATCATAGCTAGCTTCATTACGCAACCTCCTGGGTTCAGCCACATAGCATGCTCATAGCTAATGTGTGCTCAAAGGTACCCTGTACAAACTTAGTACTGCGGGGGGGGGGGGAGCGGAACGAGCGGATCTGTCTTGGTTGTAGAACGTCCAATGGCCGCTGTGGACGATGAAGATGTGGCAAATATCAGTAAAACTTAGGGAGTTATGCATATGTCCATCCTACGGGGCGCTTGGGTCATACAATGTCCACCACTCTGTTCAACGGCCGCTAATATTCGAAATTGAGACCCTCTTTACTTCATACTTCTATTTTCTGAACATGGCATTATTCATGTTCGAATATCATATGACTCATGCGCTCACAGCCACATCTCAATCATATCGATATTCTCAAATCAGTCCACTATACGCCCATTATCTCTATAGAAGGCTGGGCACGTGGAGACTGTGTGGTAACTTGACTCGATCACAGCCTTACGGGAGAATATTGCAGGGTTGCCAGATGCACAACCCTAGACGGTTCGTTTGCTCAAAGATACAAAGAAGTACAAATACAGCGCACAATCCATAGGTCAATAGGTACTTTTGTTGCTCTCGTGATATCACTTTGAAGCTGGTGATCTCAACGATTCAAAATTAAAAAGGTACCCATGGACTACGGGCCGAGGTTACGTCATAGAGCTAGAGCTACAGTTACCCGTGGACGGCTACGGAGGACAGAGCATTGCGAATATCAGTTATGCTATGAGTGCTATGCCAAGATCTATTTTTTGGAATAAGTCGTTTTTGATGCTAGTGTGGCTAATCACTTAACCCTATGTAAATTTGTTCACCGAGATCTATCTTCAACAAAGCCCAACTACAGTGCTCAATATCTCAAATATTAACAGTAAACCCATGATATTACCCGTATCTAAAACTGCGAAGGAATGTGATGTCCCCTTTACAAAAGATGACGATGGCCTAGCCAAAGAGAAAAAGCAGGCTGTCGATATGATATGCCCGGTGAGTCTTCCATGCAAGAGTTCCCCACGACACGACACGACTAGACCTGCGCAATGGAAAGACCAAATGTTCGCAGTCGCAGGCCAGACAGTGAAAACCCAGCATGCACACATGCAACCTCTAAAAGACCCATGAACGCCGATGATTGGGTGTAACAACAAATGAAAACAAGAAAAGTGTATAGACAAAGACAGAGCCCGGTAGAACTTAAAAAAAAAAGGAAAATGCAATGGCGAATGAGTGCCTGGTTCTGTGTCCCGGGGTGTCCATCCCCCGTAAGAGGGGAAGAGTGTAAAAAGGCAAGAAAAGTATTAGGCTCGAATAGCCTTTCAATGAAGGTGGGTGTGGAAGTGTGTGTGGGTGTGAGCGTGAAGGAAGGAATGCTTGAGCATCCATAGCCTGCAATGTCATGTTATGATGGTCCGTCCGTGTTTCAGGCTACATCAAGGAAGCAGTGGTATCGAGAGGACGAGTCGGAAGAGCTGTTTATCTAGCATATCGGTTGACAGCGTAGAGTTATCAATGTTGGATGATCAATGAGAACCCATCGACCCAAGAAGCAGAAGAGCCGGCAATTCCAGCAATCTTGTAACCCAGAGGTGGGATCAAGGTGTGACTATTGGAAACGAGTTAGTATAGTTCGGAAGTATTCTGACAATTGGCAACATACCCGGAGCCACCAACAGCGTTTCCATAAACGCCCGATTTCCTTCCCAAGCTCGTGAGAATCTCGATTCCATCAATCCAGAGGCCAGCCCGGACATAGAATCCAAGCAAAATTTCACCACGTCGAACGTCGAAGGTGAACTCATCACCATCTGGCTTACCTCCTCGCTTGCCGAAGAGTTGACTAGTCTTGTCCGCGTACAAAAACTCGAGACCATCCAATGCAAGGCCGTGATAAACCTTGATCGACGTCAGGAGCTTGTGGTGCACGAAAGCACCCTCCAACAACAGTTGTTCGGGTTCACTGCCTTCCATGGCTGAGTGGCCCAGCCTGCCGCTCTTATATCCGGACTGGCCTTTCGGCAACTTGACCAGGGAGTTCTTTGATTTCAATTGGCTGATATCCTCGACAGTATAGCTGCCCATTGCACCAGAGTAAACCACGATTCGAATCTTCTTTTTCTTCTCCTTTTCGGTGCCAAACAGCCGTTGACGCAGTTCGCCCTCCGTGACCGTAACTTGTTTGGGAAGACCATTGGGGCTTGACTCGGTATGCAAGTATTCAATGAAATTGTGACAGAAGTCTTCGCCCTCAGCATACAATTCCATGAATGCAATGCCCGATGAAGCAGTGAACAGAATTTTACCGCTTTCCACTGGCCACAACTGGACGCTGTCATCCGAATTGGGATAAGGATCACTTGGAAGTCGGAAGCTGGGATGGAATCGGAAGCGCAGTGCATCTAGGCGATGCCAGCCACATTCATCGTTGGGCAAGCACACTTTCAGTCCCTGAGCCTTTGTCCGAGTCGAGAAAGGCTCCCGAGTCAAGAACGTTCTGTTCAAAGTGACATAGTCACGGAGCATGACGCCCGACTCTTGGTGAGGACACCCGAACAAATGACCAACTTCGTGAAGATGAGCACCAATGCCCAAGTTCGCGGATTCCCAGTTAGAGCCAGCTTCACCACAGTCGTTGGCAACGTGGGCTGTATCTGTCCGAGTGCAGTCTGTGAAAGCATCCACTACGTCTTCAAGACAAGATGGATAGCTTTGGAGACAATGTGATCCGAATATGGCCATCTTGATATCATCGTCACCCGACCCTAAAGCTGCGTGCCCCGTGATCATCTGTGATGTGGTATCCCAGTGAGAATCGAGCAGAAGAACAGAGACGTATTGTTTCTGACCAGGCTGAGGCTGGAAGTGCTTGCGCACCGCGTCCTTGGCAATGTTGAACAGCTCATCCTTCTTTTCCGCTTTGTCGTTCTGCTGAGCAATGTTGAGATCCCTAAGTTCAGCCACTGTCTTATCAGTGCGAACAATGTGGACCTTTGCCTCGTTTCGCATTTGAGCCTGTGTCAAATCGCGACGGCTCAGAGTACCGGATTGCCACTCTTCTTCAAATCGGAAACAACGGCGCCCAAAGTTGTTGCGGAACATCTGTTCGCCGGTGAAAGCCTGCCAAAGATAGGCGGCCATGCGATACTTTCGAATCGCCATGTCCAATCCATTGCCCTCGCGTTCCACCCTTTCCGGCACGGCATCGTATGTGCCTTCTGAATCTTTTCCAAGCAATACGACCAGCTGTAACGGCGGGGTGTTGACTAGAGGTAGGTAGTTGATGCAGATCCAAGTCGAGTGAATAGCGGGGTGGGTGCTGCCCGTCGACAACTTGGGAGAGACGAAATCGAAGCGTAGACGATTGGGACCGGGAACTAGATGAACGAGGACTTTAAAATGCGACGCCGTGACGGGCCAGCCGACTGACGGGAAATTATCTTGGTGGTGGTAGACTGTGATATTTCCGTCCAGCGGAAGTTGTCTGGGGTCACCGATCTGGCCATATACCAGGAGCACCTTTTGATTGACCTATAGAGAGATCAGCAAGAAGCTTCAATTCCACCAAATTGGTTCTGCCTTGCAGGTTGTGGTGGCGCCACTTACCCACGAATTATCGGACACGGAGACGATGCGCGGGGCATATGGCGAAGAGGGGACTTGTGTTCGGTATAGGCCATTAATAGAGGAAGCGCTGCTGCCCTGTCATCCAATGTATCAGCTGGTATTCCTTGTCGCGTCCCGGGACGGGCTGTGTTGGGACCGTACGATCACGCTGTTCCTTTGGGAATTGAGCACCGAGGGGCCCGGTCGCTGCGGGGGAGCAACAGGTGTGCTCGCAGTGCTGCCATTAGATTCACTGAGCGCTGGCAAGCTGGGAGAAGAGAGGGTCGGGCGAATCGACGACGGTGGAGTGATGGAGCTGTGGGAGGAAGTGTCGATCGTGGAGGATGATTTTCCGGAGACCTCTTCCACGCTCGGGGCTGGAGTTTTCTGGAAACTGGCCTTTGATCGGCGCCGTAGCTCTTTGAAGAACGGCATAGCGAGTTTGCGAAGAGGAGAAACTCCGGGCAGCTGCCGTAACTTGTCAGGAACGGGCGCGACCGTTTGCGGACCCCGCGTACTAGGGGATGAATTCAATAGCTGAGATAATCTCTTTGAATATCATAGGTGCTATGAAAGTGAAAAGGGGGGGGGGGAAATCAAGGAAGTAGAAATGGCCCTAAAAAAAATAAAACAATCTATACTTAGCTTATGGGCATTACGTACCCGTTCAGGTCGGCCTATCGCACCCTAAAAGTCAATGTTTCACCGAACCCTGGAGATCAGGATCTCAGACATCCCTTTCTCCTATCTTTTCTACGCTTTGTTCACTATGTAGTCTACTAGGCTTGGCTGATAACCCCTCCGTTATGCTGCATTTTCTGATCACCAGGGTTTGCCTTGTCTTAACTACGTAGGTGGCTCCCTGTTTGAGCCATCCACATGGATACGTTGGGGCTGCAGGGGCTTGATCTTGAAACACCATTTTGATTAGGGCCACAGTTCCAAGTATACCTCCTTTGGATTCAGTTATTTGGACATCCCGATCAATAGTCGCCTTCTGTCTGCACGTTTGGTGCAGGCTTTCCACATGTTTCGCGCCCTCTGCGAGAAGCGTGCGAAGCCTTCATTTCCGGCGCATACTTCAGGGCAAATACCCCACGTAATGACATCGTGGTCAATGCCGTTCTTGGATCGGAATTTCCACAGTTTCTGGGGCGATTCCGGAATTGGCAATATCGCAACATTGGCCTACTGACAAACCTTATTTCTCGCATATATCTGCCGTAGAGTAAGTAAGCCAAGTGAGCCAAGTGAACTTGGCGAACGTTTGATTCACGTTATCCTACATCTCACAGGCATTCATAGAACAATATCTCAAGATCAGCGCATAATTTATAGACTTCCAATGTCTGCATCTTAACATAATATATCCCGATGGACCAAACGAACTAAGCACTCGACCAAGGCGACGGGAGCAGCTACTGACAGAGAGGGACTATGTTCCGGCCAATCGAACGATATTATTCTACAATAGGTAACACACTGGCAACACAATAAATAGCCTTGTGAGAATTGTGGGCTCACTGTTTATTCGTTGTAATGTCTGCTTCGGAAGACCTATAACAGCTCTCCTTTTTCATTCCATATTCTTGTCTGCCTGTTTCGCGAGAAGATTGAGCTTATCATGTCAATCATATCTACCAAATCCAATATTGCCATTGTACTAATCGCATGGCCACCGCACTATTGGTTAAGCCTCCGCTTATACCTTAGCAAGGTCTACGTATCTCTTTCTCCCTTTGGCATCTGAAGCTCCACTACCTCTGATTTCTTCTGTCTCAACTAGTATTATAGCGACAAGCGTTATCTATCCAAATGCCAACATCGTGTATTCAAGTTTACGAACGTTGTCAAGGCCATTGTTCGCTATCCTGGAGGTACAAAGAGATGATTCGTAGAGGAATGCTTGATCAGCCATGTTCCTCTAGAACTGTCTGGCTAGTACTTGAGACAAAAAGATAGATTCCAAGAAAAGGTTCAAGAGAGCGATTGAGGAACAGGACCGTGAGTATCATATTATTGATGTTACCAGTAATGATGACTGCGGGCACAGTAGCATTTTATACAATTCCCTATTTTGAAATGTGAAGCTGTTAGTCGCAAGAAGCCCTAGTACCAGTACCGTATAAGCACCTAGATTGATACCATGAAGGTACTGCAGTATCTCAACATTTTACACCTTAGCAATTTTCAACTGACACTTATTGATCACAAGATGAATCAATCGCATTGGACTAAGAATCCCGACACGTGATCTACACGTGACACAAGACAGGGAGACTCAGACAGGGATATAGAGCCACAGGGTAATTTTCCAGAGCTCTATATTCAATGTAGTAATGATCACATCTCCTACGGCTTTCTAGTCAAGGTGAGATGGGGAAGCTCTAAGATTTCCAGGGGATTTGGAATGACATCGTCACCCACTCTATCTAACTTAGTCTGCCTAGCTAAGTGGATCGGAACCTGCATACCTGATTGTTTCTACGGCAATACCGGAATCCGCAAAGAAAACATTTTCAGCAAACGCTTCAAGTGCCTAAGTGGGAGACGGGGTAAGGACCGGATACATCATATTCTGTAAGAGCTAGCTAGGATTATGCAGGTTGCCTCTACTAGTAGTAGGAGTGTCAATAGGGGAATAGAGACACAAACTTGGATACAAAAGATCAAACGATATCAAGTTAGCAATTCGATTATAAGTGTGGGCTAGAAGAAAAAGAAGAGAAAAGAAAAGAAGAAAACGACGTTTTCCATTCTCTTTGACGCATGTAACTTTGCCCAATACGTTCAAGTGGCACATTTCTCCAGTAGTCAATCTCGGCTCCATCACGCCAATTGGCCCTTCTTTCTCAGCCCTTGCTCCTACACAACCCCCATTCTACTCTTACCAAAGGGGTTCCTCTCCTTGTCTCTCGTTTTGCTATCTCGCCATCATGACTCTTTCACAGCCTGGCTCTGCTGAAAAAACAATCCGCAAAATCGACATTGCCCAGGTAAGAAAAGAACTCAAGCCTTGTCTTCTGGGTGCAATTACGGCCCAAATACTTGTCGCTGCATGCGAATACTTCCAGATATCCTTGTGACTGTCAACTGACTCTTCTCTGTGCCTAGGTTTCCCTCAGTCTGCAAGATCGCTTGGGTCTTGCCAAACTCAAGTATCAGCATGGTCGACTGCATGGGCTGAACCCGAACCAGCAGGATGGCAGATCTACTTTCGACAGCGACAAACCCTCCGATTCCTCCTCTGAGTTCTCCCGCAGCCGATGCGAGACTCCTTTCACCTCCCCTCCGCTCCGAGCTGCAACCTACTCCAAGGAACTCCCTCGATCCGAACGCAATAAACATGCAGTCACATTCAACTCTCGGGTGATGCAGCCCATGCTGTCTGCTAGTCGAAAGCGTCTACGGTCCGATTCGGATTCTGAACGTCCTGCCAAGGCTCCTCGGGTCTCATGGAAGAGTTCTTACCGGCTGCCAGAATCCTCTCCTGGTATGAACCGTCACCTTACAAGTCGCCGCCAGGCCCCCTCCTTTATGTCCGAGGCCACAATTCCAGAGCTATCGTCTCCAGCCTACCACAGACCATCAGAGGAGAGAGACCCCGATCTGCCGCTGCACAGTTTCCAGAATATGAGCTCGATGGTAGGCTCTTCTCCTCCACGAACCCCTCCTCCCAAGCACATGCGACTGTCGCGCAACGATCGGCCCCATCACGAGGATGGTGCAGACTTGCTCCTGTACCTGGCCAACTCCCCAACTCCTGCCCGCATCGCAAGGGGTGCTGGCAGCCAGGTTTTCCCTCCTTCCACCCCTCCCAGCCAGCACGCAATGCTACCAGGCATGACTCCCACACCTGGAGGCGGCGGAATCTTTGCCAATTTCGGAACCCCAGGGCAGCAGTTCAACTTTGCCGACTTCGTGAACGTGACCCCCAGCCCGGCTCAGCCAGCTTGGGGTGGTCGCACCCCTGGCAATCCCGGCCGCACCCCGCTTACCACCAAGCAAGCTCGCAAGCGATTGAACTTCGATGCCATCGTTCCTCCGAGCACCTCTGATCCTCGGATGAGTGGCAAGGAAACCGGGCTGGCTTTACAGCTCGGCGGTGAACTCCGCCCTTGAACCGCTTCACTTCTGCCCTTCTTCTTTTCTCTGTTCATTTATGCCTTTACTCCCTTATAAGCCCCCTTCACGACTCTATTATGATCATGTTATGTACACATTGTGTATCCCCTAAGTAATTTGCCCCTTGTCTCATCCGGGAGCCTGTCTTTTGGAGGACAGACCTGGCTTTCCACTGCCCATTCCATCCAAACTTGCATATCAGGCGTTATCCTTTCAATGCTTTGCTTCTGTGCATTGCCCCTCTTTCTTTGGGCAACCACTCGTCTTGCCTCCTTTTCCTGCTTTCTTATGTCTGTGCCAACCCTGTCCTTGGACATTCCTACCTTGCATTCATCCTTTGTTTTTCTTTTTTCTTTACACCCGGCATATGTTGCCCATGAAACCCGGGATTCCCCCATGCCCTTAATGACCTTAGCTAATATCCCTGTGTGGCTTCTATCTTTGCAAAAATGTGAGATAGTTGGGATGGTCAATGTTTACTACTTCGCAAATCTGCACTCTATCTCCACAACTCGCATCCGTATACGGTAAATGGTATTCTAGTCATAGAAGTGATCTGTATCACGCTATGAATTTTGATTGTGTAGAAAATCCACGAGGAACCAAATTCCCACATACCTCACCAATACGAAATACACATGACCCCATCACGTCCAAACCAACTCAGCAATATCACACGAACACATCAACTAACTCTTCAACCAACCCCTCAATACCGCGTCGCCCAATCGAACCGCGTTCTTTCGCGTCACTTTCGCGTTCAAAGTTAATAAAATATCAACCAATCAGAGTGCACGATAAGCCTATGACGCAGAAATAGTGCTGACTAATCTCACAGAAGCCCCGGACTTGTATCAGCGAATGAGATACTTCATCTGCATGTACATGAGAGGAACGGGTGCATCCATGCATGTACGTGATCTCGGAATAGAAATGACATCGGCTATTGATTGGCTGATATGCCGCCGCGTCGACGTGGACTGTCGTGGCATGATATTTAGCCTTTCAGCCGGATCAGCTGAGACAGGCCTGCATGGCGCGATTCAGTCCCCATTATGTCTACTTGCGCGAAACAGGTAATTATATTCACTGATCGCGCTGGCTTGATTCTGATCAACATGCAATTATGATGTCTACTAAGCGAAGACTCTATTCTTCCACGCCAACCGTGTCATCCACGTCCTTCCCAGTCGAATTATTCTCAACACTGGCGCGTTCCATTTGCTTGCGCCATAGTAATGCCAAATAATCAGAGGTCGTAGCTTCATCAATAGACTTATCCTCGCGGACTTTAAGGAACCGCGGGAATCGGAGACTAAGACCTCTCTCTTCACTGACAAGCCCGATAGCAGCTGGGTATGTCGGGCTCAGGGTGATATCTGCAAAAGCCATCTCCCATACTTCCTGTGGCTCAAACCAGATGTCTGGCTCGCCATAGTAGTCAACATAACTGGGACGGGAAATAACGTTTGTGCTGCCTTGTGCGTATTTGTCTTTGTTCGACTGGTAGAATTTATCCGTGAAGCCCGACATGCATTTTGTTACAGCTTCCAACGAGCCCGTTTCTGGATTGCGGACTGCTAAGAGGATTGGAGACCACCATTTTGATTTGCGGCCTGAGCCGTGCCAGCCTGCTACTGGGATTAGGTCAAGGGTTTCAGAGGAGGTGCTGTAGTCTTTTTTTACTTTGAGCCAAGATTCGAGGCGTTTGTCTGGTTCGTAGGTTGAGAGGAGGGCTTTGCGTCGGGCGTTCTTTTCTTTGAGTTTGTTGCCGTTCTCTTGTTCTAGTGGTTCTTTGATGGTATCTTCGGGGTTTGCTTTGTTGGTTGTTTTGGTATCGACTATTGTGTTGTCGAGGACTTTCACCATGATGCCCTCACACTTGACATCGGTGGCACTTTTGAAGAACTCCAGAACCGATTCAGAATCTGCCGACGTTGCATCCATGCTTTTTACCCAGGTGAAATGCTTGGATATTTCAACGAAGAGACTGCGGAGGAGTTCGCGACGTTCTCGGAATGTTCGATGTAGTAAAGGCTCGCCGTTGAGATACATGAGGTCGAATGCAAAAAGACACACATTGACCTTGATTGCCCCAATTTCAACGTTCTTCTTCGCACGATTGGTCAATGTCTGGAATGGCTGGAGGTCGCCGGTATCCCGGTCCACAGCAACCACTTCTCCTTCCAGGATAAAGCTAGACACGCCTTCTCCACGTATTTGCGGGACCAAAGATACAAGATCTGGATATTTCTCTGTCATGAGTTCGAGATGACGTGAGAAAATGGACACTTTGCCTTGCTCATCGCAGTGTACTTGCGCGCGCTGCCCGTCATACTTGTATTCGCAGCTGAAGCTTCTTCCTTGAAGCTTTGTCAACATATCTGACAGATCTCGTGTGATGCTCCCCAGCATCGGTCTTAATGGAATGTGCAAATCCAGGCCACATCTGACCAAAAGTTCCTCTGCAGGTCCAATCTCCAGCAGACATGGAATGAGATCGTTATAATCCGGGTGTCTGGCATAGGAAGCCTTCACAATCTCCTCTGCATTGTTATAGATTTCGGCCAGCTCGTCCTTCTTTAGGCGAGCCATTTCGCTCTGAGGCCGCACTTCATATTGCGCTCCCGCTGGTTTGGAGTAGATGAAAGCTCGCGCAAGTGCTATGAGCATGGTCGTCTTTACTGCGCCAATTCGCAAATTCTGGGCCAGTGTTCGGACAATGTATCGACTCTCCTCTGAGCCTTGTGTATCTTGCAGGAGCTTTTCGACAATCCTTTGTTTAGTTTCTTGACTGCCAGTTCCTTTGCTTGTAGCAATCTTCATCAGAGACTGGTAGACCCCTTTGATTTTCAATGGCTTTGGTTTGACAAGCGTGAATGATTGTCGTTTCTTGGCTTCAAATGCTACATCCCCTGCATCCCCGTGTTTATCATACAATGATTTGAGACTTTGATTGTCGAGACCGTAAATATTTTTCAGTCCCTTTGAAATAGAGGCCCCTCCCAGACCAAGTTCTAGTTCATCGTATGGAGGCGATATCGAGTTGGTTGCTAGCCACACGGCTGAGAGGATACTCGATGAGTCCCCTTCAATCAATACCCGAAGGAAATTGACGAGTGTGTCGACGATCTTGATTCGGCTAGTGGTTGCATTCGCCAGGACAAATGCCCTTGTAAGCAAGGCGTAAGAAGCATCTCCGCCTTGGCTAGCCCAATGCGACTGCAATTCTGCTGCGTACTGACTTGCATCGAATATCTGGGGACTTTGATCGAACGGAATGGCAAGGGAAGTAATATCGTCTGTATTTGCTGAGGATTGCAGCGACAACGTGTTCTTTTTTGGAGTCACTGGAGGTAGACTTGAAGGTATTAAAGTAGATGGAGGTGCCTTGATTTGCGGTTCTGATTGCGTGGTTTCATCTAAGGAGCTGGTATTCTCTGGAGCAGCCTCCGGGGTATAGTCTTGAGCATTTTCTTGGGCATTCCATTCCGCTTGCAACTTGCGCGCCAGGGCTTCATCGGAGAGTGTTTGCTCGGTGACGTCGGGTTCCGTTGGATTGGGTTGTTCAGTCTGGCCCTTGAAGAACGATTTAATACTGCGTGTCGGCTGCGGCGATGAATTGGCCCCATTTCTCTTGCGCTTCTTGGCTGGACTGGACATTACTAAAGGCGTGGGAGAGTCAAGAGCGACTGCGCATGGTTGCCACCTGAGGGTTGCGGAAGACGTCAGTCCAAAGGCGGAGGATCAACATTCGCGACACCTTGCGCTTCCGCAGTTGATTTCCTCCTCCAACAATGGCGCCTCTCACGGCTTTATCTTCGCATGAGCGGAATCGAGTCGAAGATTATTTAAATGATAAAATCCAGGTCGCTGCTGATCTTGAGAGTTTGGATTCGCTATTATCGAGCCTCCGCGCGCAACAGGAGCTTCAGCGGAAACAGGTGCCACCCCTCACCCCAACTTCTCTTCTGTCAAGCATAGCTAATATTCCCTTGTCAAATAGTTAGCAGAAGCCCACGAAGTCCTGTCTAGTGCGACAAAAGCCTCCATTGACCATGCCGAAGCCACTCGAAAGCAAGCCGAGGCATTCACCAATGAGCAAGCGGACATCGATCGACGACTAAAGGCCATCACACAATCTGAGACCAGCGATGAGGCAGTTCATAGACTTGAGAAGAGCATGGAGAGCCTCCAACGGCTAGAGGTCTCTAAGGGATACGTGGAGCTACTGAAGGAAGCTGAGGAATTGAGGTAATGACATCTTCGCCAAATGTCAAGGACTATATACTGACACTGTGATACAGCAAAGAAGCTTTGACGAGCCTTGCCTCCGATCCAGGCGCTGCTCTACAGCCATATTCTCGACTGCGGACCATTGTCGGATTACTGAAGGAAGCCCAACCTGCTGCTGAGGGAGCGGCCCCTCATCTAGTCGACTACACAGAGAAGTTGGCATTTGCACTGAGACAGCAAATGAAAGAGTACTTTGGCAATAATTTGAAAAAGACTTTAGAGGAGCTGAAGTGGCCGACACGGGAGTTGAACATCACCGATCAGCTCCTGGCTCGCTGGAGACAAGATGTTGAGCTCTTGATCGATCTCCAAGCACCGTATGGTTAATCTGTCCATGGATCTGAGAGCATATGCTGACCATTTATCCCAGTGAACTTCGAAGTCGTGATGCACTGGCAACGGGTGTGGCTCTCGAGCCACCGGTCTTGTTCCCATTGGAAGTTATGGTGCATCCTCTGGATCTCCGATTCAAGTATCACTTCAGTGGAGACAAGCCGACAAACAGACTTGACAAGGTAAGACAATGTCGATTTATTACTAAATGAAGGTTCTGATCCATTTTGCAGCCTGAATATTTCCTCTCACACATCATGGACCTAATCAACCAATATGGCGGATTCTTTGTGACCCATTTGCAGCCTATTCTCGACGAAAAAGCTCAAAATGTTAGCTCAAGCCTGGAATGGAACTTTTATAATGCTTCACACAGTTTCATCACGGCATTGATTCCGATGTTGACCCAAAAGATCAGCTTGTTCCTCCCTCAGATCTCCAACTACCCTCAACTACTCAGCCACTTCATTCACGAACTGATGAACTTTGACAATGAGATAAGAGAGACGTGGAACTATCTACCGGACCCATATGCGGATGACAATTGGAAGGGCATGACGTGGGAAGTTTTGACAAGACAGGGCTGGTATGATCGATGGCTTCAGGTTGAAAAAGACTTTGCGCTGGCGCGATACAAAGACATCATCGATACAGCAGATAGCGGAGAGATTGATTACGATGGCATGGAGCTCACGGCAACGAAGCCAACCAAGGCTGCAATCCGCGTGAATGATCTTCTCGAAACCATTACCGAGCGCTACCAGCCTCTATCATCCTTCAGCCAGAAGCTGCGCTTCCTCATCGACATCCAAATCACAATCTTCGACCAATTCCACGAACGCCTCTATTCTGCCCTAGAAGCATACCTTGCAATGACATCAACGCTTGGACGCACTGTGCAAGGAGCTGACGGACAAGTCAGCGTGGAGGGTGTCGCCGGCCTGGAGCGACTCTGCAGGGTCTTTGGCAGCGCCGAATACCTAGAAAAGAAGATGGAAGATTGGAGCAACGATGTATTCTTTGTTGAGCTCTGGTCCGAGCTTCAGGATCGGGTCCTACAGAACCGAGACAACGGTCGAAACGTGGCTGGCACTATGTCCATCGCGGAGGTTGCATCGCGTACCTCGTCCGTTGTCAACAACAATGGTACACAAACCGAGACCTCCTCAGATGGTGCCCTCTTCGATGAAACGGCATCCGCCTACCGTCGTCTACGACTCCGTTCTGAAACCATCATCACTTCTACCCTTTCCTCCAACATCCTCGCAGCTTTGAAGCCCTACTCTCGTGTCTCCACCTGGGCTACACTGTCCACCCCCTCCGCCACGGCGACGGCCCCTCCTCTTTCCCCGTCTTCGGATCTTGCCCATGCCATGCGTACATTGTCTACCCAACTCTCCTTCTTATCCCACGCACTGGGAACTGCACCTTTGCGACGAGTCTCTCGCCACCTTCTCTTATCACTTCAGACTTATATCTGGGACTATGTTCTGACCAAGAATACCTTCTCTACTACCGGAGCGGCTCAGCTTGCCAGCGATGTCGATCATCTGTGTAGTGTGGTAGATGCAGCCCTGGGAGCATCCAACAACGCGGGCATCTCCATGCGTACTATCAAAAAGCTCACTGAGGGATTACGCATTCTTTGCTTGAGTGCCGCTGAGCACGAGGGCGATGCCCCTGCAAAGGACGATGCCGCTCTAGGGCTGTGGGATGTGGAAAAAAGACTCTTCAGGGATAATGAGAGCGCACGAGGCGTGCTTGCTGAACTGGAAATTAATACCCTGTCCGAAGCGGAGGCTCGGTCTGTGCTGGAGCGCAGAGTTGAGATAGGTAATTGATAGTTTCAGTAGCAATCTACAGTATACCCATGATACTCCTATTCTATTCTTCTAGATCATCCTCCTGCACACCGGAGTATCTGTTCCAATTGATCTATGAGTTTTGTACATCATGTCCCGTCTCTCGTTTCTAAAAATCTAAAATTTGCGTATGAAAAGTCACAGTCTAGCACGTAGCCGTTCAGCGATGAACCACAGGCCCATGTCCATGTTCACCAGGTCGCTTTCGCGGAACGGCGGAGTTGCTGGCCTTCAATTCCCCAACAATACCAGGACCAACTTCTACAATGGCGTGAACAAGTGAATTGACGGTCTCGGTGGTTGTCTGGACATTGACCACACAACGGAAGAACTTTCCATTGCCAACAGCATCCTCGTCACCGCTGGGAGGCGCAAAGTCCACCATGAATCCCTTGGGAACAATAGCATGTGTCACCTGCTCAGTGACCTTACTATTGTTCTTCGCGCGCTGAGCTTCATTCGAGACAATGCCACGCGGGTAGACGAATTCCTTGCCAGGAGTGTAGTAAAAGCAAACCTGTAGACAAGGCGGGGGGTTTTCACTGATAAGAGTGAAATCGGGATGTTGGTCAATGGTGTTAGCCAAGTGTACGGCAACGTCGCATGCCGTGTCGATCTGCTGCTCGTAACCCTTGCTACCGTAGTATGTCCAGCCCATGAATAGCTTCAGTGAGTCTGCACGGCGGCCACATTGGAGGGTGAGATCTGCTAGATCCCACACTTCCGGTGACTCAATTTCCAATTCTGACTCTCCATCGCAATTTGCGGTGTCTTCGTTGTGGAATAGATACCCAGCAGGTAGGGTGTTTGCCTTGTGAAATTGGCGCATGTCTGATGCCAGCAGGAACGAGCATGTCACAGGGACGCCGAGCATCTTATGCGGGTTAATGGCGATACTGTTCGCCTTCTCTGCGCCGGCCAGCTTATACTTCTGTCGCTCAGAGAAGACAAACGAACCGCCCCATGACCCGTCAATATGGAACCACATGTTATACTTCTGACAGATGGCAGCAATCTCGTTGAAAGGGTCGAAAGAGCCCAAGACTGTTGTACCTGCAGTAGCATTGACATAGAATGGTGTACGGCCCTCGCTTTGAGCCTTCTGCGCCAGCTTTTCCAATTCAGCTGGAATCATGCGACCTTCACTGTCGATGGGAACGGGCCACACAGCACTGCTACCGAATCCGAGCATCTGTGCTGCCTTTTCTACACTGTAGTGGCCATGCGCGCTGGTGAAGAGCACGAACTTGTAATCGCCATTACCGTCCGTCTTTGTACTGGGATAGAGGTTGTTGCGCGCAATGACTACAGATGTAGTGTTTGATGCTGAGCCTCCCTGGACTGAAATACCTCCAGCCCGGGGTCCGTTTAATCCAAAGAGGTTCGCCAACCGCTGACCGGTGAACTTCTCGATCACCGTCAGCGCAGGCGAGACTTGATAGACGTGCACGTTGGTATTCAAGGTAGCGAGGATAAGCTCTGCCGCGACACCGGGGGCATTGGTTGACGCATAGAGCTTGTCCAAGAAGCCTTGGTGCCAGGTGTTGACCGAGTACTGCAGAACTTTCTGCAGGGTCTCGATCAGACCTTCCTGCCCTGTGCCTTTCTCTGGGATATCTAGCTGGAGGATGTCCCGCAGCTCTTCGGGCTTCTTATAGTCTACCAGCGATGTTCCTGCCAGTCCGGTATGTCCGTTGGCGCCGTTCTTTTTTGAGGACCCGCTGGGATTCTCATCTGCGGATCGAATAAATGGGATGAGGAGGTCTTCGACTGCTTTCAGAAGCTATTCAATTGAGTGTCAGTACATGGGTATTTGAAAGAGGACCCAATGTCGTAATGCAGATCATTGCGGGCTAAGTTGACTCACGTTTTGCACTTCTTCAGCGCGGCTAGTGGACGGCGCAATGCCCGACATTGTGCAAATGCTCACGTTGGACGTGTACAAGAGCAAAGGTAATCAATTGAGTGTGAAGACAAAGAAAAGATGTGGGATGACGGGGGTAAAAAAGTTTCCCGGCGATCTCGGAGATGGTGACAATCCCGCAGAGCTTGACATCATCCCACTGTGGGGTGTGAGAGTGGCTTACTATGGAGACGTATACAGATTACTATAGGGGTTATTTCATCATAGATATGGTTGAAGTATACGATCTATAAGTATAATTCCATGCAACTACGGAACACAATTAAGATGAGGCGAATCTGCAGGAACCCGCACTATGCGCCATGCTGCATTGTCCCGCTATACTTCTACTTGTTCAAGTACATATCACAATAGAACGTCCACAGTTTTATGTTGAGAAACGCTAATTTTTGGTATGTAGTAACTAAAAGACAAATCAACACTTTTTAGTTGATATAAGTACATGTGCATTTCGTCCAATATGTCTTTATCTACTAATCACTCATTCGGTAGATGTAGGCTGGTTCTCATCAGCACTTGCCTCCTTGGCTGCTGCGTACCGGGCGCGAGCCAACTCAATTCCAGACTTGGGACGCCCAGTACCTTCAGCGTGCTCAGCTCGCTCCTCAATGCCCTTGGCCTTGCGAGTCCACTCTCCTCGGCGGCGCTTGAAGAGATCCATGGACCAGTTTCGCCAGACTGCGCGGCCCAAGAAGGAATCACGAAGGGCCATTTCGTTCTGAGAGAGTTCCTGTGCCATGCGCTCCTTGACGAAGAAGATGTCCTTGGTTGCGGACCAGAGGGCATCAACGACACGGGAGCCGCTGCTGTTCAGAGCAAGTTCCATCAGATGGCCCTGGAAGCGGGTGGTGAGTTGTCGGCGGATTTGAGTTGTGGATGTAGAGGAAGTGAGCGCCTGCTGGACGACACGAGAAGATGTGGGTTCTTGGGAAAGTTGGATAATGATGTGGTTGGGCTGTGCAAGCAGACTTGTGTAAACAAGTTGGCTGAGCGGGCCGGGGACCGTTAGCATAGCTTGAACCAGGAGAGAGCCATGCAGCTTCTCTGCCTTCTCTGCCGCAGATTCCTGAGGTACAAAGCGGGATTTGCGGCCAATATCCTCCTCACCATCCATATCGTGGTCTTCAGATTGCGAAGGCTTCTCCGAAGGAGTGAACTTGAGCATTTGCTGGAGTCTGAGAGTGGGGTCCTTGTCGTAAGCAGCCTCAAGTGCTTCGGCAAGAGGCTTCGTGTCGACACTGCGAGCAACGCATCGCTCAATCAACACCTTGGGGACAATGAGCCTTGATCTTTCAATTAAACCCGTCACTTCGGGGACAATGTGATCCATGGCAATCTTCAAATCGTCCTTGCCGAGTCTTTCCAAGATCCGAAGGACTACATATCCAGCAGTGCTGTTTCGTGAAAGAGACCCAATGCGTTCGCCCAAGTTATTCCTGTAGAGGTTCTTGAATGCCTTACCAGGAAGATAGCGCACCATTGTCTCCAAAAGGCGAGAGCCAACTGGGTCGTAGAGAAGTCCGCGAATAAATATTGCGCTCTCTCCGTCCTCCTCAAATGACTCGTCCGGAACTAGTCGACGGATAGTAGACTTGGGGTCCTTGGCACTGGATTTCCCGAAATGGGAAAGCTCCAGGAACAGAAGAACCTGAAGCACGGGGTTACCCACTGGGTGGGTGGCCAGGGCTCGCAGATAAGTGTCGTCAATACCGGAAACCATATCATTCATGATCTTCTTGAGTGCTGGCTCGAAAGACTCTGGCACGCTCCGCTTTGTCTTTTCGGGTTGTGGCTTCTCCTCTCCCTGAATCGTTGGGATGTCCATTCGTTCCTTTTTACGACTGGCGACAATTGATTCGTTTGATGTGACATCCACCGGCTCACCGGCAAGAACCAGAAGCAGCACTCGGATTGTGTGCGACGCAAAGCGCTCCGTCAACAGGAAACCCCAGTTCTCCTTCAATTCCTCAATAACAGCCATGAACATCTCCGCGAGAGATAGTTCAGGCTCCTCCTCTTCATTTTCTTCGTCGGGCTTCTTGGCTTTGGCCTTTTGCATGACCGCAGGCGCAGCATGGATAAATAGTGTTTCACAGCAGTGACTGGCGAATCGGTGCTGCACCAGGTGGAGGAAATGGCCAACGAATTTACTGAAGATGCGACGCAACTGCTCAGCGTTTGACATAGAGATCAACTTTTCCATGAGTCTCGAGCAGCCCTGACTACAGGCGATCTTCAACTCCTTGCCATTGGCCTCTGAGTACACACTGTCGACGAATAAACTGCGTTCTTCGGCGTCTTGGAATTGGTTCAGCTCCAGCATTTCGTTGGCACGAGAAAAATATTCCGACTCTTCATCGTCAAGAAGACCATAGAAGGGCATATCGCCAGATTCCTCTGGGCCCTGTGTATCCATCTCATCTCCCTGCTCCAAAGGAATGTAATCCTCATTGTGTTCAAAAGCTTCGTCTTGTTGCTGTTCGATGGTCTCGTCGGCCTCATCGGTAGAGGGCTTAATGCGTTTTGCGACGGGGGCATCCGGCGCTTCCTCGAACTTTCGCTTGGAGTCATCCTTCTGGGCCTTTTTCTCGGCCCTGCGGCCTCTCTTCTCTTTTTCGCGAGGCATTGTAGTGGTGTGTGGTGAGGAAAGATACGCCTGGATCGCTGGAAATTTTTTGGATAAGCGGTGGTCCAAGCGTCTCCGCGGCGTAAGTTTGCTCTGTTTGCAGTTGGTATCAACTATCAAACCAAAGATTGTCGAAGAGACTTTGAGTAGAGTATTACAATTGGATTCATATGACATAAATAATATACAAATTCCCTTATTACTTTTATACAGCAGAGTAAATGGCAGAGACATGGCGTCCACACTCAACCCGTTGCTCCATGCTCACATTGCGCTTACCAACCTTGCCCTTGTGGCGAGGAATGATCTGCAATCGCGCCTCCGCCTCAGTTTTCTTGGATTCAGGTGGAGCATTGATATAGGTTGGCTTGCACTGGTTGCTGCGTTTGCCTGTACCGAGCTGGAAGTGCTCGTTGCCTCCCCACCACAGCACATCATAGCCCCAGTCCTTAGACTGGTCCAGGGTGTCCTTGGCTGTCTTACTGACACTGGTTTTGTTTTCGAGGACAGCCGAAACATGGGTAGTGCCGACAGACATATCATGAAGACGGATGGGCGACATTTGGTTCTTCTTCTCGTCAAACTCGCTCATGCCACTCAATGCCTTCACCTTTGTAGGGGCATCTTGCATGTGGATCCATTTTCCATTGCCGAGAGTGCCCCAAATCCCCCGACCACAAGACCATGTGTCTGCAGTCAACACACCCAAGTCGCGGACACCGGTAGGGTCTTCCTTGGGTCCCAAAACACGCTTGGCATCAACAGTGAAGAAGGTGTTCGCACCACCGGCAGCAATGCTGGTGACCCTTGGCAGGTATGAGTTCTTTTTATACAGCCTTTCCACATCTAGAGCGAAAGGAGCATCTCTGAATGTTCGCTCCACGTCCCATTCCACACCCAATTGGCCAAGAGAGTTATCACCAAATGCGAACATGTGACCATCCTTGCTCAAGGCAAGAGAGTGGTAATCTCCAGTTGCAATTTGGACAATTTTAGAGCCCTTAAGAGCTGTGATTTCATGGCAAGAATCTGCCGGTCCCTTGGGCCTGGTTGACCAGGTGAGTCCCTCAACCCCAAGTTGGCCAAGGGAAGGGTAGTTCTCGGTCGAGGATGCCGCTGAGAACACTCGACCGGAGCTGGTCAGAAGAAGCACATGTTCCTGTCCTCCACTGATACTGGTGACCTTTTCACCCAGCTTCAAAGATGGCTTCAGCACACGGTAGCTCAGATTAGATTGATTGGTCCAATATGGGATCCATGAGCTCTCCCGTGCCTTCGGGCCACTTTTTTGCTCCTCCTTGGATGTCGGCAAGGAGTATACAGTTCCATCAGAGGAAAGCGCAATGACTCGGCTTTCCGATAAAGCGAGCGAGGTGAGGTTTTTGCCGGTCAGAGTCTCAGTGGGCTTGTATTCCGTCTCTGAGAAGCCATGGCCCCACTGCACCAAATCTCCCTTTTCAGTAATAGCTGCGCCAGACTTTTCCTCAACCTTGAGATCTCTCAAAACTTGGCCATTGAAGTACTTGAATCGTCGCGGGACCTTAATATCGGTGTCTTTAGACCCAGGGTCTACCACACGGTACACGTTGGAACCCCATATGTAGACAGCGGGGCTTTTGAGGCTTCGCTTCTCTTGAACAAATTGAGCACGAAGATCATTGACGTCGATGGCTTCCTTCTTCGCTGGGTCCGGAGCACTAGTCCAAGCTTTCTTTCCATCGGTCATATAAGAATAGCCCAAAACGGCCGCAGTTCCTGTCATTGCAAATGCGAGGGACTTGCGAACCCAGTGCGATGAGCCGGATTGGGGTTTATGTTGGCTGCTGGCAAATCGAGACCATGGCGCATTGAGTGACTGGGCCAGAGTTCTGGGAGGGCGGAAGGCAAGGACCGAGCGTGTCACAGGCCGTCGCATATGTGTGGATAGCATCGTAGAAAATGGAATCGCCAACTAGAGCATATCAAGCTCAAGCTGCTAGCAAAGTAAATGTTGTATCCGGGGAAGCTCGAAATATCAGGCCTGTGATTTGTTGCGTCAGATCGAGGCGGCAGCTCGTGGCAGAACACCTGGAACAGCGGGACCGGAGTTGACCACATCGCAGGTCGGCTTCAACATTCCACTCGGCCCGAAATACACTTTGGAAAAAGCCAGCCGAGAGCTATGAGCTGCAAGTTGATCTCGAATACACTCCCCGGGCCTTGAATGCACCATGCCTTCCACAAAACAGCAACGAGCCCGCCGCCAGACCGCTCCCTCTGGCCCGCCGCGCAAACCTACCGCATATGAAACTCAGCCAACCCTCGATACGCCACAGGAGGAATCTCTTAGCTCTTTCCAGTGGAAAGCTCCGGGCTGGAATAATGAACTCGAGTTCTCACAATGGCTCAATGGTGTCAAGGATGACCTAATTGAAGAGAGCTACGACGAGTACACGTACGGCCCCTAATTGGATATAGCCTCGAACCTTTGCTGATAAGGGCTTATCTAGGAACTGCTTAGATGAACTCGAGCAATCCAAGGAACACATTGACGAAATACTGGCGAATACCTTGAACCTCTTGGACGATCTATCCAGCTTGTCCGAGTCGTTCAAGTCGGTCGAGACCCAGACATCCAACTTTGAGAAGCAATGCGAGGGACTCTTGTTAGCCCAGGAACGGGATACAAAGCTTGCAAATGGGATCCAGAACAATCTTCACTATTATGATTTCCTGGATCCAGCTTCGCGACGGCTCAATGCCCCCGGCGCAGGAAATACTGTCCGCGATAAGGAGTTCTCGGATATGCTGAGACGTCTTGATGTGTGCTTGGATTATATGGAGACGCATGTGGGTGAATTTTCTATCCAGACATGTTCATGGCTAACTCAAAGCAGATGGATCAAAAAGAGGCCGAAGTCTATCGATCTAGATATCGTCTACTGCTAACGCGTGCTCTAACGCTCATCCGCGGGAATTTCGTTTCTTCGCTCAAACATATCTACCAGAGCGTTTCCAAAAAGATTTCAGATCAGCAACTCAACGACACAGCCTTGTCCGCTCTCTTGTACGCCAAGTTCAGGGTTGGAGCGCCTGAGCTGAAACAAATTGGAGTCGAGATCCAGAAACGAGCTGTTCCACCACTCAACCCAGACCAAAGCAACGAAGCCGAATATCAAAGTCTTATGAGCGAACTCCACAGCAACTACTCGGCCACCCGTGCACGATTGATCATTCCACTCGCCCGCAAAAAGCTCGGTGAGATTACTCAGATGCCTAGCTCTTCTACAGACTTGGTTGCATTTGCTCGCGCAAGTATCAGTTACATCCGTGGACTCTGTCTCGACGAGTATGACCTATGGGGAGAATGGTTCCATGGACAGGGAGGCCTATATGACTTCCTTGAAACACTATGCGAGCCACTTTATGATCATCTTCGCCCTCGAATCATCCACGAATCCGACATCGTCAGACTCTGCCAATTGTGCACCCTTCTACAAACCCGGTATTTCTCAGACCCCGAAGACGAGCCAGAACATCTCGAAACAAATCAGCTCGACTTTTCAGTCTTGATCCAGCCAGCTTTGCAAGATGTTCAAGCCCGGCTTGTCTTCCGTGCTCTGGCTGTTCTGCAGGATGAAATCGAACGATACAAGCCTCGCCCAGAAGATATTGACTATCCCATGCGCAACCGCCAAGTATCCCTGACTGTGTCAGACACTCAGATCTCGGGCAAGAAGGACACATCTGCCGCTACCATGATCGACATGACAGCCAAGACAGGTGACGACAATGGCGAATCACAAGAGCAAGATGGAAAATGGGACTTTGAGACCCAAACTGCTCTCAAGGGCTGGTATCCGACCCTACGAAAGGCAATTTGGCTCCTGAGTCGGATCTACCGCCTAGTAAACGTAAGAGACATTCCCACTCACACCCGAAAACCAAACTAACAAATGCTTAGTCCACCGTCTTCGACGACCTAGCCCACCAAATCGTCCACCAAACAACGCTCTCTCTCCAAGACGCCAGCACCCAAATCTCCGCCAAATCAACACCAGCAGACAGCCAACTCTTCCTAATGAGCCACCTTCTAATCCTAAAACAACAAATTGTAGCCTTCGACATCGAATACGTTGCCCCAGATATAACCTTCGACTTCTCCGGCGTGACAAGCACATTCTGGGAACTCCGCGAACGCGGCGGCCTCTTCAACCCACGCAACCTAATGCGACTGGTAGGCCACGGTCTAATCCCACGCGTCGTGGAGAACATGCTCGATGCTAAAGTCGAACTGGATGGGCGGCTGCGCACTGTCATTAATGACTTCATCAATGCATTCGCGGCGCGCATGACTGCTTCGCTGCCGGCTAAGTTTGTCGATACGCGCAATCTTCAGCGCGGGGAACTTATCCTCCCTTCTTGTCGGACTATTGAGAAAGAGGTTCCTGTTCTGAGGAAGATTCTCAATGAGTATATTGACGATACGCGCATGAAAGAGACGCTTGTTGGGGCTGTGCAGGACCGCACGATTCAGATTTATGAGGATTTCTTTGAGAAGTATATTTCTTCTGAGAAGGGGAAGGGCGTTTCTGTTAGTAGGAAAGGCAAGGGGCGTGAGGATGCTGTTTGGGATGTTAATACCTTTGCGGAGTGGTGCGAGGGCGTTTTCCGGGTTGGCGTTGCTGGCTTGCAGGCTGATGTTCTTGAGGATGATAATGATGATCTTTTGAGTACCAGCTCTTAGGGTTTGACGGTTTCTTTTCTTATAATTTACTTAGCCCCCATTCGCCTCTTCAGCATAGATACCATGTGGAATGGCGCAACTTTGTATATAGGCCTGAGATGAATATGTGATCTTTTGAGACGCTCCCAATTGTGTGCACAGACTTACTGATAGATAGTACAGTAGCTCGTAATGGAAATAACCAGTATCTCAGATTCATGTCGTGATCCACCAGCAGTTTGTATGTACAGCTGGCTGGGAACCCCCAAAAAATCATCTAGTATCGCTTCAAAACTAAAAGACAGGGATAGGGTATGTACGATCCAAAGAAAGGAGAAAATAAAGACTCAAAACAATCAAGAAAGTCCAGCTCACGCTAAGGAGAAAGAAAAGAATCAACACCTCAGACGCGAATCTTGGAGTACAACGCCGTATCCAAGAAGTTGTAGTTTGCGTCGGCTTCACAGAAGGGGTGACGTGTGAGCAGGGTTCCGGCAGTAGGACGTTCAGCCGAGTCACTAAATAAGATGTTAGTTATTATCAAGGGTGAAGGGTAGCAGGGCTAAGACATACATTGTAAAGCAGTCATACATAAACGCAAGAGCCGCCGGACTAATGTTCAGCGAGACATCTTCTGGAATAGGAGGAGCCTGGCTCAGACTTCCGAGCTTGAAGATGGCACCAATTGCCTCCTCCTTGCTCCAAGGTCTTCGACCAGCGAACATCTCCAGTACAACACAGCCAAGAGACCATATATCAACCTTGGCACTATATCCTTGGCCTTGGGACTGGATAACCTCAGGGGCCATCCAGAAGACAGAACCCTGCATGGAGTTGCTCGAGTCGTTGCCATAGATATCATCCGTCTTCTTGGAAATACCGAAATCAGAGATCTTGCAGGTTCCATCAAGATCCAAGAGGATATTGTCTGCTTTCAGGTCACGGTGGAGAATACCCTTGTCGTGTAAGTAGGCCAAACCACTGAGTGTTTGCTGTGTGAGCGATTTCACGACACTCTCCTCGAACTTGCCGTGCTTCCGTAGGCAACTGCCAATGGAACCACCAGAAATATACTCCAGGTAGATAGAAATGGAGAATTCACCACGCTCGCAACCGAGATATTGCACGATGTTGGGGTGTTCAAGGTGCTGCATGGTATCAATCTCCTGGTCCAATGCAGCGACCATTTCTTTGACTTTGTCTTTGTCCGTCCCGGCAATTCGGGGATTGATCTCGACCAATTTCACCGCCAAAACCTCACCATTGTCTGCGTTCATTCCTAGGTATACTCGGCCATATGTACCCTTGCCGATAAGTTGACCGCGGATGATACGGAAAGTGGGCTGTCGCTGAGGAGGGCCAGCATTCGATGTAACTTGGTTACTATTCTGCGGAATGGGGTCGAGCTGGCTGATGCGACTACCAGGTCGAGGCCTGATCTGCATGATCTTGGCGCCGAACATCTTCGTGCTCTTCCGACGCAGAAGATCACCCGACCTTTGAGGGCCAGCAGCGCTAACACTCTTCGTTCGGTTCGCTCCCTGGGCCACTTGACGGATGGACTTCATACGAGACAGACCGCCGCCGCCGCCACCCCGTGCGATATTGCGTCGAGCCACAATACTAGCATCTGGTCTGGCGGTAGCTTGGTCGGATCCATAGGGGTTATTAGGGAGATGAGTGGGATGCGGCATAGGATGCGGGGCTTCCTTCTTTTCGTTGAGGCTTGTGTCATGCTCAGCATTGGAGGCCTTGGGGGTTGGTGATGGAGGCTCATCCAGATAAGGAGCATCAAGATCAACGTCAGGGAAGAAGTCGTCAAGCTTGTCAATAACGCCTTCGACGGCAGGTCTGCTAGCCCAAACATCTCGGGCGAAAGAATCTCGACGAGGGGGCCGCTCATCTTCAGGCGATACAGGTTCGTAAGGGGTTGCGGAGAACGGTCCCTTGCCATCTGATGCGTCGCCAGAACTGGGACCGGCTGTGCTCGGAGACTTGAAGCGAACAGATAGACCCTTGCTGAGCCGGTCTCCTGTCTTGAGCGTGAGAGATGGCCTTTCTGACTTTCTGTCGGGCTCTAGTTCCGTTTCCTGTTCCTCCTGGGTTCTTGAAGGTCGGACTTGAAAGAGGCCATCGTCGGAATCGTCATCCGAGTCATCTTGTGGCTGGGGAGTTCGCTGGAAGGACACCTGATTTTCTTCAAAGTCAAACTCTGGTCCAAATGACTTGCGGGATTGCAATGGAGGCCTCGAGGGACCGTCAATGTCGGATTTTTCAGGCGATTGATTGGCGAATGATACTTCGGGTTGAGAATTTCTCGAGGAAGAGGGTCGCGAGTCTAATGAATGGTTAGCAAAGAAGCGAGGATCAATGGCATGGTACCTACCTAGAGTTGTTTTACTTGACACTGTTCCAGCAGAGTCAAGCGTCCCAGCTGGATCCGACTCGGAGCCTACGCTGTCCCGGTTGGTGGGCGAAGCTGGAGCCACTGAAGGCAACGGAGTGCCAATGGCGCTTGTGACACGGCCAACACTGGCAAGTGCAGCCCCAAGACCATGTGCTGAAACCTCCGGCCGGTTTCGAGGGCGCTCACTTGGTCTTCTGCTGAGGTAGCTGACCTCACTTGGCCTTCTACTGAGAGAGTTGACCTTGGTGAGGGTGTTGGATTCAATCGGTGCCATTGGCGGCTTGCGAAGTGGTACAAGCGATTCTCCCTTCTTTTCATCATAAGGAGAAATGCGAGGGCTGTCGAAATCAATGACTTCGTTACGCCTGTAGCCGGTATCACCATAGGCATTGGCCTTTTGTTGAGACATCGGCGCCTTGGAGAGAAGATATTGCTTTTGCTTTCGCTCAACTTCACGCATATGTTCCTCATGACGGGCGAGCAGATCAGCTTTTTCAGAATCTAGAGGTTGGTTCGGGTCTGGCGTGATTTCCGCAGGAGATGTCTTTACTGGAGCCTTGATCGTGGTTTGCCTCGAGGCCAAGGATGGGGAGCTTGGTATAGCGTGATGCGGTGAGATGCGATTTAGTGCGTCCTCGTCTAGTGGCTTTCTGTGAACCTGGTGATGTGTTGCGGTTGGAGACAGGCTCGGCTTATCAGCGAAAGAAACACCCAGGCCATCGACTCGAGGAGTAGTAGGAGGATGAACAGGATTCCCACGGACGAACAGTTTAAGAGAACCGTATTGATCTGACTTGTTTCGACGCGAATGCGTGAGATTCGCATCGCTCAAAGGATTCTCGTGCTCCGTCTGGCCAGGCTCTGTGAGGAAGATTTGAGCACTGGTCCAGTCAGAGATTGCCATGTTTCGACAAATCTCAGCACGGAGATTCTCAACCGATTCCATGTCGGAGATATCAACCAGACGGAAGATCGATCCGTCCATGGTAACAAAGGCCCATTTCTTGGTTTTTGTTGTACCCGTGGATGGACGCTCGCCGACAGACAGATCACTTGAGTTATATCCAGGCTTTGAGTAGGGGAGATAAGCCCCATTTGGACGAGTCTCTGGACTGGTAGTTGGCGAGGAATCGTCTTGTTGCTGGTCGGGTGATGGGTGACTGGAGTCATTGGCCCTTGTTTTCTTCTTGAGGAAACCCAATAAGCCTTTACTATGGTCTCTATATGAAGAAGGGGTATCTCCACTCCATTGGCGAGAATAGGCATCCTGCGGAGAAGGACGAGCGCCTTCTTGACCTTGTCTGCCATAGTAACGGGGCGTGGAGCCCCTCCCAGCACCTGGAATAGAGTCGGTGCTGTTGCCTCGAGAGTGGTCGTACTTCAAGGACAAGTCCCCGGTAGACGAAGTTGGGTGCTGCGTATAAGCGGGTGTCGCATATGGCAAGGCCGGGCTACCACTTTTCGGGCTACCTTCGTGGGGGCGAAGTGCAGCACCCTGGAATGTGCCACTTTCACTCCCAATCGAAGGGCTCTGGCGTCGATGCTCGCCGATTCCAGCCAGGGCATTCCGCGAGTAGTCAGATCGCAGCCAGGTTGGCGACTCCCGCGCTGGAGAATCATACCTCGGCGAATCGTGAGCAGTAGGAACCGGCATTGTTACTGAACGCTGTCCAGCCTGCTTCTGATTGGCAGCGTGCAGCGCAGTGAGATGTTCCGGACTCACATCGTTAGTACCAGCGATGGGGCCAGCAGAACGCGGCTCAGGGAAATGATTAGAAAAGTACCCTAGACTACTGTCAGGGAATGCATTCGGCTGTGTCGGCTGCAAAGGCGTAGAAACCGCATCTTGCGAACCATCGTGAATTTGACGAATCAGTTTGCGCATGCGCTTGCCTTCGTCTCGTTCACGGCCAGGATCCCATTTTGTGCCATTTCGGCCACACTCCTTGGCCAATTGAGGGTAAACGACCTGATGCATCTTGCCCAGATTGCCTCGGCCACCAGAGCCGTGGCCAAGCTCGAGGAAGTCGGCTCCTTGGAGTTCCAAAGACTTGAATGTTTCCTGCCAATCATTTGAGAACCCATTTTTAGCAAGCCAAATGAGCACTCGCTCCAATGGCCACTGAATCGCAGCCTCGCTGTGCGACAATCCACCCAACGACGCACCGCTCGGGTTTTGGCGATGGCTTGACGACTTGACAATCTCACCAGCCTGCGGCTGCGGCTGTGGGCTGTCGTTGGATGTCAGTTCGTGAATATTACCATGGAGACCAAAAGATTGGGGAGCAGTGCGAGTCCCAGGAGTCTGTGGGAGACTTGGCTCTAGTTTGTAAGGAGCTTGGTTGCTGATAAGCTCATGCGGTTGGTTCATACCCAACCGTTGCCTTTCGGCCGTAGCGGAGTGCGCATACGGGTCATATTGGGCTCTTCCATGAGTATCGAAGAGTCCCGGAATGCCAACCCCAATCGTGTCGTTGCCAGGTATGTAGGTGGCGGATGTCAACGGTTGGGACTCATTAGGAGGGCGCGGCGGGATTATTGACAACGGAGCCGGTGGGCGGCCATACGCTAGGTGGTGATTTTGTGCAGGGCCAACTATGGGAGGTGGAGGGGGTGGTGGAAAGCCTGGAGTCAGCGCCTGTCTGCCCCAGTTTTGCTGCTGCTGCCATCCTGTCGGAACTCCGTATGCCGTCGCTTGGGTATATGTCGACCCTGGCGGCGGGCCAGGGGGAGGGGGCGGTACAACTTGGCGAGGCGGAGGAGGAGGTAGGTTCATAGGATGTGGTTGGGAGGAAGGCGGCCCTGGGATATATTGCTGTCGTCCGTCCATTGTGAAGACCAGAGCCCCGGGCGCACGATGTTCTGCAGGGTTATTTGTCCTGCTATCTCGCCTGCGGCGCCAAAGGGTGCGGTAGGAGGTCTTGTCGTCGTTTAGATATGATCATTCACACATCATGCTTTCTTTCAATCTGGAATGGTCGAGCAGCCGGGATTCAAAATCGAATGACAATAGCCAGGACAGGGACCAGGGGATGCAAGTTCAAGTGTCCGATCCGGCTGACATTTGACATGTTTCGGCGTCCCGAAATTATCGCGCCCGAAATTGCAGACCAGACCGAGATCGTGAGGGGGCTGGGTGACAAGTCGAGATAGTTGCAAGACAGAGGATAGTACCCAACACTGCCTTATCAGATACCTGTTAAGCGAACCTTGTGCCGATCAGAATGAGCAAGTGGAAGCGACAGAACTCCTTGCGTCGACCTTCTCGAACACGAATCCGCGAATGGACGTGGAATGTTCAGAAAGATATCTCAACATTCAATGATCGTCACGTGGCCCCGCTCGAGTGGAGTCTGCAGATATCTGTTCTACTACAGTGCTGCTCTCTTCCCTTGTCACCCCCGGCCTTGAATTTCCTAAAGTTTCACTATCGAACTAGCGTCACGTACGTCTTGGCCATTATTTCTATTTTCTGAAATCTCCTTCCATTGTCTGGGTTCCCTCGCAACCTCTGTTTGTTTGCCACGTGACACAACAATTATCACGTGGATATATATACAACAGGGTTTTATAAGTAGTTACTATATATTCTCTACAAATAAGTCTTGAGAGGATATAATTTTATGCATTGTCGCTGTCCTCTTTTGGCATCTCTTTCTAGCCCATATATGAGGTGTCTTGGGCTATACTGTTTGTAAAAGGTCTCGTGGTCTGTGTCCATAATCTTTCATACTTCAGCTTCTGTGAATTGAACACAGATTTGTGGTCAATAGACACTAACCAACACTCTTACAAGTCTATTTAAGGCCATTACATCAAGGGGACTGCATTGGATCCTAGCGTGGGACTAACTGACAATGATAAACCCAGTGAATCATGCTACGAAATAATCAATACGGCAAATTGGGCGACCGTCCTCGCTTGGCTTGGTGGTCCAGAAAAGGGAGAACACTCTTATGGACAATACTGCCGACATCTCGAATGAATCTGACAGGGGCATGGATGACAAATGGAGGAACTCTTCCACAAGTTTGCCTCCACCATCTGGCGCCCGGAGTCATCTCTCATCGCTCGTTATGTTACCCGCGGTCAAGGACTCAGCAAAGCGTAGCACGCCTTGATTACCTAGTGCCCTATGAATCAAAGACTATGATAGCTTGCCTTTATTTTTCTTTGGTCAAAACGTAACCCAGTACGTAAGAGCTTCCTGGTTGATTATGTTGTGTGAGCTTTGCTGTATGATGGTCGATGCTGCCGCACTATATACCAACCAGAACACGTACATTACGATTCTACGCGTCATGGGTACCACTGGCAAAATATGTTTATTAGATTACAATCCGAGAGAGTTACCGTAATCCGTGACTAGAGACTACTAGAGACTACATGCATGAATCGGTGGGGTCGCCCCAGATTGGCGTGTAGATCTGCCGGACAAGGCTATGCCTCTAGAGGAAGAGAGTACCGCAACGGACGAATCATGAGGCGGACTAGTATACGTCAAGGAGTTCTTTGTCGTAGGAGAATGGGGTGACTTGTGCATATTGACCCAAGCTGAAACACTGGTATCGTTGCGTCCTTCGGGAGCGAACCGAACGGCCCCCATTATCCTAGGCCATTCTCGAATATGATATAAGCATTTATAGAGGATTTTGAACATTGAAATTATGCAGCTTCAGTCGCATTAGAAATGAGCCCGGTACTCATTCACAGAAATCCAACTTGGCTCATTTTAAGTCGTAATCTTTCCCAGTTGACATATCAAATGTCACATTTTGTACATAGCAAAACAACCATGCCAAGCATAAATATAAACATAAACATAAAGCCTTGAAAACACAAACAAAAAGGAGCATACGTCTATATCTAGAGCACAGTACCCTTGTTCTGCTCCTTGTCAACACGGTAGTGTTTCCACAAACCTATAGCAGGAATTGCAAGCACGAGAACAGCCGTGGCAGAAATACAACCGTACTTCTGGTTATAGCCATAAGCGTAGTTGATAGCCTCGCGGATCTCCGTGCCAGGCAGATAACTCATCTGGACGAGGTATCCACCAGAGAAAATGGTCGATGCCTGGTCCTTGGCGCTAGCAGGGAGGGCATCTGCCAGTGCCTGGGGGAAGGTGTTGGAATATATGGCAGCGGCAACAGCGTAGCCAATAGCACCACCCAAGTTCGAGAACAGGGAGACGAGAGAAATCATCATGGGAATACCTTCGCGATCGGAGGCGCACATGACAGCCATTTGTTCACCAATGACCATCATACCACCGGCGAATGAGATAAAAATCTGACACATGATCACATACCCGATGTCGCCGTCCGAGCCGCGGAAGTGGATCATCAGACCAGCTCCGAGGGTCATCAGAGGCAGCGCGAAGAAGAGACATGTGTATTTGAATTCCTTCACGTAGCGGATCCAGAGGCCGAAGATTGGGGACCAGAAGCAGGAGCCGACGGTGTAGATGGAGGTCATGTAGCCAGTCATTGTTACGTCTAAGTTGTACACGACCATAACGAAGTAGTAGTAGTACAGATCCCAAGAGTAGAAGCTGAAGTAGAGGATGGCCGAGAGAGCACAGGCGCCGAAGACCGTGCGGTCTCTGAAGAGCTGGTAAGGGATGAAATGAGTGCGGGCGAACCATTTCTCCCAAGCGGCGAAGACGAAGAACAGAAAGAAGCCGATGACCAGGGGGGCGATGAAGGAGGCTTCCTTATACTGGGCGCGGCCGTAGTTGGCTAAGCTGAATGGCAAGAGGAAGAGGATGAAGGCTGCCATCAGGATGAGGGCTCCGATGATGTCAAACTCGTGGATGTAGTGCACAATCGACTGCATGACAGTCCGGCCAGACGAAGGACGCTGCAGCACGCCCATTTTGCGAGCCTTGATTTCATAGTACTTGAAAACACCGGCCAGAGGCAGGAACACAAAGGGTTGGATAATGGCAAAAGCGCCATAGGCCCAACGCCAATTAGCGGTCTTCAAGAAACTGGCAGCAGCCAACGAGCCGGTGAAGGCAGTGCAGATGAAGGGGGTGGAGGCAAAGGCAAAGGCGAATGCACGGTTGCGCATGCCAGAGGTATCAGCAATGAAGATATCCAGAATTACATAGATCGCATCATATCCAACCCAGTACAGAACGTAACCAGCAGCGTAGCTGTTGGCATTGTTGCAAGAAGCGAGAATGATGATTCCGAGAAGATAAACACCAGTGAAGATAACCAGAGCCTCAGCACGTCCCCACAGAGTCAAGATCTTTCCAACGGGGAGCTTGAGTACTCCACCGACGATGCTTGCCAGGATGCTAGCAGTACTGACTTGCGAAGCATTCTTGAAGTTGGAGTAGGCATAGTAAAGAACGTTGTTGCCAATGGCGGAGTGCAATGCTAGCATGAAGAAGCAAACCCAGATCCTGTAGATGACGATGTTAGAATGACGCGTAGAGATCTAGGGCTTTGCGCACTTACCAGGCATAGGTAGCATAGACAGCCTTCTTGCCCCAGACGAGAGCAACAGCCTCGGCCTTGCGCACACCAGCGGCAGCACCGGAGGTAATTTCATCAGGGTGTTCCTGAATCTCCTTCTCCGCACGAGCCAGGTTGCTTAGGTCACTGTCGACCCTGTTTTGTTCCACATTGACCTCATTCTTGGTCTCGGTCTCTTGGGTGGGACGCAGATCCTCGACGACGGTGTGGTCCCTCCGACCACGAACCAGACTGATGACACCCATTATAAGGAATGTCCTGGGAGGAAAGAAGAGTGAGTATTGAAAAGGGATCAAAAGAGAGGGGTCAGTATTTCTACATGGGACCGGCATTGAAATTTACATCCAATTAATTTGGGACTAACCCAGTATAGCCTGGCTGTCCCCCAAATGGAAAGTAAAAAGCAACAGAACCAGATCAGATAAGTCCAGCTCGAAAGGACCAGGCTGATTGGTCGAATATAGCGAACGGGCCCCGTGGCCAAGTCTGGCTGTCACTAAACTTTGGCTAAGCAAATTGCTTCGGCACTTGCGGCAGGCTTTTTCTATCTATTATTTATAGCTGCATGCACATTGCGAGTACTTGATAAGTTATTCAGAAGCGGATTGAATCACAATTGAAGATTGCCAATTGTAGACTGCTATTGCAGCTTACATGCAGGCAAACATTACCCAGTACTAGTAGTATGATCGGCCGAAAGTACGTCCTTCGGCTACTCCGGTCAAAAATGTAATCACTTCCTACGCCAAGGATGCTTCCCTGGTCAGATGCCCGGGATTCCGCCCGACATCCGCAGTGACCCTGACCCGACTTGGCTTTGGGTCTGTCAAATAATATTGAATATAAGGAAAAGTTGAATTGTATTATTTCATGGATCTAATCAGATGATCACAGGATAATCAGATCACTAAACTTTGTGCCATGTGACTCTCTTCCACATCGGTACCGCCGAACTCCAGAACTTCAAGATTGATTCTCTGATTGCTTTTTCACCGTAAGCCACATCCACAGCCTTGCCCTAGCGCGAATAGATCCACCTTCCATTCGACACCTATGGCCACTGGTGGTTCTAGCTTTAACCCAATATATGTATCGGCTTGCGTAGTCCCGTTACCTTGCCATGGAATCGGCACACATCTTTCCTTTCCTCGGGTTCATATTTTCCCAAGAGTCGTTCCGAGACAGGATCCCCTGAACCAAAGTGGGGTGTGAGAAACTGGCGTCGGATCTGATAACCGCAGTTCGGGGCGTTACAACTTCTAGAACTACACACATGGTGGATGGACATTTTTGGTTTGCCCACAAAAAGAAGTAGCCAGCGGCTATTCTGGAAAAATTCATTTACGGGGCAAAGACTATCACCGAGACATCCGACTGAATGTCTTGCCATGACGACGCCATTGGACTTTGCGAAGAATTTCGTACAGTCATACGTTGACCCACTTGGTGTAGTTCCTGCATTCCTAGCCTCGACTGGTGATGCTTATTGTGTTTGCATGTACAACTGGGGACATAAGTCTATTCACAGCGCCACAAAGTACTGGACAAGTTCTTCACAAAATTCTCGAAGTAAATGTGCCAATTGATGCATTATTTGTGTTCTGAATTAGCCGCTATGCTTGAGCCTCTGTCCTCACCTCTTTTTTTCACCTCATTTTTGCCAATTTTCAAGTGCCTTAGGTAAGACATTCAGATTATGTAAATGTGGGGGTGGGAAAAGACTTATGGCCACAGTTGTATCACTATCGGTATAGTGAATGATCAAACCTACCAGTTACACGTGAAAAGCTTGTATGAGCCAAACACCTTATACGAAATGTACGAAATGTCTACAATGTAGTAGAAATAGAAAGTCAACTGTGGAATTATCTGCATTGCTTCGAGACTGTACAAAAAGGAGATGGGGTAAGACCCAATCAAGCAAGCAAATGTTGAAAGGGAGCCCTATTCAAGAGAATGCCAGATAGATCGACGCCGATGGAAGATGCAATGGGGGCCCGAAACAACCGTGTGAGCCCTGACCATGTTTCATGAAATGCCCATCAAAAACAGGGGCTGGCGTCATCAATGTCAAAGACAAATCGGGATATTTTGAGCGCCTGGAAATGGAAGATATTGCAGAGCAGGTATCGAGAGATTGTACACAGAAATGGAAATTATGGCAGTCCCCGTGGGAGACAGAATATTGTAATCGGAGATCAACGGTAGGAACCTTTGGCCATGTTAGTAAACCAATTTGTAATAATCAGAGGTTGGACAGCCTACCATTGTAGTTCAAGCCCCCGTTCGGGTTTTGACCAGGCCCGCGGGTATTTTGGGGAATTTGAAGCTGGGCAATGTTGCTGGGCAGGTCAATGTGACGAAGAAGATCGATCATCTTGTCGGCAGAAAGACGGGAAATATTGTATGAAGATGCAGGAGGCATAATGCTTAGCAAGTTGACTACCTCACGAGGCAGAGGGGCCGGGGAGCCTTGGGCCTTGTATGAGGTGTTTTGACCGTTCAACTGCTGCACTCGCTTGCTTTGGTCGAGGCGCCGAGCTTGGGCGCTCTTCATTGGGGACTCGGCACGAATGAACTTTCGTGGGCGGTTGGAGTCATCATCAAAGTCGTCAACAGGATAAGGTCTCTTTGGGGAATTCAGAGAGGGCTCCGTGTACCGTGGCATAGGAGACCCGTGGTATTCCGAGGGGCCACCAGGAACAGTGGTCCTAGGACGGGTCTGAGATGGCGACAGAATGGGGCGCACGGCCGTAGGATCAAAGGATGGAATTGAGTAACGATGGGCAAACTGTTCCAAAGCAGGATCCTCGGGGTAGAGCTCACGCATACGCTTCTCCAGGTTGATCACTTGGGTGAGATCGCCGTAGCGGGACTCATATCCGTGCAAGAAGGAAAATATAGGCTTGGCCTTGTGAACATTCTCAGGGACCGAGGCCAGTTTCCTCACGGTGGTTTCAAAAACAGCTCGGGCATCTTAGACATTGGTTAGCTAATTCTCGGATAAATGTGAGGTGATTAACTTACTGGTGACATCGTTGATATCGAGAAGATGCTTCAGATACTCAAGTGCAAAATTCTCATCGTCCGGGAACAGTCTCGCACCCCTCTCAAAGATCTTTGTGGCAGCGGGATCTTTGTAGCAATGGTATTCCATGAGAGCACTGGCGATATAAACATCGCTGGTGATCCGACCACGCTTTCTGGCTTCCGCAAAGATTTGCCGAGAGCCAGCCATCTCTCCAGGCTTGCCTTTGCCCTGAATGCGACGCATAGAACGCATAAGTGCGATCCATGCAAAGGAGACAGTCTTAGAGAGAATGTTGATCTGGACGGCGTGGGCTTTGCGAACTGCTTCGATCTGAGCTGCCTTGGCTGCCTCTCTCTCCTTTGTTTCTGGGTCCTCCTCTTCATCGTTCCCGTTCTGTGCGTCGCTTTCGGCATTCTGCGGTGCAAATGACTCTTCAATGCGAGCGACATCTTGAGATTCCTGAGCGCGCGCCTTGTTTATTAACTCGTAGAGAGTATCAAGAAGCTTGTCATAGGGCTCCCGGACTTTGGCTGCTCGTTTGGTGGTGTCTTGGTCAGCATCTGTCACCATTTCCAAGCGGTCTGCGCGCTTGAACGTTAACAGGCAGCTTTCTGGATTGGCTTCAATGCCTTGTTGCAAGAAATTGATGCCCTCGGTCTCCATCTCATTCGAAAAGCAGAACTCGGCAGCGTCGAACCAGATCTCGGGCAGGAAGGTCAATGCCATGAGCGCTTGCTTGTAAACGTAGATCACGCGCGCTTTGAAGGCGGGAAGGTCGTCCTCCTTAAGTACCAGCGGATCTTCTTTTTCCCATGCGATCCACCGCTTCCAGATTTCCGTCTGTTGCGAGAATTCAAAGTCGCCTTCGGAGCCTGGCACAGGGGGTAGCCGGGGAAGTGAAGTGCGGATCAGGTCGCGAGTGATATTCTGCAACTCGGTGTGTGAGCTACGAGCTGTCATGTAAGACGGCGACTGCTCCTGTAAGAATCTCCGGCCCTGATAGTAGTGATTAGTGCAAGTGAGTTGAATCTGAAGAACATGTGGCTTACTGTCAGCTTATTAAGACCCATTTCGAATTGATCGTACTCCTTCCAGAGAGTATTGACAACCTGTGTTGGAACGGCAATGGCCCGCTGGTAAGCTTTCCGCAAAAGATCCATCTTTTGCTGATCCTGCCAGCTAGATCCACCAACGGTGCCAGGCCCAGAACGGATAAACTCGACGTAGTCTGTCCAGATATTTCCACTGTCCTTGTCCATGCCAACGTATTGAAATGCCAGATCGTATGCCTGAGAGATGACGGTGCGCGCCTGTCCAGTGGCGTCCGTGGTTAGAGGATTACGGCGACGGATGTAGTCCAGATAAACACCCCACAGACTGACGCTGGGGATTGTCAGAAGAGTTCGGTTGAAGAGCTGCTCCAGGCGGAAAAGCTCATTAAGTTCGGATTCCATGGAAGCATATGCCACCCATTGATCAGCCTGGTATCGGATTAGCAACATTGCATCTCAAATGAAAGGAAACCGAGCTCACCGCTTGAGGGAAGATTTTCAAAAAGCGTTCATAGGTCTCACGGGCACTGTCCAGTCTGTTGCGGCTCCTGTGCTCGGCAATTAACTCCAACCACGCGGGGATATCACCTCGGGGATCCTCTTGGATGCGATCTTCAAGGATCCCGACACGGTCATGGGGGAGACGACCCTTGGCAGAGGGAGAATCAGGTACAGGGATAGGATCAGCACTGGTCTGCATGTATGCAGATTGCGCGTCCTGCGCAGCCCAGAGAGCTTGGCCAGAAACAGAAGAAGGATCAATATTATGAACAGGAGCAGGAGAATAAGAACTATTGAGATCTGGCCCACTGATAGGACCTTGCGCAGCTTGCGATGATACATCCGGGGAAGTGTTTTGAATTGCATTTCCTGAACTGGGATCTTCATTTGCGTTCTCGTCTCCAAGTACAGCTGGGGGCTCATAGTCTGCATCACCCTTGTCATCCTCATCATTGTCAACCTCAAATCCCCCGATCATTGTGGTCTGAGGTTCGGCCGCATCACCGGGTGGTAGAGGGGGGTCGACGTCTGAGAATCAGCACGCGAGGGGTTCTGGGAAGAATCAAGAGCGTCGCCTGTCTGGCAAGCTTCCAGGTCTGTAGTATCGGTGGGATTGGGAGCGTTATCATCCATGGGGGTTGCGTCAGTGAGGGCATCATGAGTCGGGATATCATCGGACACGGCATTTGCGTAGTCATCTCCCAGTGTCTGCGATGGGTCGTAATCATCTGAATCAGAGTTATCGCTCTCCTGCAGCTCGGCGGGGGCCGATTCGGTCATGGCTTCGGACTGCTGAGCTTGGAAAAAAGCAGCTTCAGCTTCGTCGTCCATGATGGGCGATTGTGAGATGACAAGCTGGAGAAGTTAGGAGTTCGAAGTTAGAAAGTGCAAAGGTCAAGGCTTTCGAGGTCAGATCAAAGACCGAGAGTCCGAGGCTTTGCGACACAGCCACTGGTGAAGCTCAGCCGCAAGAAGGGAATTGAGGTTGCCCGGGTAGTGAGTCACGTGCGGGCGGTGAGCGTGATGCGAGGGACGCGAAGGCGCGTCGATCGTGGGCTCCTCGCATTGAGAGGGGCCGTCGAGAGTTAAGTCCCTTTGCATTCCTGTGGACCTGTGTTTATTTCTCTTCCTTTATATTTCTCACTTGACGTCTTCCTCCCCCTTTGTCTATATCTCTTACATCTTCTCAACTCTTCAATCCTCTCTCTCCCATCTACGTACATACACATATCACAATGTCCGTCGTCTCCCTTCTCGGGGTGAAAATCCTCAACAACCCGGCCGCCTTCACCGACTCTTACCGGTTTGAGATTACCTTCGAGTGCTTGGAACAACTCCAGAAAGGTGAGTGAAAAGTGCACCACCTCGTTCAAGGACAAATAATCTGACGCATCCTTTTTAGACCTCGAATGGAAGCTCACCTACGTCGGTTCCGCCACTTCGTAAGTCAACCATATTCATATTCGGTCAATTCAGCCCAATCTAATGTCAACAGCTCTGAGTATGACCAAGAGCTCGACTCCCTCCTCGTCGGCCCTATCCCGGTCGGAGTGAACAAGTTCATCTTCGAGGCCGATGCGCCTGATGTCAACCGCATCCCCAGCTCGGAGATGTTGGGCGTCACTGTCATCCTCCTCACTTGCAGCTACGATAGCCGGGAGTTCGTCCGCGTTGGATACTACGTTAACAACGAGTATGACAACGAAGAATTAGCAACCGATCCCCCTTCCAAACCCATCATCGAGCGCATTCGCCGCAATGTCCTTGCTGAGAAGCCCCGTGTGACCCGCTTTGCGATTAAATGGTGAGGCCCCGTATTATGTTTTTGTTCTCTTATGGGGTATTGACTGACATGGTTTCTAGGGATACCGAGGACTCTGCCCCCGCTGAGTACCCGCCTGACCAGCCCGAGGCTGATGGCCAGGCCGATGACAGCGGTACCTACGGTGCTGAGGAACGTGAGCTCGAGGAAGCTCTCCTCAAGGAGCTCCAGGAGTCTGACAAGCCTGCCGAGGGCGAGGACCACGAGATGGAGGGCGCTGACGCCCCCGCTGGCAAGGAGGATGAGGAAGAGGAGGCCTCCGATGCCGAGAGTGAGGACCTAGAGGCTGAGAGTGATGATGATGAGGACGACCTTGATGAGGAGGAGGGTGGTGAAGGTGATGAGGATGTCGAGATGGGCGATGACTCCGAGCAGAAGGCCGCTCACCCGGCCCATCAGACTGAGGTCATGGCGCACTAGATCACGGTGTGCTAATGGTCCGAACAGTCATTTCTTTTATTTTTTCACTAATCTTTGAATGTTTTTGACGACAGCTGGAACGCAACGTTTACGACCCAAAGACATGATTTGCCCCCATACCCTCCAAAAATGGGGATTAATTATAGTCTATGAAATAGAATTGACATATTTTGAATTTCAACAAGTGCCGATCAGACATTCAAATTCCTTTACCTCGATACCTGTAGAATTGAAGGGATTCAGACAAGTTGACCATTCACTGTCATGCATCTATCCCCTTCCATGCCTTTTTGATGCAGCCCACCCTACATGTACAAGCCTGCCAAGTGGCAACAGTGAAACCCTCCGACTTGCCTAATGAAGTCATAGAATTGTACGATGAATTCTAGATCAACATAAAGAATGTTCGGACGGCCATTCTACGCCGAGCTATTCGCCAAAATGAAGCCCTCGTGTAGCTATTATCCGCTTCCGTAGCAACGAGAACTAGTGGAAGCTGTTTCACCTAGTGGCTTTTTAGACATTGTTGTGTTGTCCCCCTTCAGCATACTTTCCATAGCATATCTGCAGGTTCTTCATCACATTACCCCGAAATTGAAGACGAATATTCCGCACGGAGCACCGAGTACATACGACCTTTATCATCTAGGGTCCGTGTCTAGCTACTGTAGAGCACGGCACCCAGCTCGGTCTAGCTCAGGCCGGGGTATACAGTACATGCACAGCAGCAAGAAAATGCACCAGGTAACCTCAAGGAAAAATTGTAAAAAAGTGATCTATCACATCCCGTAATATCGACCTAACCATCCTTAGGCGGAGAGAAAAACAAGAAAACAAAGCACGTCCATACTGTATGCATACCAATCAACCCATCGAAACCCAGAGTACGGAGGAAAAGCAAGCTAAAGCCCAAACTTCGAACCAAGCGCTACAAAAAGAACCGGTCAGCATCAAGCAAGTAAGGGGGTGAACACTCAGGCCGACGGGCTCCATCAAAGATCGACTTACCGCCAAAGACAGCCTTCCTCTTTTGGGACTGTACGTATTTGCCAACGTCGCTAGCGAAGTTGCTGCTGTTCTCTTCAAGTCTATCCATGCTGTCGCCGACTACCCCTAGTCGCTCTGTGCGTTCTTGGACTTGACGTGACATGTAAGACCAATAGCCTTCTTGACTGCCGCTCTGTTCGGATGGCGGTGGGGCTCGCCCTTCTCTTAGGGCTTGTCGGCGTTCTTGTTCTTCGTGCTTCATTTGTTCGATCATTTGCTTTGATGGTGGTCGGTCTGGGCCACCGACTGGGGTGGATGTTAGGTTTTGTAAGTTGCTTGTGACGGGGGCGGCTTACTCAATATATCCATGTCTGCCGGTGAGACGTATTGTGTTCCGGAAATCCATTGCATGTTTGTGATGGTGGGACGCTGGGGGAGAACAGCCTCAGGATTCCAGAGACGGTCTTTTGAGGGGTGTCTGCGATACTTGTTAGTATATCACCTGGTAAACCCACTGGAATTACGTACAATGTGTTTCCACCTCCCCAGACACTAAACAGCCCGAGTTCTGAAGGACCAACCCATGTCATGATATGTCCAGTTGGGGTAATGCATGCTTCAGAGAGACGTCGCATGTCCGCAATATGGTTGACTTTGGTGCATCCGATTTCTCGGAGGCCAGGAATTGAGAATGCGCGGGCATTGCCATCGCCGAATAGGCCAACCAAACTGTAGCCCCGTCCTTCGGTTTTGACGACCTGTGCCGAGTCACAAATGTAGTCTTCCCATGCTTTATGGGCACCCTTCGATGTTGGTGGCTTGAAGATACGGCAGCCACCAGTTGTCACAGCAATTACAGCTCCATTGACCTTGGTGCCACTTCTCAAGCTGCCAACCACACTTGGTGTAGCCAAAGCAAGACCGCCTGAGTCGACATCAATGGGAATGATGTTGATCACTTTGTCATCGACAGTTGATGCTCCAGCGAAAGCCGCTGTATAGGTGCCATTGGGGCTGGGGAGGATCTTAAATGTTGCCACATTCCCTCGGCTCGTGCCGACAAAGCAGCAAATGCTAGAGTAGTCTATATTGCGATTAGCAATTCAGTTCAGTAAAACGAATTATTTGATCTCTACCTTCGCCTTCCAGGGTCATCACGCCAAATTCAATGTGAGTGGGCCATTCGGGAGCAGCATCTTCCGAGCCACTTCTCTTGCGGACAAAACTGCTCCGCTTCGGTGCTTTGATGAACTCGGACAGATGCGCCGTGTGAATAACTGCCGGGCCTCGTAGATCAATTATCGCTAGACCACCACCTTCGAAACCAGCGGCTACGAATCCAACTAAGCCGTGCTTCAACGCGGTCACTGGACCCTGTTGCATATCCAACATAGTAAGAGGAAGTAGTCCTGTCTTAAGGCCTGGGTCTGTCCGCTGGGTGATTGGAGTCATCTTCCCAGGCCCTTGATTAGCACCGGGAGCTTCCTCATGTCCATACGAGGCGTTATTGCCCCATCGGAAGATAACGGTCTCGCCGGACTTGAGACCAATAGACATCTCGCCAGCTCCACTTGCAAAAGACATATCCGTCACTTCGATGTTGTTCACTCGGCCAACGGCACGAGCAAGATCAACCTGAATCACATCGCCGTTTTCAATTTCGTCGTCATGTCCACAATCCCAAACTCGAACGGTGCCATCTGCATGGGCAGTGGAGACAACATTGCGGTTTTCAAAGCGTTTGAGAGGGTTCTTTGCTTCCGCGCCTCCCATTGCAAATTTAGGGCCCTGCGAACGGCGTTCTTTCAGACCGAGCCAGACAGAGCGATCAACAGGAGTAAGCACTGCTTTATTCACAAATGGATGAACGAGAGTGAGGAAGGGGTGAAGCATGTTGGTTGGAGTAATTGCGTGTCCACTGGGGAAACTCAGAGTAAGAAGTTCGCCCGAGGATAGCACAGCAAGGAGGGCAATGGGATCTTGAGCACCATTGAAGTAGGGCGATGCCCGAGGAATAAGACAAAATTCAACTACCTTAGCTCCGGGCGGAACAGCAAGCTTCATCTCGCGCCGTGGGCGCTCAAAGTAGCTCGACAGGATCTGCCATGAAGAAGTCTGATAATTAGGAGTTGGGCCCATGTCCAAAAAGACGAGGCCTTTGCTCTGGTCACCAACTGGCCGACCACCAGCTACCAATAGACCAGTATCATCCGGGTTGCCTTTGGCACACCAAGCTACCTTTGTGATAGGCTCCCTGGGCCCAGGAGGCTCTGCCGGCGAACCAGGTCTGGAGGCATCAGGGTTGTCAACGTTGGGAGTTTGAGTTGTCCGAGCATGAAGCTTGCGGCCGTCCTTCGTATCCCAAAGGACCAGACTTGAATCCTCATGGATCGTGAGAATGAAGATTCCATTCGGATGCCAGATCGCGTTGGTCAATTTGGGTCTGCGCACGTCCCTGGATGGCATTGAATCTCCACCCGGGGCCCCAGGAGGAATCTCATAGACGAAGAACTTTTGTGCAAGATTCTGCTTGAAGGAAAATGTAACTGCTCCCTCCGGATATCCCACTAAGATCTTGCCAATGTCTCGGGTGGAAAATGCTAACGACACAACTGGAGAGAATCGCGCGCGAGCGTTGCGTTCCAGCCATAAGTTAGGGATTTTGAAGGGCGTCATAGACTCTCGGTCCAGATCGTATGCAATAATATCACCTATTCCGACATTAACCGTTGTGGCTTCATTGATAACTGGCAGTGAACAAACCGTTCGATAGACCGATAAACGCATAGTCCAAGCTCGGGTCCGTTAACAGGGCTGTAGGTTGGCCTGGAGGCGCATAGGACACGACCATGCGCCCAGCCTCCAAAGAATAGACACTGACTTCATTCTTGGAATCAATGCTCACAAGCTTGCTACCGCAAAATTGGAGGAACCGCGCGGACGCTTTGCGCGGGAATTCAAAGACCACCGACACCCGCCGTTGTCCAAAGACATAGATCTGCCCGCTTCCAAACTGGGTATCACTGGTACCGACGGCGAGGAGCGATTGAACAGGGTCGTATGCGATAGCACTAATCTGTGAGTTTATACCACACCGAGCGAACTGCGAACGGTGTCAGTGAAAAAGAGGATGCCTGGGATGCCAAGACCTACGTCGTCAAGGAGGAACAAGTCTGGGGACAAGCCCTCAGACAGGTCCTTCTGAATACCTGCTTGCTTGCCTCGCAAGAACTGAGCCATGTGAGAGTGTCCTGCAAGTGAAGGTGGCAGAATATCAGGAAGAAGTCAAAAAGTGTGGAGAGGGACAGCTGACGCCATGCAGAAGCTAAACACGGATCTGCCCCGCTCCGCCCTATGAACTCCGGCCCGGCCACTCTTTTGTTCTGTTCTCATTGTTAGGAGCAATTGGACTAACTGAACTGAATCGGGAACCTGCTCTTATTTCATCAAACGCTATTTATCTGGGCAAGAAAAAACTCCGATTTCCATGCAAAACTATATATAGGGCTCCGCTGAAACAAATCGCTTGAGAACAACAATCTATATCTCGACCTCCGAGGGTATCGTGGCCAACATGAAAAGAACCAGTCAAAGCACTAGCAACATTCCACCTATTCAAGTTTCGCCATCTCCGCAATGGTGGTTGTCAATCGTCTCCGCGCGTCGAATTCGCTGGTCTCATCTCGGCTCCGATGATACTGAAGAGTGACCTGGGAGACCAGCCGATAGCATGCATACCTAATAAGAAAAATAAGAGTTAGCCTGGCCCTCTTGAGAGAGAATAGTTTCCAGAAACATACAGGACTAGCCGGATCTTTTCCTCCCTTGTTCGGAAAGGCGACATCCCTGCCCCTTGCAAGACAGCCGGTGACGGATTTGCAAAGATCTCTGCCATCAAAACGTCACCCCAGAGAGCGCTGCTAAAGTCCACAATCCCAGATACCTGCTCAGACTCCTCGTTCAACAATACATGAGATGGCTGACCGAAGTCGACGACCACCAAGCGTGGCAAGGTGACAAATTCGAGAGCAGGGGCCAGGCGACTCAGTTCGTTCCGAATCTCCAAATAAGGAAGATGAATAAACGTGTCCTCGGCATCCCGGAGGATGCCCTCAAAGAGGGTACAGAAGGCCTCTCTCCAGGAGGGCCTTCCAGCGCCATATGCCACTTGCTGCAGAGAGCCGAACCCGGGTGCTGCATTTTGACCGATGGTGCTCGACAAGAAACCCAGGTGGCGGTCAATGTCATCCCGCTTCTGAGGAGTGAGTTGGCTCTCCATCTCTCGCAATGACCTTCCTTTCATATACTGTCGAACCATATACGGGGATCCCCATACTCTGCCATGCGGGTCATAATGGTAGAGCTGAGGGATACAAGGGTTTCCACTTGTACCAAGTAGGGCAAGAAATTGGGCTTCAGTTTCGAGAAACGATCGTTCACGTCGTAGAAGAGCCGTTCTAGATGATGGGGAGCCCTTTAATAACAGACGAGCTCCGTTGGAAAGTACCAGGAGCCGCAACGTGTGGACATGACCGAGAATCGGCTGGGAATGTTGCACGCTAACCGCAGAAGGGAAGAGCAGCGAGAGTACAGCATCCAGTCTATGATTCTCACCTTCTTCAGAGACATGGGACTGTCGAAAAGTGCCCATACGACGGTCTGTTCCACCGAGAGATGGCATGGCAGACCATTTTTTCAAGTCAAGCTGTTGCATCATGAACTGTTCTTATTAAGGTCATAGGGGAAATTGACCGAGATCGACCGACAAGGGAGAACTATGTATAAGCGAAGCTGTCACGACTCATCAAATGAAAGGGGAGAGATCTGCTCCCGAGGCGATGTATTGATTTGATATGGCCATGCACGACCTGGATTAAGCGTCATAAGTCTCGGTTCATGCTTCTAGAACGATACAAAGACCAGACGATCCATTTGAGAGAATCGTCTGGATATCCTATCTGGGATCACCAGACCGCCATGGTTGCATCGCGCACGTAACAATCCGCTGAAGGAAAGTAGCCACGGACCTATTACCAGCGCCATCAGTCTACTAGGTTTACCCACGCGAGATACGGAGGGGTTCGCTAAGGGTCAAGCAACATCCGAGGTTGAAATGGCAGCGGAGCCTAATTGAAGGAATATGTTTCGCTCAGAGGCTCGAACCAAGCAACATGGAAATGAAGTGAAGCCCGTCTCGCCTAACCATCCCCGTCTAAGAAAAGCGGCTATCCGAGCACGGCCACCCGCCCAATCACAGGTGCGCCTTGCCGAATGTCTGTGGATCGCCAGGATCAGAGAACTTCCATTTGTTCTTTGGTTTTTCTTTGTTAATGAGTTTATTACTTCTTTTTGATTGTATTGGAATGTTGCTATTCCTGTCTAGGCCTTAGTTACGAAGTGATCGCCTCCGATTGCTGGAAATGTCTTGACTTCCGCCTCTAGGCTTCTATATTCTACACGGAACGGAGTGTATGCGCGAGCATTCCCATGCAAGTCATTCGGACTTTTGTCTAAATGTGCTCGAGCCCCTTGGATCAGCAGATAGCTCCCGGCTCCCAGCTCGTTTCAGATTCGGAGAAATCCCTTCGGGTATAATGCTGCCATTTGTTTTCATTGCGTACCTGGTAGACATGGCAATGCCCCGCGCGGGACGGCTTGTGGCTGCATGAACCTGGTGGCAGTTCTAGTTGAACTCTAGACATCTTAATGGCACACGCTTGGATCCTGGCATCACCGAAGAAACCCTTTGGATGATTCTTGATTGAGAAAGCCAAAACCAATGGCCATAAACTCTGCGACACCTGAAAAGGGTATATGGTCGTTTGTCAGCCTAAGCCTTGGCATCGGTGGCCTTGGGGGTTTCAGTAGCCGTGGCTTCTGCTGCTTTTGAGCTTGGGTCGTAGATCTCGGCCAGGTTAAACCGTTTCAGCCTATCGTAATCCCCCCTACCACACTCATGCCGACTACGTTCTGTCACGAGTCAGTCAATGCCCTGATAGGTCCTAGCAACACCCAATGGGGTAATTTCTCTCAATACTAACCTGGACCACATCAACAAGAATGATCAGATCATAATTCTTCAAGTTTACAGGATGCTCAGGGCCAACGGCATCGGCAACGGTCTTGATGATAATGTCGCGGTTGAGCTTGTGGTTTCCTCGCACAGTAGGCCGAATAGCGTACTACAAAGATGACAAGTCAGCACTGCCCAGAAGCCATTTCCCCTCACGGCGAGGTGCGTCATCGGATGTTTTCCCAGATCAGTAGATCTCCGACCCAACGGGCTTGAACTCACCGTCTTTGGAGGCCCACCGGAGTGAAAATGAGGTTTGAGTATCTCCTTCGCGAAAGCTTCTAGGTCAACGCTCAGAGTCTTCCGAATCGACGTGATTGGATGCATGCGCTTAATATATCGGCTCTTCTTCGTCTCCGGATTGGCTTCTGCCTCGAGACAGAGACGGTGAACGAGCTGCACCGGGTCTACCGAGGGATCAAGACGCATCCAGACCACTCCATGGGGTTAGTATGCGCATACTCGCAACCGAGCGCATAAGCGAATGGCGTTTTTGGAGCGTGGGTAGACGTACCACATGGAAGCTCCATCTGTACACCCTGGAATTGACGAGGTTTGTCTTTGCTTGGCTGTAGTCCTTCTAGCTCCCTGCGGATCTGGGCCTCAATGTCTTCGTCATCTGAGTCCGACTCTTCCTCTGTCGGCTTCTCATCACCTTCGATAGCCTGATTTGAGAGTCAGCGAGGCTGACATGCACCGTAGTTGTTCAATTTACCTGAGAAAAAACGTCCATTGCTTCTCTGAGACATTTTCCTTCTCTGCCCATGTCGCATGTTAAGAAGACGCCCGACTCGCCTGACTCAATGGCGACTCGACTTTTTTGCTGCTGCCATTTTCCACCCTGATTCCAGTCAGTGCCTAAATCCTTTGTAGCGCTCTAGCACGGTCGCGCAAGCAAAATCCGAGCCTCACCTTCTTCGAACGGGTCGTACTCTTTGGCATTTTCCCCATATTGTCTGAAGCTCGAAGTGGTGGGGGGTCGGAATTTTGTGTGATCGGCCCGGATTTATGATTGGGTTAGGCGGGATCGACAACCTTGGAAGTGAGCTTCATCTTTTGTTTTGGCGACGAACTTCAATTGACACTTCTTATTCGTCTATTGAGGAACAGCAGTTCGAGAACACGTGGATATCTCTCATGGCCTGTTGTGTTGTGGGACAATTGATGGCATGACATCAACTTATCCAATCATGACGTAGTCTGAGGTCTCACTATCTAGGTCATCCGGTTGATCACCCGGTTCTTTTCTTCTTTATAAAAGCTTGCTTGCTGCTTTTTATTTCATTGCTCTTCGCTATCTTCTACTCATCGAACTCTCTGCGCCCAACCTGAACTTAGCCATGGCGTCCACCGATATCGTCACCCGGGAGCTTGAGAACCCTATTGATGTCGCCGAGTACCTCTTCCGACGTCTCCGCGAAGTCGGAATTCGTTCGGTGCACGGCGTGCCTGGTGATTACAACCTTTCGGCTTTGGACTATCTGCCGGGATGTGACCTCCACTGGGTTGGAAACTGCAACGAGCTTAATGCCGGTAAGACACATTGTTGACGGTAAGCAGAAGTACTTGTCTAACGGATATCATAGGTTATGCCGCTGACGGATACGCTCGTGTGAACGGAATAAGTGCCATTGTCACCACATTTGGTGTTGGAGAGCTGTCTGCGCTCAACGCCATCGCTGGCTCGTACTCCGAATTCGTCCCCGTCGTTCATATCGTTGGCCAGCCCACCACCCAATCCCAGAAAGATGGAATGCTGCTACACCATACTCTCGGTAACGGCGACTACAACGTGTTCAGCAAGATGAGCGCTGGGATCTCTTGCTTTGTCGCTCATTTGAATGACCAACATGACGCCGCTACTCTTATTGACAGTGCCATTCGCGAATGCTGGATTCGCAGTCGCCCGGTCTACATTACCTTGCCCACCGATATGGTCGCCACTAAGGTCAATGGTGATCGCCTAAGGACGCCGATTGACCTGTCCCTGCCTAAGAATGACCCGGAGAAGGAGGATTACGTTGTTGATGTCGTCTTGAAGTATCTCCATGCTGCCAAGAACCCTATCATCTTGGTCGATGCCTGTGCCATTCGTCACCGGGCACTTGATGAGGTGCACGAACTCGTTGAAAAGTCTGGTCTGCCAACTTTTGTGACCCCTATGGGCAAGGGAGCCGTTGACGAGACACACAAGAACTTCGGAGGTGTTTATGCCGGAAACGGCTCCAACCCTGGCGTCAGCGAGGCTGTTGAGGCATCCGATCTCATCTTGAGCATTGGTGCTATCAAGTCCGATTTCAATACTACCGGTTTCACCTATCGCATTGGACAGCTTAACACCATTGACTTCCACAGCACCTATGTGCGGGTCCGTTACTCTGAATACCCCGATACCAATATGAAGGGTGTCTTGCGCAAGGTGGTACAACAGATGAAGCCTTTAAATCCTGCTTCTATTCCTTCACTCACGAACCAGCTGTCCCCTCGCGAGCAAGCCTCGTCCGATCAAACTATCACTCACAACTGGCTGTGGTCGATTGTTGGACAGTGGCTGAAGCCAAAGGATGTGGTCATCACGGAGACTGGAACTGCTAATTTCGGTATCTGGGACACCCGCTTCCCTTCCAACGTTACTGCCATTAGTCAGGTCCTCTGGGGTAGCATTGGTTATTCCATGGGAGCCTGCCAGGGCGCCGCGCTTGCTGCAAAGGAACAGAAGAATCGCCGAACCATTCTCTTCATTGGCGATGGAAGTATCCAATTGACCGTTCAGGAGTTGAGCACAATCCTGCGGAACAACTTGAGCCCTATCGTGTAAGATTCCTAGACCCACTTGTTTATTTTGCTTGATATGCTGATAGCTTCTAGATTCGTCATCTGCAACGAGGGATACACCATCGAGCGATACATCCACGGATGGGATGCCAAATACAACGACATCCAACCCTGGGACTTCGCCAACATCCCCAAGGTCTTCGGTGCCAAGGAAAACTACCAGGGCTACCGTATCAAGACCCGCGACGAGCTCAACAAGCTATTCGCCGACCAAGAATTCAACTCTTCCGACAAGCTTCGGGTAAGTCATTTACCTTCGTCATATCGAGAGTACCTACTAACACGAACTCTAGTTGGTCGAGCTGTACATGCCCCGCGACGACGCCCCCGCGGCTTTGAAGCTGACCGCCGAGGCCGCTGCCCAGCGTAATGGTTAAGCAAGAAGCGCGATAGTCATGCCTTCGCTCTGTCACGATGCACATGAAAGCAAACATGAAGCAACATTTGCCTTATTTTCTTCGGCGTTTATTCCACTGGGATAGGAGATCTGCAACATCCACACTGTCTGAACTTAATTGGGCTTCGTTTTGAAGTCTTGAATATCTCTTCTCTACTCAGTACATTGTAGAATTATAGATTTTCACGATATGCAGGGGTTATATTGCAAAGTTGACACAGACAAGTCGGGATTATAGGTCAAAAGCTGGAGGTCCTTCGTGCAAATATATGAAGGGATCCTGGTTTGATCAATTCCAAGCTCTTGTAGTCGACAAACAATAGGAAAACGAGTCCAGTCTCTGGAATTTGAACAAAGTCGCCTGCGAGACCACGAAGCTCCAGTCGTAGAAATCCACGACCTGCAAGGCAATGATCAATACTGTTAGCTCTAATCAACTCTTTACGGTATTAAATAACGTAGCACACATATACTAGAAGCTCTATCTGCTTGATCGTGTCGCAACATAACAGGCCCCGGGTACTTGACTTTATCTAACTTTACACCATTAATCTCCCTATTAAGACAGGTTACTGGACGCACTATCCGTATGCCGTTGCCAATTCAAAGTCGGACTAGACTTAAGCTTCAGACAGCGGCTTTTATGCTCTCCGCTATTTCCTAGGTCCCAAGAGTCTCTGTTCCAGAGGCTCTATACCTAGATAGTGGACACTTAATCATTCTGATTATCAATGCGTGGTACCACATGGCTGGGTTTCGCTGTCGACGATGTATTCTTCGCTCTAGGGCAAGGATTCTTGTTGTGGTTGTCTGCGACAGATTCGACGTGCGGAGGAAAAGGAAAGACAGCCGCTTTCGGGGTGATTCTTTCTGTTTATATACCACATCATGATTTTGGCTTTTACTTTTAGATCACATAGACCCTTCTCAGGATATCATTGATTCCTTATATCTTACCATTTTCCATCAATAAATATGATCTGCTATATTATATTCATGGATATCCATAATTCCTTTATATTTTGACATTTGATCTCAATAAATATGATCTATCTTACCCGTACGTGCCTGTGAAATTGAAAATCACTGAAAAAAAGGGTTCTGCCCGCCACCCCACTACTAGTTCAACCTACTAGTAGTTCAACGGGTCTCTCTCTCTCTCTCTCTCTCTTCTGCCATCTTTTTCTTTTCCCTATCTATTCTTGCCTTCTCTATTTCCCCCCGTACTTTTCATTGAAGTTACCATGGATCCTGAGCTTAAACCAATTATTAGATTCTTTGAACATGATAGACCGTGAAATTCCCCCTACCTGCCTATTGTTCCAAACTAACAGATATCCTAGTCCAAACACGCCCAGACTTTCCATGGAGGTTGAGCCGATACTCCCAGTTATGTCTTTAGCTAGCCCGACAGGAGGGTTTATTGTCACTGTTCGTCGGGCAGAGGATGACTGCGACAAGCCCTGTATCTTCCGCTGGAGCGACCTGTGTGATGGATGGGGTCCCTCTGGCTTCGTAATCTTTCAGCACACGCCAGATGGTCTAAAAAGGGTCGAAGTAACGCCTAAGCGGCCACCTCCTCAGACTCTCAAGATCACAGGATATGAAGTTGAGACAGAAGAACTTCTTCCTGGACAAACTCTCCGAAGAAATATAGGCGCCCCGGATCCCTTTTTGAATCACATGGTGGCTGGTGAGAGATATAAGCTAGTCTGGCTTGGGGCTGAATATGCCTTGTGGGCCTGGGGCACCTTGCGCGAGCATTGGGAGCAAGAAATTGGGGTTACCTCCGGGCTACCCCTTGTTGTCATCCCGGGGGAGCTTCCTGTTCTTTTCTCTGCGTAGATAAGGAAGAGCCTTTGGAGCTTAAGCCGTATAACGACCCTCTGGTGGAGAAATCGGAACGAATGTGAGAAATTTCCTAACCTGATATCCGTCCTTATCCTGACTGATATACTTCTTACAGCCCTGGAGCCCCTTGTATGAGTGTGTTGCTGGATGGTCCATCAGAAATGTCTAAAACGGAAAAGCATTTCTATATCACAATGAAGGTCACCTATGATGGTCCCACAAATGAGGACCAAGAGGCTATCAATGATGACACAAAGCCGATCATCATACACGATTACCCTTTTACTTATGATCAATTTCGACTGCAACACCGCTGCCCCGATTACGATCCGTCGAAAGATTCAAACGGGGATTCTACACAGTGGAAGACTTATTTCAACGACGAAGACAATCCGGGTTGGAGAATTGTAGATGAACCCGACGTTGAGGTCAACGTCACGGATCCCGAGTTTTTCCGCAGCCTCAAACCAGGGGAATCATTTGTCAGAAAAAATCGCCTTGGATTTTTCGACTTGCATCCCGATACAGTGGTCGGCGACACATATCGATACCAGTACTGTGGTGGCCGCGTTGACTGGTGGATTTGGGGTGATTGCGAAGAGCATGCGAAGACGGTAGTGAAATTACCATGTTGGCTGCATGGTCGCGTCGTCGACCCCGCTGATAATGATGGAAGGCCGGTCATAATGGTCCCGTCATCTAATTTTGTCGAGTTTACTGTTGTTGAATGATACGAATGGGTTCTCTTTGGTTCAAGTTTTGACCTCAATTTTAGGTGTTGGATTATGAATGCATTTTTATGGAATATTCAAGCACAGGGATTCTCGGCATTCATCACTTCCACAGGCCCTTATATTCTACATGTAATGGGCGTCTCGCCGTGTAATGCAACCTGCGCACAAGTTTGATGTGGACGCTAATTAGTGTCGAACGTGCATTTTTGGCTCGCGCTACCTTTTATACGTCAACACATGCAATACCAAACTTTGCATCTCTATGAGAATGGTCTACGCTATGATAACATCCAAGGGCTCGGGCCTCCGCAAATGAGCTGTACAAAGAGCTCAGACAATGTCCATGGAATCTTATATTCAGATCGTATGGTCACTTGTGAGTGCGTGGCGTGTCCAAAATGTGAAACATAATCTGAAATAGGGATGGAATTCTATACTCGACTTTCCTACTCACTTAAAATCGGGCGGCGCATGCAAAATGTGACATGGAGACACAATAGCAATAGAACCCTATATCCGAGCCGTATGCTCAACTAGAAGCCCGGAGGTAAGAGAATAACAATAGAAAAATAGGCTTAGGATCCCATTCAGCATCGGTCTAGGTCGTGATAGAACGACTTTCCAATGAAAAAGTCGTGACATGAGTGTAGACTTCATGAGTCTCATCATTGAGTTATTTGCTTATAATCAAGTGAAAGTGTTTACATTAATATATGGCGACTAAGTCTTCTACCTTTTCTCTGTGTCTCTGTTTATTTATATCTTCTTTTTTCACTTCTTCCTCTTCTTCCTTCTTCCCTACGCCCGTCCTCGCAAGTCTGCCAGGTACGTGTCTCTATTTCGTTACTTTTGAAGACTCGTAATGTCACTCCGATTCTACTCTTCAATACTACAGCCCGGTTGACGAGTCTTCACAGTTACATCGCCAGATTCTTGCTAAACTCATACTCAGCTAAGATCATCTCATACTTTTTTCTTTACTCATACATCTTTGATCGAACCACCACGTGAGTTATCATACACGTCTACTGGATCTTTATGTCTCTACCTGCGAAAGGAGCCTGAAAGTTCTTTTCAATTCCGTCTTGCTGTCACTTTCGGCTCAATCGCTTGAAGAGGTACAAGTGATCTCGGATTACAACTACACTAAATTTTGATAGCTCCCACCCTCATCATCATGCCTCCTAAACCGCCATCTGACCAACGATCTTTATCATCCTCGTCGAGGATGCGGCTGCCTGCATCTGGCTCGGATCGTCCTAACCGTCCCATTGAAATGCCCATCAGTGAACGTCCTTCGGCACAGTTACTCGGCCCGCGTCTCGCTAAAGATCTGCGCCAGCACAGAAATGACGTGCACGAGGGTGATGCTCCCAAGAAGGCCGAGGATATTTGGACGAGACGCATACGCTCTGACATCGGCGAGAGACTGGAGACTGGCTATCATTTCGCGGTCCAGCGAAATGATTCGCCCTCCAGACGGCCCCTTTCCTTGACCAAGGAGGAGACGCACAATGCCACGCTACTGGAACGAGAGGCTATTCATGTGGCAGTCTATGAACCGGAAAGAATTGACCAGGGCAAGACTGTACAGCACCAAGACTACGTTGAGGTTCACTGGGATGGTTGCAAGAACATCGATATTCCCTGGCATCAATTGAAAATCTTGCCCTCCACTGTGAGCGACCCGCCAAGCTACCTTGAAATGTTCTGATTGTTTCTAGGGAAAACCCGACCCTGTCATGATTCAAACTCGTGTTGGATATTGCACTGCCGGCAAAGAGATCGAGTTGATGATGAATGCATATCCGATTCTTTCGTTTCCAACCAAATCTGTCTATCAGTACGAGGCAAGTGATTATTTTCAAGTTCATTTGGTATGGCAAATTTCTGATTGATTGCCAGATCAACGTTCTGCAGACTACCGATAACCCCAGGGATAAGCCATCCCACACTGAAACCAATCGACGCATCCTGAGAAAGTGCTGGAACAGTGACACGCGAAAGGCTCATATCCCTGATGGCATTTGGGATGGTGGCAGAATTTGCTGGTCAGTCTTATACCACTTCTGATTCTTTTCAGAATTCAATGGTTAATATCAAAATAGGTCTATGAGGGATTTCAAGAGCTGGATGGAGACGGTTCAGTTCAAGGCTGACATGACTCGGGAGCTCCATACTCAAAGGAAGTTGAACATGGCAGCGCCCCTACTTTCAAGATGTCTGTCAGACAAAAGCGCAAGCTGAACCTTGGCGTAATCGGCCGCTGGCTCCAGGGAAACCATGAATTTGACGAATACGTGATTGAAGCCATGAGTATGTGACCATTACCCTGTTCTGTTTCAACCACACTGACATTTCAAGGTTTTCTCGACCACTTGCTTCGTGAATGGCCTACCAAGGAGTATGCCGCCATCAAGCGAGCTTTCTTCTTTGATGATCTCGGTAATAGGCACGCGTTGAAACAGGAATTCTACCAACCTCTTCAGAACATGGGTGCTTCTGTTTACCGTGGCATTTACCAAGCAATTCGTCCTACCCCGGTAAGTTCTTTGCAGCGGAAACAAAAAGATGAAGTATCTGAGTCGGTTTTAGAACGGCCTTATCCTGAATGTCGATGTGGCTCACTGCGTGTTCTATTCTCGGATCACCCTCATGGGGTATCTGATGAACGCCGCAGGCTGCACGGATTTCAACACTCTCATCAGGAGACTACAGCCCCAAAGGGACACCCCTGGAAAGATACAGAGAACGGGTATGGTCGCAGCTCTGACCAAGAAGATTTTTGGTCTTCGAGTTGCGCCAAATTACGACGGGTGCCCTGTTCACCTGAAAACTTTCCTGGTAAAAGGCCTGATCGAAGATACTCCAAGAACCCTTCACACCGGCTTTGTGGACAAAGCAACCGGACAGATGAAGACTATGAGCATTGAGCAGTACTTCCGGCAACGCTACAATGTTCGCATCACGCATCCAAACATGCTCTTGGTCGAGATGCAGGAGGACAAAGTCTTCTACCCTGCCGAGTTTTTGGTTATCAAAGGTCTTCAGAGATACCGCCCAAAGCTCAACGATGCCCAAGCCGCACAGATGATTCAGTGGTGTGCGACCACACCCCCAAGCGGCTGGCAAATGCTCGTCAGTCCAAGGAGTTGTTAGACCACAAGAATGACCCGATCTTGCGGCAATACGGAATGGTTATCAGTGAGCAAATGATCAAGACAAAGGCTCGTCTTCTCCCATGCCCTGAGCTCCAGTTTGGTGGGACTCGAAAGCACAACCCTATGCACACTGGATCTTGGGACCTACGCGGAAAGAAATTCCTCAAGAACAACGAAAGGACTCTGGAGCGGTGGGGTGTTGGGTTTTTCGAGGCTCAGCGACATGGAATTACCCATGACCAGGTCCTCATGTTCCTTGAACAATTTCAGAAGATTTACACTCAAATGGGAGGCGATATCACCAGACGCCCCGTCGTGGTGCCACTGAAAGAAGACGTCGGTCCTGGTGTCCGCAGACTGTATGAGGCGGTAGTCTCACGTTACGCAGGCGAGCCCCAGATCATGCTTCTGATCGTTCCGGACAAGGATTCTTTCGTTTATCTTCGCATCAAGAAGTCGTGTGACTGTCGCTACGGAGTCCCTTCGCAGGTGCTCCAGACTAGGCACTGCATCGCCAACAAGCCCCAGTACTCTGCAAATGTCCTGATGAAGGTAAATGCTAAGCTGGGTGGTGTCACAGCTCGAGCTATTCCGAAGAGCAAATCTTCGACCATGCGGCCCGGCTCCATGATCATTGGCGCGGATGTCACTCATCCTATGATGGGCGTGTGGACTCCATCTCTGGCCGCGATGTCGGTTTCCTCTAACTCAAGCGGTACCCGCTACATGGGTGGCTGTGAATGCAATGGTGATCGCATTGAGATTATCCGTGAACGTGTTGTCCAACAAATCCTGCCTCCTCTGGTCTCCGAGTGGAAAGCAACCATTGGCAACGGCAAGGCCCCGGATTACGTCTACTACTTTCGTGATGGCGTTTCTGCATCTGAGTACCGCAAGGTTCTTCAAGAGGAGATTTCTTCTATCCGCTTTGCGATTGCCCATGCGTGCGGTCTGAAGGTTTGGCCGGGCAAGCTACTTGTTGTTGTTGCCAACAAACGCCACCACATTCGCGGCTTCCCCGACCCAAACAACCGTACGACCTCGGACCCTCATGGTGGTTGTCTTCCCGGTACTCTGATCGATCGTGATGTGACTAGTCCCAATGAGTGGGACTTTCTGCTGTACACCCACATCGCTCTCCAGGGAACCGCGCGCCCAGTCTACTATCACGTCCTTCTGAATGAGATCGACGGCCTCGGACCAAATGATCTGGCAAGCATGATCAATGACCACTGTCACCAGTATATTCGCTCGACCACGTCAGTGTCGATACATCCTGCGATCTACTATGCCCACTTGATCTCTGTTCGTGCCCGTCACCACGAGGATGTTCCGGTCTCTGCTGGCCCTCAAAGTGGCCCAGAGGTCAACATGTTGAACCCCAAGCCTCTCGGGTCCCGCGCTAAAAAGCTGCTTCCCATTAAGGGCACTTCTAACCGCCTGGCCCTTGGCATGTGGTATATTTAATTGCCCAGACATGCCCATCATTCCGAGCCCAACATCAATGGATGTTCTTCCACTGGACGAGACATTCCTCGCCCTAACCGTCTGGTTTGCAATGGGGTTGTTTTTGCCTGGAACGGTTCTATTAGAAAAGCAGAATAATAACATTAACTTCCCTAGATATTGTCTTCTTGTAGATCTTGACAAGTAGGCTCGTAGATAGGTCTGTTGGTCAGTACAGTAGGGACCATGTGTGCGGGCATAGGTACTTGCATTGCTACTGGCACAATAACTCCCCTTCTTGGGAGATCCCAACGGTCACACATGAAACCTCTCGATCGTATTAGAGTTCCAAGACTTCGTACGCAAGATGCAGTGATGTTGGTGCCGCGGTGGGCCACTTGCGGAGAAAAGCTTAAATCAACGTCCATGATGCCACCTCCACAGCATGCTCAAGAAGAACCATTAAAAGTAGATCTCAAAGAACACGGATATTGACTCAAAGCAGGTAGATGATTTGATTGAAGAGTAAACTGGTTAATAGAAGTCTCTTCGAGGGGATTATGGTACAGGAGAGTCAACGCCCCTTCGCGATAAATGCAGAATGACCCAATGCCGTAGAAGCTCAAGGAAAACAGAGAAAGGAAAAGGGTGTCGGTCGAACACAAAGGTGGAATGATGTATTGCTGGGAGCTTGAGAGGTAAAGAATACCATGCAAGTATGGTACTTCAAGGTCCACCTGCTGAATGCTCCCATTTGATGGAGAAGTATTGTAGCAGGGAACGTGAGATGGGGCGAGGGTGCGCAAAGATGGGACACAAATATTCGAGTAATGATATTAAGATACATGCGGAGAATAGAATACTAGAAAACAGAAATAGGAGAGCGTGGCGTCATAGATATAAATCATGCATCACGTTCCATTGGTCATGGTCTCACCAGTGCCATCAGGCAGACCAATTCCATCTTGGTTGGAGACCGCAGCATCCCCAGCATTTTGGTCGCCATCACCATCGCCAATGGGGTTAGGCATATCCAAGGCTGTGCCACTGTTTTTCTTGACCTTTTTCTTGCTTGGTTCGGTACCGCCAGCCTTGGATGCATGAGGCGGAGCTGCCCGTTTTTGTGGGCTGGTGTGAGGGCCTGACAGGCCAGCCTGGGGGATCTTGCCAGAAGCAGGAAGGCGTGGTTTCGCAGCCATGGGCCTTTGCTTCGGAGGGAGCTCAAGATCTTCAGTAAGGGGCTCATCACGGTTGGCATCAAGCTTGCCCCTGAAGAATGCCTGCACCAGTCCAACTTGATCGGACAGGTTCTCTGCGGAGATGCGCGCATATGGAGGAGGGGCAGGGAATAGAGTGACAGCCTGGGAAACACTGGTGCTCTGTGGATTGGCTGCATTGAACATGCGGTTTTGAAGCAAATGTAATGGCACACTGAGGGTAGAAAGACCGAACTCGCGGTCCAGGCCCAGTTCCTTGAAACCAAAGAAGTCCTCATCGATATCTTCGGCGAAATCACCACCGACGAATTGTTCGCTGCCATCAGCAAACGCAGTGGAACCATCTTCGCCACCCTCTGCGAGAGCAGGTCGAAGCAATTCGGTCAAGAGAGACTTGAGGCGATCGTGAGCAGTTGTGAGCTTCGTACCCAGGCGTTCCACGTCGTCCTTGATGTAATTCTCCAACTCATCAACAGAGATGCCAACTGAAGCCAGGGTGTGTAGAATAATTTCAGGTTCTGTGTAGGCAGGTTTCCACTCAGCAGCCGACAATGCATCTTGAGACTCAGTCGCAGGAACCTGGGGTGTTTCCATATAAGACTTGAGAGTTGAACCGAGCTTGTGGAAGAAGTCGACTGCGACGTCTGTGACAGACTCGATTGCAGATGGTTGGTATTCCTCAAACCCAGTATGGTAGAAGATCTTAGCCACTGAGCGCTGCAAGGCTGCCCGGCAGACGTAAGGGGCAATGACAGGACCATTGTCGTTCAACACATGAGGTTCTGCATCTTGTTCCACAAATGGCTCAGGGTTATATTTTTGGAATTGGTTGTGGTACATCTAGAGCAAAGTTAGTCCAGGCGAGTGTTCATTGGATCGGCTGGCTTACCTGGGCCTGAAGCTGCATCTGCTTGACAATGCCTATTTTGGAGCAAATCTTGCGTGTTTCTTGCATCTGTCGCATGTTGGCATTCATTCTCTGGGTCAATTTGCTGTCCGGCTGAACGAATTCGCCCTTTGGAAGGATCCTGAGGAACTGCTCTGAGGCATCAACAACATTGCCCTGTGCATCTTCCTTCCAGACTAGTTGCTCGGGAAGATCAGGAACGCCAGACATCACGTCATAGTAAAATGGAAGCATCTGGTCTTCTTCCACCTCAATCCCTTCCGCAAGAGACTCGCCTGCGGCCTCTGGTTCAAGCTGAGAGCCCGTGTCACGAGACTTGTCAGCTTCAACAGTAGCTTGTTTTTGGTGTCGAAGCCATCGGCGCATGCCAGCCTTAGTTCGAAGCAGGGCCGGCTCCTCAATGTTGAGCCTGTCGCCCCTCAAGAGACGATGTCGCTCCGCAGCAATCCGTGCTCGATCTCTCTTGGTGACTTGCTTCCATACTTTGTACTCCGGATCTTCCAGCTCCACGCCAGGCACCGAAAGGGCACTGAGGGCAGTAGCGGATGCAATTGGGCCATCGAGTTCCATGGAATCATCTTGGCTCGCCGCCACTGCTCCCGGGCCAGCAGGGTCAGATGGGGTGTGTGATCCAGGAGGTGGTGTGCCGAAACCATTCTGACTTGCCTCGGCGGCAGCATCCGAGTCAGCACGCACCGGTGCAGGTGGCTGAGTACTGGGTACCCCAGGTGGGCCCTCGGAACCGCTGGGGGTATTGCGAGAAGGGGCGGTGCCTTTTTTGGAAGACTTTTTACCAGGGGCCTTCCTACCTCGCGAGGACATGATGGGCTCATCGTCGCTCTCCTCAGCACCATCGAGGTCTGCCATTTGAAGTCGACGTTCCTCGGCCTCCACTTCGGCTCGATCTCTGATGACGATGTCTGGAATGAGGGGAACAAGCTTCTCAGTCTCTTTTCGCATATAGAGCGCATGTTTCCGCAAAGGGTGTTCGGCGTTGGTATTGTATTTCAAACAGTTAGCCCATATGAGGGTGAGGTCATCCACAAAGTCTTGCTTGGATTTATATTGCAGGCCCTTCAACTTCTTGGTCATTGATCCCAGATCCATCGGGTGCTTGATGACTATTCAAGTATTAGCGCATGAAACGAAATCATAGGGTGAAGAATCGTACTTATGTGATAGTCCGGCGCATCACGTTTGTTGACACGAGTCAAAAACGCGGTAGAATGCTCCGTCATAGCCTTGAGCTCACTGAGGACCTTTTCTGCAGCTTCATAAAGTTCCTCTTGGCCAACCTTGTCTTCGTTTGCCCACTTGCTGCGGTTTTTGCGTACTTCACTCAGTAAACTTCGTAGCTCGGCATCGGAGGCTTGAACCTTGTCGCGTTTCTTGTCAATTCGGGCGATGAGGTTCTTCAAGGTCAGACTGGAAGCGCCGAGGTTGGTATTGCTCAAGGAGCTATAGCCACTAGAGCCAGCCGAGGCATTGGTCCCTCCAATGTTGGCCTGGCCGGATATCTCTGCTTCGACCTGACGCTCTGACTCTTCCAGGCGTTGTTGATCGAGCATAGCATCACGGTCATTCTCCAGGGTGTAGAAAAGTGTGTGGAAACTCCGCCGGGCAGCCTCCTCCGTCGCCTTCTTGTCATCCTCAAGCTGCTTCCGAATTTCCTCCATTGTCTCCTTCTTAGGCTCCTTTGCACCATCTGCGCTTGTGGATGCCGACGTGCTGGGGCGGTGGGCCGGTGGTGTGGGGTCTTGAGAGGCAGCGGGTTTGGATTTCGAAGGGGATTCGGCGTCAACCATTTCCTCATCTTCGTCGTCGTCGTCGTAGTCATCGTAGTCATCATCGTCGAGCTTTCGGGCTGACTTGCGTGGTGGCGCGGAAGGGGGTGGCGCATCGTCGACGCGTTCGGGTTGAGCGTTGGGGGCCTCCAGAGCTTCCCCAGCCGTTGCGCCGGCAAGGACATCAGCAACATCTTGTCCAGAGAAGAGCGCACTTATTTTCGCTTCACTGCGGCGATACAAGTCACGGAATTGGGCAATGCGTGGATCTTCTTCCGGCGCGGTATCGGGTTCGGAGGTCAAGCTGCCGGGGACCGGCCCTTCGGCGCTGACAGAACCGCGTATTTGGGGAGTTCGAGAACCAGATAATGTCTTTACTAAGCCATTGACAGGGCGCGGAGAGTCCTGGAGATCATCTGGAGGCCGGATATTGCCTGGAGGCCAGGCGTTGTGGCCGAGCGACATGCTCGCTCCAAAACCCCGGGTTGGGGGCGGGCGAGACTCGATTCTCCACGATTAGAATTATGGGCCGATCGGACGCGACGAAGCGGTCTGGAGAAGGTCAAAAGGCATAGAGATAGAGTTAACCTTCCATAGAAGACCCCACCGATGTCAAAACAGCAAAAAAAGATGCCGTGGGGGAGTGGTTTGATGAAGACGATCGGGGGGAGCTACATAGGAAGTTTCGCTGGACGGGGATGAAGTACAGGCGCAAAGGCGGAGTCGTGTGGCAGATCCCTTCAATGTCATTGAAAGGTCGATCGCGATTGTTCGCAATTGATTGTCTCAGATCTATTGTCGCATGAGCTCTCTATTGTGACTCTATTGTAACTTTCCCAGCTGCATTGCAGCTATTGCTGAGATTTTATTGTCGCCAATAACTCCGTCGCTCGGCATATGACGCACCAGGCAGCTGGGGCCGAACTCCTCCACGTCTCACAGCTTCCGCTCTGGGGCCTGAACCTCACCTAGTCAACCTAAGCGCAACCTCCCTATTCTTCACTTCTACTTCTGTGCTTCTTTCGGAGGTCTTATTTTGAGGATTTTTACGACGGCACTTTTTTGACGATTTTCGTCTGCCATGCGCATCCGTTACCCTTTCGCAGGTGAGGTTCGGACTGCTTTCTGCTTCCGGCGATTTGACTGACAGTTCCAGGTGCCTTTGCCTTCCTGCTCATCGCAGCAGCTTATATCGGCCTCCTTCCTCATGGTGAGAATTCAACGATACCGACACATCTTCAACCGAATGACAAGTTCCTCCACCTCGTGACCTTCTTCCTGCTTTCCGTGACCTTTTACTGGATCTTGGATACCACCCGGAAGCGCACACTACACGTGACCCTTTTGGTCTGTACATTGGGACTCGGCATTGGTTCTGAAGTTATCCAGGGCTTCCTTCCCAATGGCCGAGACTTCGATCTATTCGATATCGTCGCCAATGTGGTTGGCAGTCTTAGCGCCATCGGTCTTTGCAGCTGGTACCACCGACGCATGATGGAGCGTCGTCGGCAAAGCCGATATGGCCTGATGGAGGATGGCACCGAGGATGTCGAGCTCGGAGGTGTTGATAGCAGTTCTCGCCACGAGTCGGAAATTATGGGCCCACAAGAGTCCGGTGTCATGAACCTCGAGCAAGAGGTCGACAACTGGGATGAGAATGCAGTGGACAATTGGGATACTGAGGAAGCCCCAGAGCATGACCGAGCGACTGCTCCTCCCAGTTATCAAGAATCCAGCTCTGCCAGTTCCCAGCCGGCTGCGACTCCTGTCGGGGCAAAGCGCAATGATTAAAGCTGTTCCTTAACTACAGTGTTGTGAGAAAAGGCTATGCAGCTACACGATATTAAGGTCCAAATCCCCTTTGTTGTTACGCTTCCGTCCTCATGATTATGGATCCCATGCACTGGTCTCATGTTGGTCGGTATGATACCAGTCTTTCGGTCTACCAGCGATGTGCTTTTGAGTTATTTCTTTGGTTTGTTCATATTGTTCTATTATATGGAAAGAGGGTATTTCCAGGCAGATGGATGTTTTCGCCTTGATAACATGGAAAATTGCTGTAAGGATGCTCTCGATCTTTTTGATGGATTGTACAGTGGCATGATTTGATGATTGAATTGAATATCAAGAATTTAGCAACTTCATATAGATGCTAACAACAAATTTTGAGCAATGTTGGTATAAACATAAGGGGAGTCCGCAGATGAGCAAATAGTTCTAATCATCCCACTGCTGCGGTGTCTCGCTATATTTTCGTCTTTAGGTGGTTTTTTAAGTGTTATTTGACAATATGTTTCGAATGATACTGTGAAAGCACTCAAAATATAATATAACATAATATGCCCTCTGACCATGACAGCTCAATACCTATATAGTGCCTGTTGATCACGGAATATTTTGACCAGGCTTTGTACCATGTAGCAGGGCAATTCAAACCACCAATTGACTAATATACAGGAAATCTAGCGAAAGAATAGCTAATGCCAGCCAACAATCATAATAACTACCTTACACCAAGAAGAGCAGGGCAAAATAAAAACAGGGGGTATTTCAACGGGGGAGATAGGTGCAGTAGGCATATGACAAAACGCAACAACACAGACAAGGAATAACAGAAATCAAATGAACACCGGCCATGATTTAATGCAGAATGGGAAGATATTCAACCAAGAGACCAAGGCTCGCGATAAACGAGGCAAAACAACGTGGCAGATGAGGCAAAGAAAAAGAATGCATACAAAGCGAGTTGCTCAAAACGGAGCGGGCGTTATTCGTTATCAGATACTTCCGGCGTACCAGACCAGCTTCTGGTTGGCGTAGGAACGCGACCTGGGGCAACCTCCAACTCTGGTTTGGCAGTCGGCTGATAATCGGCCTTGTCACTGAGTTTGGCGACTTTGGCAGATCGTTCCTCACCGTCGTCGGGAGCGTCAGGGTCATGATCTGGAGCCTTGCCTAGCTTGGAGTCGGTTTGTTCGCGGAGGACCTCGTAGATAAATTGCATCTGCATTTCGTTATAAACCATCATCATTCGTTGCTCGCGCATCTGATTGACGGTTTCGAAAACAGGGTCAACTTCGGGATCCGTGACATCCAATAGGTGACCTGACTCCAGCTCGCACAGCAAATGATCAAGGGCGATGAAGGTTCCAGTCCGTCCAACTCCAGCACTGCAGTGCACGATGCGCGGGTTGTCAAGGCTAGATTTCGAGGCAGACAACTTGATGAGCTCGAGCAGAGCCTGACGATCGCTGCCCTCAGGCTTTGAGTAATCGGCCCAGCCAGCGAAGAGGAAATGCCAAACAATCTTTGACTGCGAGCCGATGGACAGCTCGAGTTTGCGGATTTCAGATCGAGAGCTAGCATCGAAAGTCGACTCCAACAGTGTGACTTTGCCCAAAATGCCAGGTTCTGTTTGCTCATCCTCATCAAAGAAAATGTCCGATTTGTCTGTTGGCAGAACCATCGAGGCCTGCTCGGTGTCGAGTGGGAAGTATTGTGCGCACTTTTCCCGGCCCGCTTCGAAAGTTTGAGTAAGCATAACAATGACGCCGACTTCTTGACTTTCATGGAAGACCATGTGCCAGAAATGGGCGAGGTGACCAAGCGTGGGACCCTGGTGATGGTCAGCTTTTGCTAAGCATGGGTGTAGCTGCGTAACATACCTGTGTCGCAATATATTTCCTTCTTTCCCTCGTCACAGAGTCTTCTAAAAGAATCGGAGAGGCGTTGATAAAATCACACTCGCCGTCGGCGACTCGCAAGTGAATGCGACAATTTGCCCACGCCTGCACGTTCAGATATCGGTTCCTCTCCTTGACCTTCGGATCGGCCTCGAGAGCGAAAGGATGCGACATGTCATTGGCCATCATACCCTCCGCGAGACGTGTCCGCTGCATCCATTCTAGATCCTCAAACTTCTCATGGATCTCTGCAAAAGAAGCGGTCAGTCACATTCCCACATGCGGGCTTTTTTTTCCGAGCATATATATATGCACCCCTCACTCACCCGCGACAGATAGGCACAAGAACGGCGGGACATCTTCCGTATTCCCAGTGTCCAACTTAGGATCCTGGTCCCCCAATACATCGAGACCCGCATCGTTGTTCTCTGGTAGGCCGCGCTTGGTTGTCTGGACGCTGGTGTCGATTTTAATAGACGGATGCGCCATCTTGGCGGCCGCGATCCGCTGAAGTGCTCGCACTTTACCGATGACGCCACGGGCCTTTCGCGAGACTGACTGGGCTTTAGATCGCTTCTTCGGGTGCGGGGCAGGCTCGGACGGCGAGGGCGAACGAGAAATGTCGGTCTGAGGAGCGTCGAAGCTGTCAAAATCAGAGATTTGTGTTATCTGCAGCGTCGACAGATCGGGACAGCTATAGAAGCTGTCCCGAGAAGATGTGTCCAGGGCCAGATTTTTTGAGTGATGGGGGGGGAGGGGCTCGGGCGTCGAAGTGGGAGGCAACAAAAATAGCAACCTCGTATCGTTTTCAGGCCGTATACTTCCGACTTGAATATAAGTGAAGAAGAAAGAAGATGTGAGACGGGAAAGGGGAGAAGTGGAGGGGCGTGAAAGTAGTAAAAGATCCGAGATGGTATAAAAATATGACCGGAGTATAGAAGTATACAATTACCTGGCGATTAAACTGAAGAACAAAGAATATCCCCGGATTATAACTATTGACTATAAATATTGACTGTGTTAAACTATACTATTCCGAGTTCATCGTCACATTGGTAATTCGCTTTGCCACCTCTTCAATTCAGCTGCTTGCGGCGGTTCTCCCTACATTTTGATAGAAACGGTGTTTACCCCTTTACCCTCCTCTTGGCTTCCTCTCTGTTAAATACTCTCAGATGACGGCCCCCGCTTGCGCCTGGTGTTGACCACCTTACGAAATGGTCTCCCAAGCTCAGATCGTTGATCGCACAGCGACGACCCAGAGTGCCACTTCTTTGGTGTCGCGTCCCTCACACTCCAGACGCCACCGTTCCGGCCGCTCGCACCATGGCGGCTCCTCGCATTCCTCGAACGATTTCCCCATCTTCACGTATACTGGTGACACGGAGGTCGTGATTCGCGCCGGGTCGCAAGAACGGCGCTATCTGCTGCACCGCTTAATATTGGCACAATGCTCGGGCTATTTTGAGGCGAGCACAAACGAAGACTGGTCGCGCCAGACTGGGCTGGGTCCATCCAAGCCAGAAGGTACCCTGTCGCGTGTGAGTGAGGATGATGATCTATCCAGCGGATCAACACTGGCGCCATCGGACCATGGTGGAATCCCTTCGCGGCGGGGCGAGAAGAGACGCTGGCGATACGAGCTAGATTGGGAGAATCGCGCCGAGGACGAAGAGGCGATTCTCGTGCAAAAGGTGAGTCGCGACGCGTCGCATACATTCATTCTTGGGGAATATGCTAATATTCGCGCCTTGCAACAGCGACCAAGCTATGCGCCCATGTATAGCAGTGACCAAGTCGCCCACCCCCCAACGATGACGAAGCCCTCCAACGCCCAGGCAGGCTTCTTTCGATCCATGGCGAACCTCACGGGCATGCAATCAGTAGCCCACCTACCGCCAACGACAGAACATGGAACCGGGGTCAACCCATTGATACGCGACTATGATAATCTATTACGAATATTCTACAACCACCCACCCACCATTAACAGTGTGAACATTGCCTCCGCATACACAGAATGCAAAGCCCTCCTCGCGTTAGCGGATATGTACGACGCGCTCCCAGTGACAGGCCCGCGTGTAGACCACCACCTCCTCGGCTTTGGATCCCGTCTTTTCAAGCAAATCGGCAAATACCCACCCAGCTACCTAAAGCTAGGCTATCTAGCCCGCAGCAGGGTGATCTTCTCCGAAGCCTTAATTCACGTCGTTGGCCAGTGGCCCGCAGCTCTCCCAAGCTTGCGCAACGGCTCCTACGCACCTCTACCGGATTCAGTCTTCGACCTCATCGAAGACAAAGTTGAGGACCTAGAAGATCTCAAAGCGCGAGTGGAATCCAAGCTCTTACGCCTGTCCCTAACAACCTCCCGTGGCGAACGCGTTGGACCCTCAAACGCATACTTAGACTGGCTAGCCGTGTCTCTATTCCGTCAATGGCTAATCGAAAGCACGACACCGCCACCAGCTCCCATCCTCAAGAATACTTCAACACCCAACGAGCCCCCATCACAGCCTGCCCCATCAGCCTCACACCCAACAAGCTCGGCCAGAACAACCGTCCCGACTGATCAGTCTGCCCGCATATATAGATTGATCGGCTCTTCCAGCTCGCAAGCATACCTAGGCCACGACGAGCTCAAGCGTTTCCTTAAACTCCATCCTACCCCGTCCTCCGGCTCGCTGTACACGCGCGAGACTTTGAAACGGTTCGAGCGCAAGATGGACGAGATGAAACGACTTGCTCGGGATATTGTCAAGCCGCTTATGCGCAACTTCCTTGAACAGGAGCTGAAAGTTCCCACGGATTCTACGGGTGGTGCTACTCCTGGTCCTCGTGAGGGCAATTCTGCTGGTTTACCCTATTTGACGTGTACTCGCGTCGAAGAGATGGACTTGCCGTGGAAGTGAGCTCGACCTCGCGAATCTATCCGTTCGCGTCGAGAATTCGGTCACAATACGTATGATTTTACAGTATCCCCGTTATGTTATGAATTTGCTGTTTTGATATTCGATGTTTGGATCTTTGTCTGCCTCCCTCTTGAACTGCTGGCCATGTACGATTGGAAGTGTCCAGACTGTCTGCGATCCCCCCCCCCCCCCCCCCCACATATGAAGTGATATGTTCTTGATTAACGTGTTTTCTTGTCTGTTCATCTTATGCGTCCACGAAGTTATGAATGGCTCTGCTGCTGCTCTAATTGTTTCCAAGGGTTGGCTTTCTCGGTTGGTCTTCCCTTTTGGTTTCGGTTGATCTAATGCTCTACTCTATCTACCCATGGGCGAACGGCCAGGAGTCATTTGAGATATCCTATTTGTTTTGTTTATGTTGTTTCACTAGAGATACCAAGAAATCCAATGCAACATTACTAAGAACGACCAGCTTTCTCTTCTTACGAACTGACGAGTAGAATAGAGTTGTGATATATCCAAATCGATTATATGCAGACCACTGGTTTAAAAGTACATACTATACAAGGCTAGATGACAGCCTAGCGTCGACCAATACTCTCCATCCCATCCATCCAGGGACGCAAAACCTCAGGAATGACAACAACACCACGCTCTGCATCCCATCCATTCTCCAAGATAGCGGCAAGCACACGCGGTACAGCCATAGCAGTACCATTCACGGTATGCGGGAACCGCGACTCCTTAGCCGCGCCACCACGCACACGCGCCGCCAACCGGCGACTCTGGTAGTCCGTACAGATAGAAGCAGAGGTAACCTCTCCCCAGGCAGATTCCAGATCATGGATCTCCGGGTCAACAGGGGTACCCGTAGACGCGGCAGGGCGGAGACGAGAGGGGAAGAGCGCTTCAATGTCACGCTTGCGGGTTGCACTGGCGCCTAGGTCACCAGTGGGCATTTCAAGGACTCGGCAGGGGAGATGGAGAGCGGTTAGGATCTCTGTTTGCATTTCCAGGAGCTCGTCGAAGAGGTCGTCGGATGTAGGGACTGCGGAGATTGACTCTGCAGAGCGGAAACTATCTGTCCAGCCGAAAAGTTCGACCTTTGTGAATTCGTGGACGCGGTAGAGACCCTTTGTATCGACGCCGCGGGAGCCTGCCTCGGCGCGGTAGCATCGGCTGGCCCCGACTAGTTTGATGGGTAGCTCGGCGGCGTTGATATCCCGGCCGGCGTACATGGCAGCGAGGGGGATTTCGGCTGTTCCGGTGAGCGAGCGCTGGGGCTTGCTGTCGCGATCGCGCTCATTCTGTTCGATAGACCAGATCTGTTGCTCGTTGTGTTGGTCGCGTGGTTGGAATCCACATGCCTCGGCGATGTAGGAATAGACGATTGATGGCGGCGCGACGGTCTTCCAGCCCCGGCGTCGGGCGACTTGCAGGGCATATTGGACCAGCGCTTGTTCCAGCATGGCTCCCTCGTTGATAAGGAAGTACCAGCCCCATCCTGTTGTTGTGGCGGAGCTCGCGAAGTCTAGGAGATTTAGCGCCGTTCCGATTGTGACGTGGGACCGTGCCTGGAGCTCCGCTGGTGACTGCTTTGTCCATGATGGGCGCTCATGGGGGTCGAAGTTTATGTATGTCACAAGACTAGGGACATGTCCAATGGGTGTGAATGAGGAGGAGAGGTTCGGGAGGGCGAGGGCGAGTCGGTTGATCTCTTCAGTGCATGTTGCCTTGCGCTCGGTCATGGCCTGCGAGTCGTCTTTCAATCGCTGGGCTTCCGATTTGAGTTCAGCAATTTCCTCGCTAACGCTCTTTTCACTTTTGTTTCCATCTTGGCCTTTTGTGTTTTGCCGCGCCGCAATATGCAGCTTGGCAATCGTCTTTTCTAATTGCTTGATGCGGGATCGGGGGGTTTTCAGGTCGTGATCAAGCTTTGTGGCTTCCTCGGACAACCGTTGCATTTTGAAAGGATAATCGGCGTGGGCTGCATAGTTGCGGTCTATGCAATTCGTTGCGTAGAGGTCCGCATTTTGGCGGATGTGCTTGATGTCCGGTGTGGGTTTCGGAGCTGTCGCGGGTCGCAACACGTCCCGATAGCGTCGGCCGGCAGAAAAGTTACGCAAAGGCGTCTGGGCTAGTCCATGTCTGGATGTTAGCCTGCAATTGAAGCAGATGTATGAGGAAGTGAGCGCCATTGATTGAGGTTGGGAGAGAAAAGAAACGAAGCCGAGTTGCAAGGTCCAGTGGAGCGCCTAAACCCCTTTGGGGGATCGGCGGAAGTATACAAATATACTCGTGCTTCACTACGGGAACACGTTGATTCAAGTGAATACCATTTGTCTGACTATGTAACAGGCATGGAATCTGCAATCTAGATATTTCCAGTGTCCAACCTCTCTCAAGTAGGTGGCTCCACTCCATGATGATGACTATCTCGCCTCAATTTCACAGCCCCAGTTTGTGCTTCTTGACTCTTGCACCCACTCCAAGAAGAATCAAGACCGCGCACACAAGTACACCCCATAGTGGAATATGCAGCGCTGCTATGTTGTAGGTTGTCTGCGTCGCGGCCACGACAGTCGCCATCTCCAGCAGTAGCAAAACATAGCCGGCCCAGCGATGATATTTGTAGACGCGTTTTCCAGCTTCGACACTTCCAAAGAAGATAGTGGGGAAGAGGTACTGAGCAAGTCCACCAAGAGCTTGCAGTACTATCGAAATGTACGTGGTAAGGCCTAGGATGCCGTGCGGGGAAACAAAGTGAGGGTGAGACCCCTTGTTGACCTCAATGATGACGAATGCTGAAATAAAGAGTACTACGCTGAGTAGTTGGATGGTATAGTGAATGCGGGTGCCTGCAAGCTTCTGTTGTGGGGTGGTGGTTGGTTGTAAGATCAAAGCTGCCTGGACTTGGAGGAGAAGCGCAGAGCTGCCCAGGAGCTTCAACATAGGCTGTTAATCACTGTCGACTCGGATGTATTTGGAAATCCTTACTGGATGCGGGGTGAAGAAAGAAGCAGGCTCAGAGAGGACTCCTTGCCAGACCAAAGCTGCTAGCTGTGTTGAATATCAGTTCTCTGCGGGGAAGTAGTTGCAGTGTTAAGATCTCACAATCCAGATGCCTGCTTGAGCAACACTTGCTGTCCCTGAGTCCACAGTTAATCAAGGCAATGGTCAGCTAGTATCTAACCTACCTGTGAATAAGTTCCGAGCGATACTTTCGTTTGGCTGCTGTGTGACATCTCCCGGACGACCCAATAAGGGTTCATCGTCTCGCGACTCGATCGTCACTGGGTGCTCTTGGGGGATTCCGGTTGCTGAGGCCATTATGTTGAGATTTAGTAGGGAAGTATCTCATGAAGTCAGAGTCAAGTCGAGCTTAACAAAGAAAAAAGGCGGTGACGCAGTTCCTTCATCCACGGTACCATCCCTCGATCTAATAGACGAAATATTGGACTTGACTTGCTTCATTGGCGTGATCTACAGTTACAATGACGGTATGCGCCTCCCGAAATGTGGAGCTGACTGATCACCACTCAGCTGCATTTCATTGATCATCAGTACGGAAAAGCAAGCATTGTAATGATTTGGTTGGCTGAGATACGCCTTGCTTCCAATGCCTGCATTTTTGCATCATTTCTGCATTACTAGGTCATGATGCGACCTTGGATCATCCTACACAAATCCCGGGGTGCCCGGGGTGATTGTTCAGGCTTCTCTGGGGATATATGAATAGGTCATTGTTTCATTAATATCGCTAGCTACTGAAATCTCCCATTTCTTTATCTTTGCCCATTCTGGCGATGGTGCATCACTTCGTTGGCGACATCGTGGAATAATTGTCTCAGGTTTAGTCTTTCAATTATTGCTATGAGGAATTTTATCCAACGTACGGAAATCCAACAGAACCATCATCTCCTTCAAATCTGCCACCGTGTTTGCGCCATCAGCACCCCGTAGAATCGTTTGCTTTAGCGCCGCCACATCTTCAAAAGCTCGTTGCACCTCCTTGCCCAGAGGTAGTTCAAAAGGCTGGTCTCCCGGCTACGAACAGCCTGCCCAGCAAGTCGTAGTCGAGGCATGTGAAGGAGCAACTGACCCAGTGTCCTTATCACTGCTTCACGGCGCTTGGATGATTCTTGAGAATGTTCTGGAGACTCAAGGTGGTCACGAAATCGTTGCGTTCTTCCTCCCACGCACCATGGTGGGGACGCTGGGACATCGTAGGGTAAGAACCGAATTCTTTGAATAATCGATTCAACTGCGAATAGCCACTTGGACGATAAACAGAGCTGCTCGATTCTTCTTGAACGTAGCGCTGCCGCCGCTCGTTATGTCTTTGCAGCGCAGTTTCGAGCTGTGAAACGATCAGTTTCCTGGAGAGACAGAAAGAGCTGGTAGGATTTATTGTGAGACCCTTTATCACTACAAACAGGGGCATGGATCATTTATCTCCTAGACTGAGAGACTAGAGAGCAGACCTGTGTCACACTAACAAATAAATCCAAGCACGCACAAATACCCCCGTTGTTCTTTCCAGGGATATCAAAGCATTGTATCAAGATGATCCGAAGTGTTTTATTTAGTTCCAGGGCATTCGCAACACAGGTCCTTCTTCCCCAGATCCAACCCGACCAAAGACAACCTCTGCTCCGAGATTATTCGGATCCAAGTTCATAACAATGTTGAACAAAGAACTACTCCTGCTGGTAATAGGGCGCGACGGATCCTCTTGGCAGCAGATCGCCTGTGGCATGTTGTACGTATCAGAGAAGATCCGGTCTCGCAATAGAGCAGGAGTGATTGAATCGCCTTTGACTCCCTCCCGAATCAACTCTTGCGTCAACTTGTGTAGTCGCTCCAACCGAATTGGGGACCCAGACAGCCATGGTGGCTCATTCACATAGCGGTTCTCAATGAAGTGGTTGGTATGCCTGATGATCCCCGACGCATCTTCTGCCATATGCTTGTCTCCTACCGGCGATAGTTCGAGCCCTAGCGCTGTTGTGCCGTCTGCGCACAGAATGTGCTGGGCAGAGGCTACACCACCCAGAGACTCGAGGGTTTCCACGGCGTTCTTCACAGATGTGCTCTCTAAGCATAACCGAAGTGCAACGTGAATTGGGATCTTGCTGCTGATCATTGGTTTGGCGCGAATCGCATTGAGACAAGTTCCAACACCGGCAGAATTGTATCCGATCTTGCCAACAATTCCTGCCTGTTGACTGTCAGTAACGTGCACAATTGCACGGAAAGGCCATGCAAAAATAGTACTGACCTCGGTTACCATATGGATAGTCGGCTTTCCAGCCTGCTCAATTGAAACCATAGCCAAATTCTTCTTGACATTCGCCGTCCAATCCCAGTTCTGAGAGAGTACTCGCGCCCCATCGCTCTTCTTCCAGCACAATGTTGTACAGCCATCGGAGAACTTCCCCAATGCGATCTCACTGCGAGAATTGAGCGCTACAATATCGAGCACATCTTGCCCAGCACCCTCGGCGATTCCTTCCATCTCGGCGTATATATGGGGTGTCAACTTTTCGAGCGTTGGTTGAAACTCCTTTGCGACTTCGCGTACCTCGCTCCAGGATAACTTGGATGTATCTTGGAACATGCGATCGTAAATGGATATTTGATCACGGATTTGCTCTCGTAATGAGCGACCATGTTGTAGCCCTATCTAGTTGCACGTGTTAGGTGGAGATGCTGAAGAATGATGTCACGGAGGATGTACTTCTCGGGGGGAGCCCGTCAGAGTGAGCCTGATCGGTTCGTTTTCAGACATGAGGGAGTTGATACAGACAGCTTTGCAAGGCGCAAATGCATTGAGGCGAAATATATCAGTATTGCAGTTTATCAGCCGAGCCGAGCTCCCCTCAGTTGGGGTCAAGCGGGGGCTTTGCCGATAAGAGTCGCAGTGACCTGCCCCAACTGGCAATACCCTCAGATTGTACCTCGGAAGGGAAATTGTATGTTTTTGCCTACGCTTGTGGAAATAAGGTTACTCCAATTGACTCCAAAGCGCACAAGTAGCAGTCATTGGTTGAAATGTTATCAATTTGTAAAGACAAATAACGGTGGTATCACTCCGTGATATGTCCTACTTTGCAATCGCATCTATGCATCTTTGATCAAGTGCTTGAACAACTTATCTAAGTAATAGGCAGACTGCTTCGGATATCGTGTCTTCTCCTCAGACACAAAGTCAATCCATGTACAGCCAAAACGATCCGCATATCCAGCTGCCCATTCTAGACCAACAATGTTAGTAAACCAGCCATCAAAAGGACAACGAACAACTTACCCCAATTATCAGTAAAGGTCCAAGCAAAGTAAGACCGAACATCAATTCCATCCTCTTTCACAGCCCGCGCCAACGCATTACCAACATAACCCTCAAAGAAACTGATCCGGAACGTATCCTCCAGAACCTCAGGCGTAGGCGCAACCTCACCCTTGGCGGTAGTTCCATTCTCAGTAACATAGATCGGCATCTGGTATCGCTTATAGATCCAATTCAACAACTTCCGGAATCCAGAAGGCGAAGCACGCAGCCACGGAGTATCACTCTCCTCCCCACGAGGCACACCCTGCTTATTCTCATCATGAATTTCCACATTCCCTTTATGGTCATTGATATCAGGCGGCGCATCCGTGTGCTTCATGAAAAAAGTCGTATAACTGTTCATCCCATAAAACGCCGAGCTCCCAAGCACAAGCTTCGACTCTTCGGCCGTAAACCTAGGCAACCGATCACCCAGCTGCGCACGCATCGACGCAGGATAATCCCCAGTCTTATAAAGCGGGTCCGCAAACCAGGAAATTTCAAATTCACGCGCTCGCTCCGCAGCCTCTTGGTCGCGTGGGTCCTCTTCGTCCCAAGCCTCAGACCAATTGCCATGCAATGTAATTCCAATAATCCCCTTCTGCTCAGGCTGGAACTCCTCGCGATACAAGCGCGAGACACGGCCATGTGATACCAATTCCGTATGCGCGACGATGAAAGGCTCAGTGGATGAATCGCCTTCCGCATTGCGCTCGCGAAATGATGATCTACCGGGTGCATGCACTCCCGCCGCATATCCAGCAAGTGTATACACGCCAGGCTCGTTATATGTGATCCAATGCTTGACGCGGTCACCGAAGCGCTCGAAGCAGACACGGGCGTATCGGACAAAGTCCGGCGTGTATGCCTCCTGGTTCAGCATACCCCCGTATCGATCTTCCAGTGCTTGGGGGATATCCCAGTGGAAGAGAGTGAGAAAAGGTGTGATCCCATGGCGGAGGAGCTCGTCGATCAGGTCGGAGTAGAACTTGATTCCTTCCTCGTTGACTGGGTCGTCTTTGCCGCCCAATGGGATGATGCGTGACCAGGCTAGGGAGAAGCGGTAGGCGTTCACGCCGTAGGATTTCATCAGGGCTACATCTTCGCGGTAGAAGTCGTAAGCTCGTACGGCGTCGTCGGCGTTGCTTCCGTCGGCGATCTTGCCTGGCGTGTGGCTGAATTCGTCCCAGATTGAGATGCCTTTGCCGTCTTTGTTCCAGGCACCTTCTATTTGGGCTGCTGCTGTGGCATAGCCGTGGAAGAAATCAGGTCGGAGGACGTCTTTGAGGTCTTTGACTGAGTTGAGATCCATGTTGGGGTTTGTGGCTGGATTGTGTCAAGGGTTTGGCAATTTATTCTGAGTTAGCTTTGGGAGCTTGGGTCAATAGAGTGAATCATCCCGCAGGAATATGTCTTCAAGTATCATTTAGCCTGGCCTTGGGATAGGGCGTTGCTCCGTGATGTTTTGGGGAAAGTCTGACAATGAGGGGAAGTACAGCTCACATTCAGAGAATTATTGGTCCTTTTCATGCAACGAATAATTGTATCAGAGAAACAAAAAAATATGTTGTCCACTATATCAATCTATCGAGCTTGGATTCTATGCTGCCCACGACCTGTAATGTCCACAGACCCATTCTCACCAAAATCAAGAACGGTCTTCTCTCCACACTCCGACCTCACGGTAACAAAACCAATGACCTTGCCATTTTCCCAACTAAACTGCAGCTCGAATCCACCGCGCGCCCGCACACCCCGAATGGACCCGGTCCAGCTCCTCGGACACGCAGGAAGGAGGCGAATCACCCCAGGCTGGGATTGAACAAGCATTTCAATAATGCCTGCCCCGCCCCCGAAATTACCGTCGACCTGGAAGGGAGGATGGCTGTCCATTAGATTGGGTAAGGTCGAATTAGACAGAAGCAAATCCAGATGCTTGCCACATTCCTCAGCTTCGAGTAGGCGTGCATGCAGATTGATCAACCAGGCCCGACTCCAGCCAGTATGGCCGCCACCGTGTTCTGCGCGTCGACGCAGCACTACTCCACATGCATTTGCAAGTTCAGGTGTTTGCGCTGGCGTAATTGCATTTCCGGGATGAAGGGCCCATAGATGTGAAGTGTGACGGTGTCCAGGCTCCACCTCGGCGTAGTCGTTCGCCCATTCTTGTAGATAACCTTCTCTAGCTATCTGCATTGATGGGAGGCGTTTCCTGGCATTGTGTAATGCTGAAAGAAGAGTATCCTCGACATTTAGTGTCTTAGTGCAGGACTCGAATGCGCTGAAAATAGCATCAATGATTTGAATATCGATTGTCGATCCCTCGCATAACACCCCCTTTAGTCCTTCCTGGTCGTAAAACGAATTCTCAGGAGATACAGACGGGTTGGTGGTAAGATGTTCCCCCTTGGAATCTTCAATCAAGAAGTCAAGAAGAAACTCAACACACCCCCGTAAGATCGGAAACATGCGACGAAGGAAGGCTTCATCGCGAGTGAACTGGTAATGTTCCCAGATGTGGTAGCAAAGCCATGCTCCACCTAGTGGCCAGATACTAGCCGGCATCCAGCGATCGACTGGTGCTGTATCAGCCCAGATATCCGTGTTGGAGTGGGCTGCCCAGCCTCGACATCCGTACATGATTCGAGCCGTATCTTTTCCGAATTTGGCCATGCGTTCCAACAAGTCGAAGAGAGGAAGCTCGCATTCTGAGAGATTGCACATGTTTGCACCCCAGTAGTTCATTTGAAGATTCACGTTGATGGTGAATCTAGAGCCCCATGCCGGATGAAAAGAGGGATTCCAGATTCCCTGCAGGTTTGCGGGTAATGGCTTATGTCCATTCCTACTGCCGGATATCAAGAGGTAGCGGCTGTAATTGTGATAGAGCGCGATGAGTCCTAAGTCTCGAGATGACTGAAGGCGCTTGTCCGTTGGAATGTATGGAGAACTGCTTCCCAGCTTTAGTTCCATTCGATTATACAGTGACCAATAGTCTTCCATATGCCGCTTCACAAGATCGGCGGAGGAAAGCTTCATGGCATCCTTGATATTCTGCTGGGTCTGCTGATCTACTTTTTCATGGCGAAATGTCGTTTGTGCTGCAATAAGCAGAAGAGTATCGCATGAATTTACCACGAGGTTGTTCCCAATCCTGGTGATTGTGCTGTCTTTGTCTTCACAGCGAAGAGAGACTATACAACACGCTCGGTTGCTGTCCTTGCCACCAGGTGTAACATGCATAGTGATTGAATCATTAGTAGCATAGACATCATCTAGCCATTCATTCGTTTCATATTCCAAGTCGCTCATGCGGGTCAATCGGACGACGAATTCAGATTTGACTGATGAACGCACTTGAATTGCAAGCACATCATCAGGAAAACTGGCGAAGATTTCTCTCTGATGACGAACACTTTGGTAATAATAGCTGACATATGAAATGGAGCTGTCTAAACCCAGTGATCGCCGATAATTAGTGACCTGCTCTGGGTCATGACCAAAGTCCAAGAACAAGTTCCCGAGAGGTTCATAGTTTCGCTGGCTGATCGGGTTGGCAAAGAATGCCAGCTTGGCTATCTTCTCAGCCTCGACATGATTTCCCGCGCGGATAGCTCCTCTTAGATCTGGAAGGTATTCCAACGCATCACGCGGGTTGCGATCTTGGGGGCCTCCATACCACACGGAGTCCTCGTTGAGTTGCAGCATTTCGGTGTTGGTCCGCCCATACACCATGGCGCCTAAGCGCCCATTTCCGACTGGCAGCGCAGAGTTCCAATCGCTTGCAGGCCGTTCGTACCATAATTCAGACATAGTACAGTAGAGTTGGAAGGATTCTCAATCTTCAAGTTATTTGTGGTCTGATGGAGGATCGGCACTTCGGTCCCTCAGCTGCTCACGTTGGATTCTCGGTATTGAGTCTATTGACAGCCGGATATACCAAGATGTAGTGTATGAGAAGAATAATTAACAGATAAGTCTTATTTGGAGATAAACACATGCCCGTTAATGCAGTGTCAAGTTCCAGCCCTAATCGCTTCCCCAGATTTCGGTTGAATGCCCCTTCCCCACGCACTTCAACTCTTTGATCCGGTCATCAGGACTAGCGTTGGCAACTTAGAGACCTTGCTATGAGATCCCAGTCAAATCGAGGCTACTTCCCCGCACTCGCTCTCTAGTGGTGGGAAATCTCGGCGGACGCAGTGAGGATCCAATAAAAAAAAGCAAATATCCCAGGGATGATCGTTCGACTGTACAATGTGACTGACGCCAATTCTGCGCCTGTGTTGCTTTTGACCAATAGTCGCTGGTCCTAGGGGTTATATCACGCCACTACAAATGAATTTGGTGGCCAATTTGTCCTCTTGACTCCCGGTCCATTACATTGCTCCGTGGCGGAATAGGTCACTGAGCAACATTCTAGATGCCGGTGGTGCATCTCGCCCCTAGTTTCGCTAGGTAGCCTTTCCCGCCGAAGCTGAAATACCCCAGCATATCCTTCTTGGCTTGACTGCAGATCGCGGGTTCTCGATTCATATTTTGGGGACTTCCTACAACCCAGTTTGTTTCCTCTTCGCTACCTCCACCGGAAAAAAATGGTCAAGTCGGAGGCTGAAATTGCCATAGAGGCAGAAATGGGCAAGCTAAACACCCTGGAGCATGTTGAGGAGGTAGCGCTGGCGCGCGTGACGGAGGAGGACTTGTGGAAGTTGTCCCAGGAGTCATTGAACGTATGGTCATGGTCTGGATTCCGCCTGGGTCTCATCATGTTTGTCCATGGCTGCAACCAGGCTGGCTTTGGCATTGACTGGGGAGTTATCGGCGGTATCAATTCCTTGGAGCCGTGGCATGAATACTTCCGCTTCGGTACTGCCGGTGGTACATATGGCCTTGTCAATGCCCTGATGCAGATTGGAACTGTCTGCGGTGCACCGTTCATGGCTTTGGCTGATGTGATCGGCCGTCGTGGAATCAACTTTGCCGGCAATGCGATTGTTATTTTTGCAGCTCTCCTGCAGGGTCTGGCCGTTAATCTACCAATGTTCATGGCCGGACGATTCTTCATGGGTTTCGGCACTGCTCTTATGTCGAGCTCCCAATATATTGGTGAGATATCGCCTGTTCACCTGCGTGGTCGTATGGTCGGCTTTTTTGGGGCTTGCTTCCAAGTCGGCAGTTTGACCATGCTCGGTGCCATGATTGGGCTTTCCACTCTGCCCGGTAACCTTTGCTGGCGTATTCCCCTCATCCTCGAGGCTCTCTTCCCAGTCATTGTCTGCCTAGGTATTTACCTTGTCACCCCCGAGTCGCCTCGCTACTATGTCATGAGGGGTAATCGACAAAAGGCCAAGGAGGTTGTGGCCAAGTATCACACCACTAGCACGAATATCAATGAGCCAATTGTCGAGATTGTTGTTAGACAGATTGAGGAGTCTCTCGAAGCCGATCGCAACCGATCGGGTACCAGGGCGTTCTGGGATTATCGGGCCTTCTTCACCAAGACCGCGCGGTACCGTCTCCTGGTCCTGGTTTTGTATTCGATCTTCCAGCAATGGAATGGCGGCAGTATTATCACATATTATGTAAGTAATCTGATTTGCAAACTGAGATATTTATTAATATTGAGTAGATGACACCCTCATTGCAGCAGCTTGGAATTGATGGCACAAAGCAGCAACTCGGCATTACCATTGGAACCACGGCAGTCTACTTTGTCTTCACGGCCGTCGGATCGTTCCTCGTTGATAAGTTCAACAGGCGAACTTTGATCTTTATTGGTCTGATCAGCATGATCGTCTTCCAAACGGCCACTACCATCACATCGTGGCAGTATAGTCTCAGTGCCAACACTGCTGTTGCGGCACTTACTCTTCTTTGGATCTTCCTTTATCAGACCTTTTCTGCGACGTTTATTGCGACCATGCACAATCTGTACCCGATTGAAATTCTCTCTCTGCCTCTTCGTGCAAAGGGAATGGGTCTCTATGGTCTGATTCAAGGTGGTGCTGGAGCCGCGCAGACGTACGGAATCGGAGTCGGTATCGCAAAGGTGGGATACAAGATTTGGGTGGTGTATATCGTTTACAACACTGTCCAGCTTGTCTTGTCTTATTTCATCTTCCCAGAGACTGCCGGTCTCTCTCTGGAGGAGATTGATACGGTATTCGAAACGCCCGGTGTTGCACCGGTCAAGATGTCGTTGGACATCCAAAAGGCCAAGAAGGAGAGAAGCGCCGCGGGACGGGACGAGGAAATTTAGGTTTATGTACTGAGCTTCTGTAGCGAGAATTAATTAGTCAAAATCAATGAAGTGCAATCAAACCATTTTATGTATGTTTCCTATCGTTGTTTCAGCCAAAGTCTGGGTGTTTCTAGGTGCTATTGGGGCAACCATTTTTCAGCTTCATATTTGCTCATTATATTGTCCCGTAAATTTATAGTTTAGCTTCAAGTTGATTCAAAATCATACACAGATCTGGCAACGAAATTGCACAGGTGAAACAGGTGAAACAGATGAAATGCGTCGGACCCGATATAACCCTGTGCCTACCCGTCGGGGGGTTGCTTGTTCTGTTACGCAGTATCCGTCTTATATCTTCTCAAACGTATATGAGACAACAGTAATATGAGCATCCACACAATTTGACTCTGCTGAGGTCCCAGAAAGGCATGTGGTAGGGGTCGATTCGTATATGGCAAAGCCTCAACATCAGATGATCTCACGAGCCCTAAAATGTCCGGACGCTTGGTTGGGCCCATTTCACTTCCCGACAACTTTGTCTGATGGAACTCTTTTTTTTTTCCTGAAAATAATTACCGCCGGTCCAAAATCCAACTTTACTCTACAGGTCCACTACATTCTGACCTGCAGCGTTGTACAAACAAATCAGGTGCTGAGTTAGATCATTGACCTCTGGCCCCGAAGCTCTTTTTAACTTCTAGTTTTCAGCAAGGTACTATTTTGACACAGCATTATTTTAATCTCCAGTATTTTATCATGTGATTTTACCAGAAGAACAAAACGGTCAACGGGCTTCTTGCGTGTAGTGGCACAGGCCGTGTGGTGTGGTGCTCTGCTGCCCTAATATGGCCATCCCTGAAAAAAATTGACTGGTGACGCAAGCCGGAGAAAGTAAGTAGAGGAGCTTATTGGTACAATTTAACTGGCGGGTCTTTTCAGGTACTGAAGACTTATATATGTCTCTACTTGAGCAAACTCACCAAATTAGTTACAACCTGACCCAGACGCAGCATAAATCCACATGACGTTTATATTGCCAGCAGATTAGATGCACTTTTCTTCAAGGGGGATGTGCAATGTGTGCAAGTGTCAAAGTTTCAAAGTGAAAGACGATGGCCCGCATCGAGATCTTTGCAGTAATATGAAGAATAAACAGCGGGTACGGTGGAAATGACGGGCAAACTACATCAACACTATTTTCGTGTAGTGCGGCTGCTTGCCTGCGAATGTCTACTCCGCAAGATCTCGTGGCAAGATTAAAGAGAGCAATGAGAGAAAGCCAGTGTTAATAGACTTCCAATTGGTAGCATATCCTAGACATGCCTAGTTTGTGACTGAACAGATCTAATTCAGCTTGTTTGCAGCCGTCTATAGCGCCATCTGTGCTCCACTGCATATCATAGGTTCTCTGGTACGGGCCCTGATACACAGACATGTACGCAGGCCATACGGGCCGTGATGGGACTGCTGCACCTCCCAATTGATGCTTTGCCCTTTCAGCGAGACTCCTTCAGCCATGCACGCCCAGTTGCGTGGTCTGGCGATTAGAAGATTGGTGTCACCATGGCTTTTCCAATGAGGACATTAGGTGAGCTGGCAATCATATCGATTGGCTTGATGGATCTCATCACGAGACAGAAGGCAGTATTTCCAGAAGAAAAACGGGTCATCGCCGCTCAACACGGGATGTGCAGGGCCCTTCTCGAGTACGGCTCTCGGAGGCACAATTAAGTAAATTCTGGGCTAAGCTGTTGGGTTTGTTGAAATTCTTCTTGATGTTGCGTGTGTCTTTCAATCTGCTTCTATTTCTGGGTTGGCTTTGACGGTGGCTACGCCCCATCTGCAGCTTCGAGGTGAGTGTGATACCAGGGTGTCGGGTATTGGAGTATTGGAGGGGCGATGTTTCCTTCGAAGAACAATGACGGTGAACATGACTTTGGGTATAATTAACAGTTCGTCACTTTTGTTTTCTGTCCTCATTGCCCTCTCGGTATTTCATCTGCTTTTCGCTTCATTTTTCATTCCTATGTTTGCATTAGGAAGGATATTACTGATCCACCTGCTTCGCCATTGCCGGTCTGATATACAGACCTCATTTCCTGATACTACCTTGTTTACCGGCGTTGTTTTCAACAACATACCCCACTGCTATACCGACTCTAGCGCATTCCTATAAAAACATATTCTCTTCCGAAATGTCCCCAAAGAGTGCACAAGACAACATGGTGCCCGAGGCTCAAGGACTCAAATACAACAAGTTCGAAATGACCCTTTTCCTTACGCAACTGGCGTGGCGATCCACGTATGACGAGCGCATGGCTTCGCAGGATCCAAACCAGACCTCGGTCACCGAAGCCCAAGGCCAAATTCTCAAGCGCTGGAAAGCTCTGATGGACAGTGAAAAGGAACTGGCAGGCAAGGAGGAAAACTTTTCTCCTGCTGTCAAGAGAGAAATGGCGGTTTATGAGTGGAGATACAAAAGGCTGGAAGCCACAATGGATACACCTCAGAAAGAGTGAAGCACAACTTTTTCTTTCTCTGCTTCTACTTTGGTTTTCTGTCTATCCAGACAACATAACATGGAGGCATTGCTGGCGTTGGTTTAAACTCTGCAGCGTATATTAATCTACATTGGCAAATATGATGTTCTTTTGATTTTCGGTTTAGCATTTTGTTTATTTCTTGATCTTCAGTAGCAGGACTTGTTCCTTCTGGGAGTAAATGTAGGTGAAATTTCCTTGCTAGTCTCGATTCAAAATCTCCAAGTCATGTCACACAGCCGCTCAATAGTACAAGGTCAATGAAAGTCACACCTCTTGTATACTCGGGTGAGGCAATGGATGTATTTCAGCGCAAGATGGCAAGAGCAATAGATGAGCTCAGGAGTGGCATCATTGGTATGATGCTGTGACACGTTGGATCAAACTGTGAAATGTGCTGATCAGTTCAGGGCCAATCGTAAGCTGTGCTTGATTCTCGAATTCCGACGAGGTCCGGGGTTTCTCTCATGCAGGTCGGATGATAGTTTGGCTGGGGCTTTTATACTCCTTTTGATCCCTTGTGTAGTAAAATTTCTCTTATTTTTCAATAGAATGTTGTCATTCAGAGATATCAACTAGTGGAGGCCTTCAACACAATTTGCGTCGGTCAACATTTCAGCCCTCGAGTCATTAATTCTATGCAAATAGGCCTGGAAGACCGGGTCTAACAAAAGCACATACTGTTGGCTTGCTTTGGGATAAAAAGCTTCGTATCTGTAACTTCGCTTTATAGTATACCAGGCTCCTGTCATAGATTAATTCAAATTCTATCATCTCAATAGGCAATAGGCTGCCCCCGCCGCTGATACTGACCAAATGTCCTTGCACACGCAGCCTCGTGCAGCCTCAACAGCAAAGTCTTAGCCTGCTCAAACAACTAGTCCGGTTCAACCAATAGATCTCTAGCTATAACTCCGCTGTATTGCGCCGTCATATCTTCACTTGCGCTGATGCCTAATACAACAGCTAAGAGACACATCACCCCAACCGAGAGAAAGCCACCTGATTGGATCGTGATCAAGTCAGGCCCTGATTGAAGGATTCAGCTCATGGCCGATGATGACAATGCAAATAATGGAATACCAAGCCCTTTTGAACAAATCATAAATTAAGTCTAGCATTTGTCCGCAATTACTGGTCAAGTTCCCATGCCATTTCTCGACTGGCCTCTCAACATAGTACACATATAAACAACGAAGTTAGAAAAAGAAAATTGGATAACAGAACACTATAGACAACCGAGTCCCAAGGAAAAGATACACGATTCAATCATGACTATCAAAGGAAGAAAATAATGATAAAAAAGTAAATAAACAAAAAGCAAATTCATGATTCCAATGACAAAATCCCATAGCACAAAAATCAAAATGGGAATGAGAATCACAAGAAGAAAAAAAAAATGATCGACCCCAATGACGCCTGATTTCTATCTCTCCAAGTCGGGGTATAAATAATAATGCGTAGACTCATTTCCTCGGCAGGGACTGCATAGGGAAAGATCTCGACTCGTCAGATGCGGAAGAGGAGTAGCTAGTAGGTGTACCAGCACCAGCATCCATGCTGGCTCGGGATCGTTTTTCTCGAATGGCGAGGCGAGATTTGGGGTAGGATGGCACGGGAGCGAGGTATTTGTCCAGGAGTTCACTCAGAATGGGCGAGCGGACTGGTTTCGGGAGGTAGTTGTTCATGCCAGCATCGAGACATTTCTCGCGATCGCCCTCGATGGCACTTGCGGTCATGGCGATGACAAGTACTTCGTTCACGTTTGGATCAGGGTCACGGCGTAACTCGCGGGTGGCGTTGTATCCGTCAAGAGTGGGCATCATCACATCCATCAGGACTACGTGGAATGGATTGCCCTCTTTTGATTTCGCACGAAGTGCGTCGACGGCTTGTTTGCCGTCGCTGTATGCCTCGCACTGGAGGCCGAGACTGGTGACGAATTTGACTGCGATCTTTTGGTTGATTGGGTTGTCCTCGGCGATGCACACCCGAATCTGGTCTCGGGGGATTTGAGTAAGGTCGCGGGCTGATGACTTGGGTGATTCCTTGCTTTCTGTATGGCTAAGATCCTGGGACCATGCGGTCTTGACGGTCGTTTTCTTGGGAGCTTTGTTGAAGACCAGGTGAAAGGTCACTGTAGTTCCCACGCCTGAAGTGGACTCAAGCCAGATAGCTCCACCGAGAACATCTTCAATGATGGCCTTGCAAATAGACAATCCCAATCCACTGCCACCATACGATCTCTCCGTGGACGCATCAGCCTGTGAGAATGGTCGGAAGAGTCGCGCCTTTTGTTCATCTGGAATACCGATACCAGTGTCCGCGACTGAACATTCAAGACGAACGCGACCCTTGCCTTCACGGGCAACCCTAGCTTTGACAGTTACCGAGCCATTAGGCGTGAATTTGTAACTGTTGCTAAGCAGATTCATGAAAATCTGATGCAAGCGAACGGGATCACCAAGAACCACAAGG